GAGAATATAATGTTATTAGGTAACTTATAAGTGTATTGTAAAAGAGCGGAGTGTGGAACGAGAACGGAACGCAATGCCAGTTGTAAAACGGGGGTTGAACGCGACGACTTGGAGGAGCGCGTGTTCCGACGATGACGACGACGACGACGACGACGACGACGACGACGACGACGATGACGACGACGATGATGACAAAGATGACGATGACGATGACGACACTCGTCCCCGAGAGCGATAAGGAATTTTCAGGGAGAGAAACGGTGACGACAAGTAAGAGGGAAAGGGGCACGAGAAGCGAACGGGGAACAACACGCGGGGGTGGAACGGTGACAGCGGGACGGGCGCGGAACACGGGGAAAGAGCGATATGTATACATTGTAATCATCGATATATACATACATACGTACATGTACATATATATATATATATGTGTGTGTGTGTATGTGTGTGTGTGTATGTATGTATATATATATTTTATTAGCGACGCGCGAAGAACACACGCGTATACCTTGATAATTGTTTTCGACCGCCGAAGGTACGGACGAAGGTATCCGAATCTTCTTCGCGAATCCTTTCTACTGTAGTTTTTCTCTCTTCATTTTCGCATTTCGTCTTTGCGTGTGTCATTCTTTGCGGTACACACCGGTTTTTCACTGGTGGTAGGTGGGGGAGGGAGGGAGGGAGGAGGGTGGGAGGGAGGGAGGGAGGGAGGGAGGGCATCCTGTCGCGCGCGTTTCGCGACTCGATACGACTCGAGTGTTACTCGCACTCGCACTCGCATTACAAACGCTACGACGCGAATGCGAATGCTGTTCACATGTGTATACGCGATAGATTATTTCGGAATACGGATGCGGGGGAACAAAGGGAAATAGAGAAACGACAGCTTTACCGATAGCGGGACAGTAGTTATTTGCAACACGTGCACACCACACGTAAACACACACGCATATACATGTAAAGCGATCCAAGCGATACACACACATAACAAAAAAATTGTATGAATATAATGTTTGCAGTTAGGTGGGACCAAAAACGACTTTATATCTCTATGTGCATATCCAAGCAACGTGTAATTTAATTAATGAATTAATTAATTATCCATTATTGATGACTAGGTAAAGTAAAAGATCCATTGATAGCGATCGAGAACGATGACGAATGATTAACGAGTAATTAGCCTATTAAGTTTGTTTATTGATACATTATTCTATGATATATTATTATTATTATTATTATTATTATTAACTTTATTGCCTTTATTATTATTATTATTATTATTTTATTATTATTATTACATTGATTAAAATGACGATGATAATATTATTATTTAAACAATGTTTTAAGGCGATTATCTAGATATTGAGTAGAACAGTACGTATCTATAATTATTAATTATTTTTAATTATTATTATTATTAATATTATTATTATGAGACATTTTGTTGTATTATTTTCAATAAAATCGATTGAAAAATATTCAATTTATGTTGATTCGTTAATTTTCGCTTCTCCGAATGTGTGTGCGCAATCGCGCGTTCCCAATTTCTTTCTCGTTTACAATTTTTGGCGGCGACTCGTACACACACAATGCGATGAGACGTACAAGCCCCACGCAAAAGTCATTAGTCTGCGAAAGAAATTGCGGTGTCTCGTTGTTCATACACAGGGAAGCGCGCCTTATCTCAAAATCCGTCGCGATCTCAAGAGACGAACGTAGTCGCCGGCGGATCTCCCTGAAATCAGTAAGGATCTCTAAACACATCGCGCGTGGAGGAAATTAAATTGAAGATAAATTTTACGAGACATCCAGTAAAGTAAACATCGCAATTTTGTCACTCTGACAAGCTTTTCGCTTTTGTAATTTAAAATTTTTCACTTCGAGTATTATTCACGAGTATTAGTCACTTGGATGAATGCAGCTTTGGTGAAGCAAGTTAAATTTGTCTCGATCAATTGTTCACATACTTACACGCAAAGCGACCGTTAATATATGAAATAACAATCAGCAATGTAGAAAAATTTGCTACATGCGAAACGGAAATATTATGTGTGACGTAAGGATTAATGCTGTAGCGAGTAACGGGAGAACTGAAAGGGAGTAAGGATGAGCGATGCAGCTCTCATACTTTATATAAATTTACGCTACAAATTGTATACGCCCGGAGAGGAAGATTACTTTTTACGTAGACGTCTTTAGCGAGTGTGTTTGCGTCCCTCGCAGAGGGTACTAGAATTACGTTTGTAATAAGATTCGACGAGATCTCTGGTTTCCTCGGAGAAGCCGACTAGCGAACGACTTGCGATCGCGACTGCCACCATCCCACCACGTGAATGTGTGACTTCTTTTCTTTCCTTCTTTCTTTATTTCTTTCGTTTACCTTGGTTCAACGTTGATTGATTACGTTAGCCGCGTCTGTATACGATTATCTCTCCGCTACCCTCCGACCACCCAATCCTTCAAATCCCTCCTCTTCGTACCTCTCTATCCCTCTTACTCTCACGTGTCTCCGGATAATTTTCGTGACTCGGAAGAACGGGGGGAAGACGGAATAAGGCTACCGAAAGTGAAAAGAGAAACGGGGGGGAATTGCGAGGTAAAACGGGGGGAGTAACGATGTAACAAAGCGAATTGCCAGATAGATAGATAGATAGAGAGAGAGAGAGAGAGAGAGAGAGAGAGAAAGAGTTAGAGAAAGAAAGAGCGTGTTATTACGGACAAAAAAGCGAAAAAAAAAAAACAAAGAAAAGTAGAAGAACCAAATGACGGAAGAAGAGGAAGAAGAAGACGAAGAACAAAACAAAAAAGATGAAGAAAGCGCGGAAGTAGTAGAAGAAACAGAAGAGGAAGGCACGGAACAATAGACAAATGAGAAAAAAAATAGTTGTAAAAGTCACACACGTAAACGCGTACACACACACACACACACACACACACACACACAAAACACAAATGTACTAAGTAAGTTCATACTGCGTATTGCCTTTCTGACTTCGGTGTGAAAATATATAAATAAAAAAAAAGTCAGTCGCGCCGGGGCACGCGTATGTTCGCGCGTACGTATTATATATTATATATTATAGTTATTAGCGTTCGACGCGCGCGAGAGAAGACGAAGACGCCTCGTCGCTTCCGCTTCCGCCTGCCTGCGTCCGCCGATGTATAATCTCTTCCCTCAGCTCCACATTCGCGCGCTCCTGGAATTCGATTCTCTTCAGTCGAGAACTTTACAGCGGGTCCATACAAACACTTGGCGCGCGATGAAAGATCCAACACGATCCTCTGCATTTCGTGTTCGGTCCGAGTCGCATTGTTCTTTTTCTCCCTATCTTTCTCTCCCCCTCTTCTCTCCCCTCTCCTCCAGCAGTTCCCTCGATTCGCGGACTTGAGACGTTCCTTCGAGCCGGCCGATCGATTCCCCCCCCCCCCCCCTGATTTATTCCGGATCGGGCGAACGCGGAAGCGGCGGGCACAGCAGTATCCGTCGCGAAAAACTTTTTTCACGGTTCCGTAAGAGAAGAAAAGTCCCCACGCCGAAGTCCGCGCGTCCCCGCCGACTGTGTCTGTTTCATGTTTTTCAATATTTGTAATTTATCGATAAAATTATAAAAGGTATCGATACATAACAGTCTAAAGTGTGCGCTACTCTACATAATATTATTATATATAAAGTATAAAAGTATACATTATATATATATTATATATATATACATATATATTATATATGAGAAGTATAATATATATATATTATACATACATTGGGATTGGTGAGAATATACGGTTTTTTCGCTTTGGAGTGTTATTTTCTGAAAATATTGAACAAAATATGGAAAAAAAATTAATAAAACCAATGAGTAAAAAACAAAACGGAGTGTCGTCTCCGCGTGTGATGTTTTTTTTTTTTGTTATTCTCACCCGATGTGTATACGGACGTGTCGTCGTCAATGACAAGCGATTCTCCGCTGGAAATGCGATTGCATTCACATCGCACGCGAGCGCACAGGTGTGAGTATCCGACGCGAATAACTTTACGCGAGACGTAACCTGATTTTCAATTTAATAATATGTGAAATCGTTTAATAAGTCGAGCCGCGTTGCGCAATTCAAGCGACTCAGCGGCCGAAGAAGAGCGTGCTGAATTTTATTGAAATTGGAAAAAAAACGAGGTTACCTCTCTCTCTGTGATATCAGTTGACTTTGAAACTTTTTGTTGGTTTGAGCGTCCGATCGAAGATTGGATAACGTTTGAACGTTAATTTCACCGATCTCCTAAGAGTTTCTTCGAGTTCGAGTTCGCATGTGTGAGCAAATTTTAACTGATGTCTACTTTGATGTCTACTTTGTCGTCTCAGATGCATGTCGCATCGAACGTGAGATAAATACAAGAGTGATAACGACAATTTCGCGTGAACTTTGTATTCTTCGCAGTCTAGTATTCGTCGCAGATGTCCGAAAGAATGGCCGCGTATATGCCTACTCTTCCGAGCACGTTCAAGAGCCTCGTCGGGAAGACAGTGAGGCTTGAGACGGCGGAGCCGCGATGTGTCATCGAGTCGGTGAAGTTTTCAGCACGGAACTTTGCTGTTCGCGCATTTCACCGAGAATTCCGAGAGTACGAACGAATAATTAAAATCGTCGCGCAGATTGCTGGGTGATTTTCTGGGAGTCACAGACTACGAGACTAACAAGGCTGCTTTTTGGTTCTTGGATACTGTCGCGCTTCAAGTTATTCGCTACAGAGATAATCTGGATGATTATTATACGAGTGTTTTAATTAGTTGGCTGGCTGGCGAGATGAAATTAATTCGAGGTATCAAGTAATACGAGCAAAACGTTTGCACGTTGACGCGGTTGCAAGTACCGGACGCGATATCTTTCGCGCGCGCGCGGAAAATTTACAGAGAGCATGATTGGTATCGTTTATCGTTGGGAAGTAAATCTCCTCGGTAGCGAAAGGGAACGGAATATTTTCGACAGACAAGAAGCTGCTCCGCGAGGACTTTTTCGAAGAAATGAGAGCGTTGTTTCTCCGTGCCGCCGAGAAAATATCCGCCGGTGATCGATTGTTGCACTGGGAATTACTCGTCGACGACGAATGTTCTAATATTCTCTCAGCTCCCAGTATCCACGAATCTACTGCGAGTAGAGCGAAGTATTCGATTACGAATAAATCGTTCGAAGAATTAACGGCGGAGGATACCGAGCGTGCGTCCCGAGGAAACCAGCTTCCCTCCGTCCAGGAGAGCTCGAACGGTCGAGATGGCAGAAACAGGTAAACTGAGCAAGGTATTGTTCTTTAGTAGCTTTCTCATTAATTCGTCTCGAGATGCTCGAGAGCTATCGGAAAGTGAATTTTACGGGAGTTGATTTTATATTTCAGTACGGTGAATAATTCGCCGGGGAAATCCTCAGACAAGATTTCGCTAATCCAACACGCAGACGCAGTGATTCGATCTTATGATTTAACGACCCCGAACACCGCATTGGACATTATTATCGATGCGACGTACAGCATGTAAATTTAGAATACCGTTACTTCGAATGTTTCTTATCGCTTTAAGGAGGACGTGATGCGAGAAACATTTCATCTCCTTGGTTCTCGAGCAGGTATGCTAACGAACTGCGATACGCTCTCGTGTATGCAGTTTTTGTGACGCAAATCGAGACACGTACCCTTTTTATGCCGCACACCTTCCGAGCACCACGCGAAATTAAGCTCGCGGATTCCGCGAGTGGGCCGTTCGACGTGCAGCTTCGCGAACGGCTGGAAAAGAGCGCCGTCGAGCTGACAAGTGGCATTCGCAAGGGCAAGAAACGTAAGCGCACAAACAGGATAAAAATACATCGTAGTTTTTCACTTTATTACTTTATTTATTTCTTCATTGGAACTGGCTTTACCGGCGACGTCCTGAGCGTCGCGCGATTATAAGCTCCGTTGAATGTTCCATTTTCAGAAACGACAAAGGATAATACGAAAAGTTATCGAGCGATTGGCGACGAGCTGAACGCGACGACAGCTCCCCGAACGCCGCCGTGCTCCTTGGACGAGGACGAAATATTAGCCGACAATCGACGGTTCATTCTACCGCTGATAGAGGCGAAGGAAGCGGCGCAGGTCTTTGACACTCACACAGGAAATATGTGACGAGTATCGAAGGAAAACACACAACTAGGAAAATAATTTTACTTCATACGACAGCAAAAGTACACCGTCACTCCGTGATTATCGCCGTGCCCCATTCGTGACACTTGAATCTCTTCACTGTTTTAGGATCGAGCGTTCCGATGTCCAATCGAGCGAAACCGCGCGGATTGTCCGAGTCCTGCTGAAGTTTCCCTAACTGGCCGTATTTGTTATTGCCACAACCCCAAAAGGACCCGTCGTCTAAAGGTAGAAACGAAGACGTCACCTCTCCGGGAAATGTAATTTTCGACGCGACCAAATTAATACACACACACACACACACACACACGTATATTACCCGACAAGCAAATAGTGAAGGAGTTGCCGCATTCGACGCTCTTTACGTTAACTTCTGTATCTTCGCCTTCGTTGCTCTTGAGATCTATTAAAGTTGGAACCGCGTGTACTTTCGTGTCCTTGCTTTCGGTCCCTAGTTCCCCGCTCGTGTTCCATCCCCAGGTGTACAGATCGCCCTGTCGTGTGAAACAGTTGTTAAAGATTATGATTATGCAACATGCAGCGAAATTACAGCCGATTGCGACGCAATTTGCTGACTTGATCGGTCACTACGGCGCTGTGCCATCCACCCGCCGAGATCTGTACGATCCTCAGACCCGCCAGAGCCTCGATCAGCCTCGGGTTGTCGCAGTCTTCCAAGTCGTTGTGTCCTAACTGGCCGCGCCTGACACGGATCGCAATATTTTCCAGAGTATTATTAATAATACGCGCGCAACGACGCAAGAGCAATGCAACATACGTTCCCATTCCCATCGAGTAAACATCGCCGTTCTCGGCCAGAAGAATGGTGTGGTCGAAGCCACTGGCGATGTCAACAAACTTCACTCTCTTCGGTACCTCCACCAAGACTGGGGCGTTGAAGACGCGTCCTTGAGAAGTAAAACAAAAAGATTTTCGTTGAAAATACTCGACGATGTTCAGAAACGAATTTTCCGCTCGTTTACCTGACATACCTAAATTAGTCAGCACCACTGTACATCCCGCTTGTGACATTTTGATGGCGTATTCGGCGTGCAAGTTATCATTGCTGGGAATAAAAGGGATCACTTTTTGCCAAGAATCGTCGTACACTTTATACTTCCAGATTTCGTTATGTGTTGACAGAATAATTACGCTGTCCCGGCCAGCAATGGCCATTTTACAACTGTATAAAATTAATAGAATGATAATGATGATGAAATTTGGATGCTATTACAGAATCACTCGCACGTTAACTCTCTGAATGATTCGAAGACCTAAACAATGAGATATTTGGTATACCATTACCTTCCTGATGATTCATGTGGAATCCGCATTAAACGAGGACCGTTTCTCTCGTCATTTTCATTCTCACTGATCTTCCCAGTGATGTACAATTTAGTGTCCCGCCATAGAAGAAAATAATTCCAACCTATCTCGATATTTGTGATTTCGGGAAATGAAATCTCGGTCAATTGTGATATTGACGTGATTATTCCATCCTGATTTGAAAACAGAGGACTGGCGTTGAAGCCAGTATAATATACGGGCATGCTTCTGCAAGTGATAAGTATAAAATGGAGTAATTTAGTAAATTTAATTTAGTAGATTTAGTAGTAATTTATCACTGTTTGGCTGAATTTTCAAAAACCACTCACGATTTATCCTGGCAAGATGTATATAAATTTAATTAAAAAACGGCGAAAAAAAAAATAAAATCGATTAAATTCAAATTTTACGTACGGAACTTCGTTAATATTTGTTAAAAATTTCTTGTACATTCTAGACTCATCTATATGTCTCAAACTTTCATTTCAAATACTTTTTTTTTTTCGGAAAGAAAATTGTAGGTAATGTATCGTAGGTAGGTCATTAGCGCCCAAAGATTATCCAGTGCTTAAAAAATATTATTTAAAAACAGAACTTGGTTGCAGAGAGAAAAATTGGTGTATATCGCTTAAAATGACTTATCCCTTGTATCCTTTTTTATTTTAAAAAGCAATTTATTTAATTTGTTTAAACGCATTTATTTGTGAGACACGTTTCGAGCATTTTTATTTTAGAGTATGTGCAGTACAAGTGGTTTTGGTCATTTATCCGACTGCAATTTATTTACCAACTGATGATACTTTACAGGAACGATACAACGTGCGAGATAACTGGAATGCGATTGTTGACGACATCAAACGCGCCGACAACCACGTGGTTTCGGTCGCGGTATGCAGATGTCACTGTCTCCCTTGGATACCAGGAAAACAACAGAACGTTTTGATATAACGGCACCGAAGTCGTCGACGTATTGCAGTAAATCGTTACCGCGTCTCCGCTCCAGTGCCTGAAATATCAACAATAAAATGGTAAAATTGTTACGCGAATAAAATGCAAATGCACATTATTATGCACTATTTCTCTTCCACCTTGTATTACACGCTCGAAAGCACGAAACAATCAAAACATAACCTTCGAAGGCCACCGAGAGATTGCAGTGTGAAACTCGAGAACGCATTTACGTCGAGCACTACATTGAAATTTCCGGACTGCGAAACGCTTCGTTACGAAAAATATCCTTTCCTCGTTATTTTGGCACATAAGAACCCACTTGTATTCTTTTCACGCACTGCGCTTGTATCCTTTTACGCAGTCTGGTGAAATTGGAAATCATACACTATCGCCATAACCTTATCCGCATGTGTGCATTTGGGTGGGAATTATTTCTTCGGGATTTATGAGATTGCACGCACTGGCACGCACGCGCGCTTAATTCGAAGCTCCGAAACGCACGAAAGCATGAGTCTGTACTTTTAAGCTTAATTAATTACTTTAGTTTGAATTCAAATTAGTTGGATTCTCACGCAATTTCTCAGGCAAATGCAAAATTATGTTTTTTCGACGAAAGCATAATGTTCCAAAGAGACAAATAATAATAAAAAAAGAAAATTAATAATTCAAAATAATAGATATTGAATTTTTCGTAAATACGAAACCTGCAAAAATTTCGCAAATATTATATTCAATATAATCTTGTTACTAGATAGAATCGTAACAATGTTATAATTTTTCAATTTATATTCATGGCAAGAAACGCTCAGCATTTATTTTCGCTGTTGAAAACGTGACGTAGCATAGAGCAGCGTGTTTTTTTCTCGAAACTTACATTGCGCATTATAGTTGTAAATAAAATCGATATGCAATGTCAGGGTCTACTGGCTATTTTGCGCAAGTTGAGATCAAACCCTGATAAAGAGCTGCGTTTGCTGCTGTTGGGATTGGACAATGCCGGCAAGACGACAATTTTGAAGTCGCTGGCAAGCGAAGATATCACGCAGGTGAGCACGATGGTGGCTTATCGCAAAATGCAATAAACATGCACAACCCGAGATATGTTTGTCACACGATGAATTTTACGCGACGCGTGACGGGGAAATTAACTTTCTCAAGGTCACTCCGACGCAAGGTTTCAACATAAAAAGCGTCCAGAGCGAAGGCTTCAAGCTGAACGTCTGGGACATCGGCGGGGCACGAAAAATTCGACCGTACTGGCGAAATTACTTCGAGAATACGGACGTGCTGGTGAGAGTGCCTTCATATTACTTTTTTACTCGGTGCTCGGCTTTGTGTCGGCTGTGTCACCGTTATTTCGGGAATTTCATTTCGCCACTTGATAAAGAGTAACTGTTTCATGAGATCTCACAAAGGCGGCGAAAAAGGGAAGAATACCGCTTTACATCGTGAAATTTAATACAACGGAAAATGGTGCAACATAACGTGAGAGCGAATGCTGGTTTTAATTATTCAGAGCGATGCGATATGCGCTTTATGAAGAATTTTGACTCTATCGTTGCGCTCTTTCGACTTATTTATCGTGGAATGTAGAATAAGCGAGGCGCATAACAACCTTTAGAAATTTACGAGCAACCCGAGCGATAGTTTTTAATATCTCCGTGGACGGAGCTTTACAAGTTTGTTATCGGGAGCAGGTATCTGCGTACACAGTGCATTAGATCATGCTGTCAAGTAGGAACGAGCGCTGTATGCACGACCGATGAATATGTGTTTTGGTCCTCTCTTTGCTGAAGGATCGTTTGTCTTCCCGATATTTGCAAATTCGCGACGCCTCCTCTCACTGTTCTTTCCCGACGGATTTTCTCCTTTCTCGCTGGAGAATAAATGTAAATGAATTCTCCCTCCGTGAATCCCATGCGGGAGGCCTCGAGCCTCGCGCGTTCTTTTTGCTAAATGAAAAATGCAAATTAAGACGTACCTTTTTCTCGATGCACGCTGCCGGCAGATTTACGTCGTTGACAGCGCGGACATCAAGAGACTAGAAGAAACGGGACAAGAGCTGTCGGAACTCCTGCTGGAGGAAAAATTACGAGGAGTGCCGTTGTTGGTGTACGCGAACAAGCAAGATCTGGGACACGCCGTGACGGCGGCCGAGATAGCGGAGGGACTCGGTTTGCACAATATCAAGGATCGTGATTGGCAAATACAATCTTGCATCGCTACCGAAGGCAAGGGCGTCAAGGTACGTAAAGGATGTCCGTTTTCACGGCTCGAAATTAAGAAAAAAAGAAAAGTGCACCTATTGCAAAATTAAAATTACGAGAAGTCATATCGACACGACAAGAGAGATCCTCCTCGCGCGCGCGTCTTTTACGCTTTTAAAATCAAGTTCCTCTTTATTTTCCAGGAGGGTCTAGAGTGGGCGTGTAAGAACATCAAAAGGAAATAATAAGCGTGCCCTGATGGTCGAGAGATACGATCGACACGTTTATCTCACATTTAGGACGCACGAAAGGAGCAGGCTTACACCGTCCGTTGTACATTTCACATGAATTTTATTTATCTTCTATCTACTATGTACAAGAAGCTACTGAGGACACCGTCGTTTTTGGATTCAGTACGAACGTCTGAATGCCCAGCATGGAATTCTCCATCTCGAATCCGTCGTACCGAACGATTCAGTCGTCGGACTTCCGTCCATTTTAGAACGAACCGTTCGTCATCAGCCTCGGAAGTTCGCGAAATTATATTTTTTCGCATGAAAGGAAGGAAGAGAGAGAGAGAGAGAGAGAGAGAGAGAGAGAGAGAGAGAGAGAGAGAGAGAGAGAGAGAGAGAGAGAGAGAGAGAGATACCGCGATTTGTAATAGCGAGCGTTCTATTGTAAAAGAACATGCCTTCTCGCTGTTTTAAATAGATTAGACATTTTTATAGACTTATCTAGTAAAAAATGTAAAATAAAAAGAGATGAAACAAGAAAGGGGCAGAGAGAGAGAGAGAGAGAGAGAGAGAGAGAGAGAGAGAGAGAGAGAGAGAGAGAGAGAGAGTTAGAGAAAGAAAAAAATACAAGACAGAAGATACACACGTATTCGTAGATAATAGTAATTAATGTAACATTTATACTTATAATTACGGTATAGACTTGAGCACCACGTTGTTACTGCACTCGCGAAGGAGGGAATCGCGCTGAGACGCGCTGAACCATAACGCGCAGCATGTACGTAAGTGTTCATGACTGCACTTTCTTTTTATTTTAACGACGAATGCTACGTGAGCAGTTAAGAGGAATCGCGGAGTTTCACGAGATGCACCATTCCTCCGGTTGCTCGCGTTTGTGTTTGACGCGAGATACGCGTTCATACTCAAGTTCACCCGTCAGTTCCGCGTCCGGAATGGTGCGCCGCATCGATGATCGAGCGTCTCTCGTGCAGAAAGTGCACGAAAGCTAACATGCGTTTTCCTCCGTTTCTTTCCTCGCTTCGAGTCTTAACCGCTCGCGTAGTATTAATTTTCCGGAGAAGCTCATCCGAACGCGTTGCCTCTCCGAAACGCGGACTTGCCGAGAAGACAGCACGGAAGACCGGAGGACGTTGGCAGGACGTTTGAATCGCGTTTGTCAGAGATGAGGAATTTAGTTTCTCTTTTCTGCACGCATTTACAGCGTCTCTCGGTTGCGTTCATGCCGTGGAAATTCCACATTTGACATTGTGGCACGTCGCAATGTCTACGCTTGTATGTACACGTAAAAAGGTCGAAGAGGTACTCCGCAGATCCTGCAGTCGCGCCAGGTCGGGCACCAGGCGCAGTGACAGAATCGACGATTCCGGTTTCGTTCGGCGTATCTTTCACTTTGTGCAATAAATAGAATGGGACAGAGATTAGAAACGAGCTCGGTCTCGCGCGTCTTTTTACAGGCGACCTAGCAGCAATGTCTTTCACAGGCCGCGAATAAACGGATTAAAGCTCAAAGCTCGCTGTGAATGCTCTCCGTGGTCACCCGGATCTCCTCTTCGTGGAAGACCGTGCAGTCCGCCGGATATTTTCTCTGAAAGCGGAACGAGACGATTGTCAGTGAGTGGCGGTGATCGCCACGCTTGCATAATCGCGGATACACCGCGACGGAGCGAACATAAATATTTTTCTTTTGCGGCGAGCGGCTTCGCCGATTATAGCTTTGGTCATTCTTCCTCCGATCTCGGTCGTCGGTCGTATACTTGTGACTCAAAAAGATCGCAAGTTGAAGAGAGTTCTCTCAATATCTCCGTCCCGTGAGGCTGCGCTTTCTCTCGCACGACCGACGGTAGCAGTTTACTTACGACGCATCCTTCATGCTCGATGATGGCTCCGTAGAGGAGCCAGAAATTGACTCCTAACTTATTGCTGACCGCCCAAGCCGCAGGGAAACTCGCCAACTTCAGCACTCCGCTGCGTACGCGCGACTCGTTGTCGTAATTGTCCTCCTGCTGGCTCTTCTCGTTTATGGTACATAAGATTTGACTAGCACATTGCGGCATTTTCGTCGCCCACTTGTACGCTCGATACGCCTGGAAAATCGTGAGGATTCAATTTGAAACAATAGCGAGGCTGGCTGCGACGAGTGTGTGTATAATTATGAGAGGATTGGGGATTCCCTCTTCTCTCTCTCTCTCTCTCTCTCTCTCTCTCTCTCTCTGTCTTTTCTAAAATTAATGTCGCCTGGTGGCCTGTAGAAAACGATACCGGATTCAAAACCACTGAAATTCCCGAAAGCGTCAAACTCGAAACTGCCGTTGGGGACTAACGATAACGTAACATCAGCGCCACGATTTCCCAGTCAACCATGCTGCCAAATGACACAACATAATTTTGTCGTTGAGTGGGAAATTCTGATATTGACGCGATGTCACTGTTAATTGGCGTTGACTTGTTATTTCCAATCAGAATTATTGGTTTCGATGAAATTTCTGAAAGTAAGATGCGTGTTTGCGCGAGTCCGTGCGAGAATTCGTCGTGGACGTGCTTATACCTTGAGCATAGGGGAGACGATGTCGTTGTTGATAGTGTTGCTGAGTTTGTTGCTTAACTCGTGCGCGTTTATCCGGGACATGATGAATCCTTTCTCGGAGGCTAGACTCGCTAACTCCTGGAAATACGCTATCGCTGGCCTTATGTACTGCGAACTGTCGATATTCATGTTCAGGTACTTCCGCCCCAGCATGTTCGCCAATCTGGACAAGAGAAATTGGATCGACTGATTGTTACTCGCGTCTGTAAAACGACGACGGTCGCGCTAACCTGGTCAGGCTCTCCGTCGGTCTCTGGGCGTCGAACATCACCGACTTCGGGAATCCCTGGGACTTGAGGAAGCTGTTGCCGATGAACTGCGCGGTCGAGAGGTAACGTTGCTGATTCAACGGGTCGGACACGTGGGAGACCCACTCGGCGATGAAATTCGTGAACGACCTGATCCACCTGCGACGCACCATGGGGTTCTCGAAGCTGTTCATGAGCTTCTCGTATTGGATGTTGCCTTCCTCGTCCGACATCTGAGCGATCAGCTTCGACAGACCGCTGTTCTTCCACAACATCCGGCCGAGTTCCGAATTACTGCAACGTATTGTTGCGTCAACGCAAAATATCGCAGCAATTTTCCATTCTAACCCTATTTCTACCCCTGAATTGAAACCTATTAGAATAGATAAAAAAATTCACAAACGAGTTAAGTCACATTCAACATCTCTCTTCTAGCTACTTCGGTGTATTAATATTCATCCCCGTTCCCGTTATGAATCCGCTTTGATCTCGAACAGGATCGGCTCGCTGGCAAGTGGATCCCAGCGTAGGGTTTTTTTCTCGAATTTTCGTTGCGTTCCGCAACGTCGTGTGGACGACGCAATACCTGAAATGATCCCACATAACGTGAATGTTCTCCAGGATGGGCGGCAAGAACCAGGAATGCCCCGAGTGATCTATGTGGCCGGCGTCATTGTCGTTGGTCGTGTGTCCTAGTGACTCCAGCACCATCGGCACGATACCCATCACTATGTCGTTGTTGACATTTTGTTGGAAGAACGCCAAGCTCTTGCTGATTACGTTGCCCCAGTCTATGGCGTTCTCCTCTTGCGCGCCGTTCACCGATTGCTTGCCGTAATTTGTGTGTCCGCCGTTGTTCGCCATGCTCAACAAATTCAAGACTGAGCCTACGATCGACATGTCGAAGCCCTGGTTAGGTCGGTCATCCGACATAAAGCTGTTCAAACCTGAGATGATCTTGCTGAAGCCGTCCTCCGAGGACGTCTTCTCGAACAACGTGTCGCCGACCTGTTGATTACACCACCACGTGTCCGCATTACGCATCTTTAATAACGCTCTTCAACGATCTAATGATGATTTTAGAATCTAACTGAGGGAGCGACTCCCACGAACATTTATCCGAGAAGGATCTCGTCGCGGAGTGTCGCGAAGCAAACTTGACGAAAGAGCCAGCGCATAAGTCTCGCGTTTATCAGATGTGGCAAGCGAAATAAATCGAAACCGAGAAGAATAAATGTACATTAATACGCGTTGTATGTTAGAGTTCTCCTCAGCACCTGCTTCATACGCTGCTTCATATTCTCGTTGGGTCTCGAGCTGAAGAGTTTCCTGGCCTCTTCGGTGAAGGCTTTGGTCATATCGTCCTCGTCCTTCTGATCACACGCCACCCCGAGCAGCGGCAGTAGCAAGAGCCATGTCCTTGATAGCCACATCCTTCCGCTTCTGCAACACACAGTATTTGGTGAGCGCACAATTGCTAGACCGCGATTACGAGGATCTCTTCTTCCTGCTGCGTAAGCGGCGAACGACGTCATTCGCTCGCGTCGATTCAGCGTCAGGACGAATTTTCGCCTGCAACTGAACGACCCAACTGCGATTACGACGAGAGCCTGCTCTCTCCGCCAGCCAGCGAAGGTCCTCAAGGCGAGTCGTTGACCCCGAAACTGGATGCCGATCCTGGTCGAGTTATTTTTAGGAAGAGTCGACGCGTCGACGCGAGGATTTTAAGCGCGGGCGACACACCGGAAGCGTTTCGGCTCGTGGCCGTCGCGGATACCGTTGCTTCTCCGGCGTAGTCGTTTCGCCGAATGGCGACGCCGCCGGGGTGCTCGCACATTGCGCGCGTATTTTCGCAGGTTCGCGCGAAAGCATCGGTGACGAATGCGTTGAGTCAGCAACGAGAAGGATACGCGGAGTAGAAAGTTCGCGCGCGCGCGCGCGCGAACGGAGCGAATGACACATGCGACTCGAGCTGTCTGCTGCTGATCGACTGCACTCTTTTTCGCTCTTGACGTTGTTATCTTTAGTCAAAATTTGACTTTGCACTCTTTTCCTTCGATGTTTCATCCGAGGCTTGGGCGACTCGGAAAATTCGCAGGCGAATGACGGTCGAGGGAACATCTGGTTTCTTTCTTCTTCTCTTATTGAAGACTTAATGACCCGACACGCGGAAGAAATTATACTGGGAGAATTAAATAATATATTCCTTCATTCATGTTTGCATTTCTCATTGTTCGAGCAGGAACGATGTATCCTGATGGAAGCATTTGTGCAAATCGGGAAGGACAATGTGCGCGAATTTTATTTCATAGTTGCAAAAGAGACTGGAGTTCAGGTGAAAGTTCACGTTTCGTTTCATCTAACTCGCCGGCGTCACTTTAATTTCTTTTCTGAGCAACGGACGCGCGCGTGGTCGCGTATCGTCATCGATTATCCCGAGGGATCAGTCGCAACAAGACGACAAACGATCAGCGCAACGCCAGTGTATACTAACGTGCAATTTCAGTACCGTAAACCGCATGAAATTGACATTCTCCAGCTGGAATAACGATTCGGCCTAACGGTACGGACTGTTAGTCATCGTTACCCCAACGCGCCAAAGTCGTCAATGGTAGGCCGACAGAAATAACAAGTCGACTCGATTGTTAAAATTTGCTAATATTTCGGCACTGTGTCACATCTGCCGACTCTGCGGTCGAATATGCTTGTGTGTATGATGTGTATCGTCGTAAAAACGTAATGAAAGCTTTGTTTCTATTGTGAACGTACTAACATTTTCAAACAGAGACAAACTTTACACTTGACACTCAAATTTGTCCGTACAGCAAATAAATTTTTATATATATTTGTATTCATTTAAGGTACAAATGCATCTTTATGAAAGTAAAATTTATGAAAGTAAAACAAAAATAAAATTTTCTAAATTATATATTGCAATCCTTTCTATAAAATGACTTAAATATTTTCCAACGTACGATTCAGAAAGAGGAAATTGAGTTGGATTTCTAAAGTATTTATTTTCAATAATCGAAGACATTCCTCGCGCTCTGTACGATAAAGTAAGGAAACGTGACACTTTCCTCTTTTAAAAGACCTCTCCAAAATTTTCATTTGTGGTTTTATGTTTATAAATAATGTTATTTGCTCTCCCCCCTCCGGGGTGTTGGCATATGTTGGCACAAATAATCCGACATTGTCCTTGGGCAATGTCGGATTATTTGTTTTTTAAGGAGGAAGTTTACACTAAAATTGCAGCGCGATTGTCTCCGCGCGAGACAAGCGATAATCAGCGCGATCACGGAAGCTGCCTTCTGATTATTGAATTTTATACGTGCGTTTGTCACGTTTTACAAACAGCTCCGGTGAACCGTGCATGAAAGTAATAAACACGGAAACCGCCTCGTTCTCAGATTGCCGAGAGGGAAAGCGCGGCGAGATTTTTGCAATGTCGTCGCGGTTTAAGGTCAAGGAGGAGGCAATGGCCGTCTTCTCCGTGGCAAGGTGTTCCAATTGTGCGTCCCTGCGCGGACAATATGGCTAATGGCAAACAAATATTGACGATTTAACGGCATTGCTTTTATACTAGCGTCGCTTTTCAAGTATCCCGCTTGCGACATTAAGACGCTTTTATGCCGGATTTCGTGTCGAAAGGAGCTTCGTGTATGAATTATCGCAATAACGGTGACCTTGATGTAACGGTATACCTTGCATAAGGAATGCGTAAAACGTGTAGTGGCTACTTACCCATGTGCAGATTGTCGTTGATAATTAGTGGCCAATTTTGCGATAGCGACAGTAGCGTAGTAAACGTTACTTCGGATCGTATAGTATAAATAATAAGGGCAACTAACGAGAAAGAAATACATTACATATAACAAACGCGAATGCTGTTGGTCCCTTGCTTATTTAGCACATTCGCCGTTAAGATAAACGTTCGTCAATTTTAAAATTGACAAAATTGGCAAAATTATTAATACACACAGTCAAGTGAAGCGAATCAAAGTCACGGCCGGGAGGAATTATTTTTTATATATTATACTTGTATGTAACATGCATGTAACATGTATGCATGTAACATATTTGTATGTTACAGTTACATTCGCTCAACTCGTTCTTCGAAAAAATAAGAACAACGTGCGGTGACTCACTTGTCGTCACTCCGATAAAAGCAGACCTTGACTGAGCAAGTAATCGTAACAGTTATACGTTATCATAAATTACTAAAGGTATGTGAAACGTTTAAAATTTTAAACATTTTCGCTTGCTCGAGCACTTTTCTCGCACGAGAAGCGCACAACACACAAATATATCGACAATATTGTCGGGATTACCAGCCAAAAATGTATTCTTCCGTTATTTCGACACAGAGCAGTTCGCGTTAAAAGTGACATTTCGAGTGCTTGTTCCAATTTGTGTCCCTTCGGTAACGTCGGTGCAACGACAATTTCTCTCGCGAGACACGTTACTGTTCGATGAAAATAGAATACATCATCAAGAAGTTGAGACGTATATAAATAATTTTCATTCTAACAGAATCTTTCGTCGGATTTGGACTTTAACGGTACTCCTCAATCGAGAGAATCTTAATTGATGTGAACTTATTTATACTAATAATGTCCGTACATATGTGTTTATGTGTCTATGTGTGTTTGGAAGATAAATTTCCGTTATTTTCGTATCGGGATAATTATGTCTATATTGAGTCAACATTAGTGCCGTCGAGGTTAAAAAAGAAGCCAGCGGAAATTACTGTGAACAGGAGAAGCGACGATGAAATGAGGAACTGACGCACGTCTAAAAATTATACCATCGCACAATATTACAGTTACCCGGTGTGAATCACGCTAATATAAAAACAGCGAATGGCGCAGAGTTTCAGCTCATTTCGCGATCAGTTATTCGTTTTTGGACGCCCTTGGAAACTTTGGAGGCGTCGCATCTTACAATGTAAAATAACCGTACAAAAATGTATTAACTCTGACACAACATGTAGGACGTCTCCAACATCATTTGCGCACAGTTTTGTACCTTCCTCGAGTTTTGTTAAATACTCTCGAAGTGAGGCTCAGCTTAGGTACATAACTCCTCGAAGCAACAAATGAAAGGAGCTGCGCATGTCTGAACTGTTATATCCTCCGATTTTGCAACTCACGTCTCGCGCGCGTTGCTTCAATTCGCGTACACGCGTCTGTGCTTTGCGATTTCAGGAGACGACGCAACAATTGCTTAACGTCTCGCGGACATTCAGTCAGCTCGCGAGAGCTCGCCAGCGTGATCAGTAAGACAAACGAACCGGGTGCAGGTTGCGATTACACGCGTTGCGGCGGCAGAATTGCCGGTTGAAAAATCCGCGATCCCTCGCGTGGCCGCGCCAGCGGCAACGGTAGTCGCAGTCAAGTAGAGCGTGTTCGATGGTGTTTCCAATGTGGAAAGGCGATACGATCATTGGAGCTCGAATTTCCGTTACGTTATTTACGACGGGAAAATTTTGCGCGCGTCTCGCAGAAACTGCCGCCCACCGGCGCGCGGTCGCCGGAATGCGCGGAATTAGTGAACAAACAGAAAAATCGCGACGAGTCTTGATAGCCTTCCCAAATTAATCCTCCCCGAAATATTCAGCTCCTTCATTCGTAAGTTAATGATTCTTTGAGCACGATTACACACACATTGGTATTTCTAAAGTACGAGGCGTCAGCGACCTCTGTCACATGTCAATTATTAATTCTTCGAATTTTCGAGACATCAATCATTTTATGCTGTGTTCGTAACCTAAATGTAGCTAACAACAAATTGCAATCGCAAGATATCGTACACGTTAAACATGTTGCATGCCAAAGGCAGTATCGTGTATACGAAACACAACGCGAATCCTCGCGATCGCAAACTCGACCGAAAGCCCAAAGTGTTCCGGGCGAAGAGTACGAAGAGACGAGCGGAAAATTGCGAATTTTTATCATTTTCGCTCGGTTCACCGTCCGCTTGTAACAAGACTTCTCTCCCGAGGAGAAGAATTTAAGAAAATTTCGGCCAGGCACTTTATCCTCCGATCTCTCGCACCCGCGGATTCTCGTCATGGTTTACTTTCGTGCCGAACCCGCAGATTCGTAAAAACGTTCCTGAACGTCCGAACATTTCAACGGCTAGACTCTTCGAGTTCTTCGAGCGGAATCATAAGAGAGCCAGATGATGCGCGTAGGCGTAGCGATCTCTCTCTTTCCCTCTCTCCCGCTCCCTCTCTCTCTCTCTCTCTCTCTCTCTCTCTCTCTGTCTCTCTGTCTCTCTGCGTTCCACATACCTAAGTAGTCGAAATATCAACGGTCTGGCTGCGCCGAGTGCGAACGATGCGCGCAAGGTTCTCGCAAGGAGCCCGTACACCTGACACGGCGAAGGTTGTGGCGTGACTGGCGTCGGACGGAGCCCATCGAACGGTACTTACCTATCTGAGCAAGTCCCCTGACTTCGGAGCGTAAAAGCCGGCGATACAATGAACCGCCTGCACGTCTCCGACGCGATGCAGATCTCTGCCTTCGCGGCCGGAATATTATCCGCACTCGAGCGAATTCTCCGCCACCGAAACTTGCGGTACATTTTCGCCACTTGCGCGCTCGTCAGCTGCTTGTTCTTTTCTTTTCGTTTATTCGTATTTATCCATGCGCGCGTGCGCAAGTACACGTGGCGGTCGCGTGCGGAGAGCGTTTAAAAATTGCTGAAATTCTCGCCTCGTTCGGATGTCTCGCGCGGAGATCGGCGATTTTCCGCACTCGTTAATCTCCGGCGAGCCTGAAACCTCTTCAGCTCCGTGGCGAGAAGGTTTATTTCTGCGCAATTGACTTGCGATCGGTTACACTTACTCGCCTGTTCGGATTCACTTGAATCCGACACCGGAGAGAGACGCCAGAGACTCGTGGAAGTAAGAATAAAGTGTGAAGAGACTTTAATTACGTTGACCTGGCAAGGGTTTGCGGACGTTGCCGTAACGTAATCTCCAATTTTTCTACGAGTCATTTGCCCATTAGTTGAAAATAAACGCCGGGATTCGTTGAAAATTATGCGTGTCGTGCGCACATCCGTCGCGCCTATTCGTCGTATGTCCCTAATCATCGTAACCAATCATCGGCACGGTATTCACACACACGGCAGCTGACAATACGGTCTATTAACGCAGGACCTGTTAGACGACGCCGGACTGGCGTCCCGTCTCTCCGACGTCGGCGCATAACATCACGGCATCGTAAACGATCCGATCGACGACGCGCCGCGTTCGCGACGATCTCAATCGCAACAAACGAACGCCAGAAACCGCGGTAATGTAAATTAATGACTGTACCGTTACGTCTGTCAAATAACCTCCGTCGTCGATTGCGCGATAAATTGGCGTTTCTACGTCTCGGCGCTTCCATGTCTCCAGAATCTAACGAGACAGAGAGAGACACAGAGAGAGAGAGAGAGAGAGAGAGAGACAGAGAGAGAGAGAGAGAGAGAGAGAGAGAGAGAGAGAGAGAGAGAACCGCTCGATAAAGCGTCTCGGTCACCACGATTTCTGGACCGGTCGAGTTCAAATCACAAATACCGAACTCCGCATAGACTGTTACTATACTACTATACTACGCTGCGCACGAAAGATCTAACAGCTATACAACGGATATGATTAGCTGTTCTGTGTGGTGGAACCGGCTCCGACGCGGTCGACGCGACCGCGAGCGGTAAGGTTTTCGGCGGACAGTCGTTGACCTGGAGCCGCAGGATTAGGGAATGCGCGTGGCCGACGAAGGAGCGCCGGTCTCTCCGATTGAGAGTCGCGTCCGAGCCGCGGCCGGCGCAGCACGGGGCGATCAGAAACGCTGGGAGGAAGAAGAGGAAGAGACGCGTTCAACCGGTTGCCGACGTCTCTCGAGTCGCGACTGGATGCCGGGATTTCAATAATCGAGCCGCGATGTCACAGCTCGCTTCCGTTCGTCCTGTTTGTTTCGTCCTGCGCCCGGCTTAATTGCTTCTTCCGCGTTGCAAAACGAGCCGCGTCCCGTTCCCGTGGCCGCGCGATGTGGGCCGCGCACGCGCGAGGCGACTCCGAAGCCGCTTCGCGGCGCGAGACGACTCGCGGACTGCAAAAGTCAGCCCGGCGCGCAGCCTGGGTGTTTTCCTCTCTCTCGCTTCTTTGCAGAACGGCGATACCACGCGCGCGGTACTTTATAAATTAATGTCACGCGATTCTCCACACGGTGATGCACGCGGCTGGGATTCGATGCCGCAGTCGTGCATTCTTTACTTATGAAAAATAAATTTACAAATTCTATAGGCGTTCCGCAGTAAATACACCGCACGAACGAGAGAGAGAGAGAGAGAGAGAGAGAGAGAGAGAGAGAGAGAAAGAGAGAATCTTTGACCTGCCGCAAGATACAGCGTATGTTTAAATTCATTGCCCATCAATAAGAAATCAGGAAAGAAGTTCTGCCTTCTCTGCGCGACATTAACGTATCCGTACGATTGCGTGTATCTTTTATCTCGATCATTCGAATATCTTCGCGAGAGAGAATGATCGAGAAAGAGAGGGCGCAGCAAAAGATACACGATAAATATAACATAATGTCAGCTCGCCGCTTCACCGGGTGTATTTTGAAGTAGAGGTTTCACGGATATCCGTAGCAACTTTTTCCCTCTTTTAGGGGGTGAGAGGGAGAGATAGATAGATAGAGAGAGAGAGAGAGAGAGAGAGAGAGAGAGGAATCTCTCCGCTGCATTCCGCGGTGTCGCGCGAAAAATAAGCGCGGCTGCGCGCGGTCGCACGCGAATCAAAGATGCAAGGTGAGGGCGTCTTCGAGAGGAAAGAGAAAAGTCACTAATTGAGACGAGACACGTGAAAGCCCGGGTAGACGTTCGCATACCTACAACGCGATCCCGAGTTCCTTCGGGATGACTTGGCGCGAGGGCAACATTACCGTGACCTTATCGGTTCACCGATTTGTCCTAAGTTGCGTCGGCATCTGGCCGACTAAGGAAAAGAGTCTCTTTATGGATCTGAGGTGGCTCGTCGCCATGATTTTGGAGGCAGGTATTTCGCGCGCGGCTGAGCGAATCTCACGTCTCTACACTGGCTAAACAAATGTCTCTCTCTCTCGTAATCGTTACGAAACGTAAATGTCTTTCTTCTCATAAATTTCAATAAATTATTGAGACATATCAGTCAACGCGGCATTTAAATTTCGTTCTTTTAGCAAAGTTACGTTGCGTCAGAAGAACAAGTATAAACAATAGGTCTGACTTATATTTGTGCGTGTGTGTCTACGCGAGTGCCTTTATGTTTCAAGAAATCATGAGAGATTTGCATCACTCTATGATCACGCAAGACCGAGGACTGTCCTTGTCCGCTGGGAGAGCCGAGTAATCTATAGAGCTGACGAAGAAAAAAAAATTCCAACTCTACTATACAAATTCTAAATTCTACAAATTAATAATAATAAATATCTACAAGTTACAAGTTCTAAAAATCCCTGACGAGCGAAGCTCGTACCTTCTTGTAATTTCGCGCGCATCCCCCATCGCGAAATTGAAAGAATTATTAATCTTATAAATATACCATCCCCAAAACCGGCGGACAAGGTCAATCCACGCGGAGGAAAAAGTTCGATTGATCGAATTAACGCGAATAACGACATGACACCGATTGAAGGAATTTCTGCTCCTCCGACCCCGAATTTGCTTCCGAAGAAGCAGAAATTCTCTCGGAAGCGGGAGATCTCGCTTTCCCGCTGCGAGATAAGTCGAATTGATATCGAACAAATCTCAGCTGTCATCAGGGCGGCGTTGCTGACCGTGATCTTCCAGGTGACTCCGATGTGCGTCTACTTCACGGAGATCTACCTGCACTGCAACGGCGCGAAGGAGTCCTTCGACAAGGTGACGCCAGGCGCCGCAGCCGCATTGGCCCTCACGAGGCTCATCACGCCTCGTATCCATCGGCGAGAGTTGCTCGAGATAGTCACGTCCATGATGAACGACTGGGCCACGCAGCGGGACCAGCGGGTACGCTGGATCATGAAGAAGTACGCGACGCTGTCGAGACGCGTGACGACGTTCACCTTCTTCCTGGTAGGCGTCATAGTGGGTGTCTACATCTTCATGGCGATATCAGCGGTCACCGCGCAGGCGAGCCAGCTCGACCATCAGCTGGAGAACGTGAACGTGAGCCGGGAGACGGACGAGGTGCTGTCCTGCGTGTTTCGAGGCGAGTCGATGAGCCAGGCGTTTATGGTCGTCCAGGCGATGCAGATGTTCGTCACCGGCATCTTGACCTTCGGCACCACAAGCTTCTTCTTCGGCCTGGCCATGCACCTGTGCGGCCAGTTTGACGCGCTCGCCATCAAACTGTCCGATTTTCGCGTCGAACAGGCGCACCACGCGATCGCCGAAGCGGTCGAACGGCATTGCCACCTCATTCGCATGACCGACCGCATGGAGGAGTCCTTTAACGCGAATGTTTTGATATACCTGTTCGTTACCACCACTCTCATGTGTATAGACGGTAAATGAAAAAGAATTCTCTCTTTTGTATCGGGTATAGAGGTAAAGTGACGAAGACCACCACAGTCATACCAAATAAATAGTCGTTCCATTCCGTGTTTTGATCGGGCTCGCTTGTAAGTCGCAGAAGTGCTTACAAGAGTCTACAAACGATTAACGCTCACGAGCAATTAGCTGACTTGCCTGGCGAGACAAGAAGCGTTCACGAGGCTCAGAGTACTCTAAATTTCTTTTCTGTGACATTTCACCCGAAGAAGAAGAGCGATCGTAGATTCGAGCGACTTTTCGCTCACGTAAAGTGAATTCTTCATTCTGGGTCGTGGAGTAAATACTTCCTCTCGAAATTGAAGAGCGAGACTGTTGCACTCCATGGAGTCAGAATCCGACACAGACTTGAGTGACAACTTGAGTCCACCTTTGCGATTTCGAGCGGTAGTGTCGCTTCACTATCGCTCCCAATGTCACTCGTCACTCGTCTCGAGTGAAGTCGCACTCGAAGAAACTTGGAGAGTACAATCTCTCGAGTCTTGTCTTAACGATACGTACCTGCATACGTACCTGCGCATGCCTAATGCGGCGATGATGCCATTCCAGGTTTCATGTTGATCGTGTCGCTGAAAGTCGGCGACGTGCCCATGATTATACATAACGCTAGCGTTTTACTGCTCATGATGATCCAACTGTCCTTCTACACGTTCGCCGGCGATTGCCTGGAGATGAGAAGCACCGCGCTGTCCTACGCCACTTACGATTGCGACTGGCACGAGCTGCCGGCCAGCACTGCCAGGGACATACGATTCATGCTGATGCGAGCCAATATCCCTCACCAGCTGACGGCCGGGAAATTCGTGGCGATGAACATGATAACGTTCAAGGACATCCTAAAGTCCACGGCCTCGTATCTGTCGGTCCTGCGCGTCATGTTGGACGAGTGAGCTCGCCTGCGTCTAAGTTGTTGAACATTCGCACAATATCATTGCACAGTTAGAACGATTGTTGTCGAGGCCAGGCTCTTCTTCCTTCCGTTACTTCGATGTAAAGCTTACGCTTAAGCTTAACGATCGAGTTGACAGATTAGCTAGCTGGTAACTTAGAATAAAGATCAGTCAAATTACGCACTTAGTGGCAATCTGCTTCTCCGACCTTGTAAGTAAAAGACGATAAAAGGATTTCAGTATTTCCTCAACGAGGACACGCGATACTCGACGGTGCCGTTTCTCCCCTGCGACTTCAGTCACCTGAATCCACATTGATGACAGACCAACCCGCAACGAACGAGAACGCGCGCGCTGTGTCGCGCGATGCATACTTACAGTGCGCCGATTTCGGTCTTGACCGCAACGTAGAGACGTGGTTGCATTATTAATCTCTTCCTGCCTGCTCTATCGTTGCGTTGCCGAATGAAAGAGGCGGGTGGTTGTTGTACCATGTTGCATAAACCGCATAAACGCGAACGCATATGTTCTCACACATACTTCCTTTGGAAACCTTTGGTGCAGCTTTGTCGGAGAAATCTGTAATCGACGGAAGTTCGAGTCGCGCGAGGTGTGTCGTTCTGGGTCACAAAGTGATCGCACAGTCGCGGAAGCACGCCGCATTCCGCTGTGTCGACGTTATTTCCCGGAAAAGGAACGGTTATTCTTCGCGTGAATAAAAGATCAAAGAGAAGCACCCTGTGGCACCCCTCTCGCTCACTCTCACCCCCACCCAATGGGGGTGGCTCGTGAGGTGCCTTTGCTGACCGCGCCGCCTTCGTCATAGCGAGCCCAAAGTTTGGTCGACACGCGGGACCGGATCCTGGGACCAACATCAGATGGGATATATGTAAACCATCGCGCCGCTGAGGAGTGCCTCCTGATACACGTCCTGCGCGTGGTGCGTTTGCGTAACGATAAGGGTTAAGGGTGTGATGGTAATTCAGTCGAGCGTCGGAGCGCCGTTGACGGTCACCTAAGTGACCGTTGGCGCTCGTCCTTGCGCCGTCCTTTCCCGCACGGTGCCTGCGACAGCCGGAATGATTCTGAATCGCTGCAGGGTTCGACCGGACACTTAACTGAAGGTCCCCGGGAAAGGACGCGAAGAAGCGTCGAGGATTTCCGACGATGGTGCAAGCGAGGTACTGGAACGACGACGCTCACCGCGCCTTAGGGGTGTACGAGAAGGTCCTCACGATAATCGGAGTTTGGCCCTTGAGCGTGGGGGAGCTGAAGTCGGTCGCGCGATGCTTCTTAGCCGTGTTGATACAGGTAAGCTAGGTGGAGGTAATTATCCACCTGTGACTAACGGAACGCTCGCGCATAGTTCGTCGTATAGATTGTCGTCTCTGTTCCCACTCCCGTCCGCCATTCCTCTTCACGCATCCCTCCTTGGTCTCTCCGATCATCGGAGCCGATGTGTCCTTTGTGTTCCAAGCGAAGCAGCACCTGCAAGGCTTTACCTTGAAAAGTAACTAGCGACCGGGATCAAGGGAGATCCTCGCGAATTAACGCGATTGTCCCGACGATCAGATCAGTACTATCGGCAGTCTGTCTCTGGAGGCGTACCGGCAGTGTCTCGGTACGGAGGACATGATGGAGGCCTTTCTAATGGACCTCTCGTCTGTCGTCAGCCTCTCCAAGCTCCTCGTCGTCCGGCTGACCTGGAAACACAGTTACGTTCTGGTAAATTCTCTTATCGACGACTGGTCGGTGTCCAGAGACGAGCGGCAGCGCGATGTGATGCTGAGGTACACCAACGTCGGCAGGGTCGTCTCCCTGACGATGTTGTACTTGGCTTACGCGTCAGGTACGTCTTTCCTCTTCATGGCGGTGCCGTTCGACGTGCTGCTGCCTTGGCTGAACATTTCCAAGCCGGAGTATAACGGCACGACCGTGTCGACGTATTTCTTGGCGAGCTACTGCGTGTTCGGCTCGTTGCCCACCATCAGTCATGGCTGTGTGCTGCTACTGCAGGTGGCGCAGATCTTCGTGAACGCCACCTCGCACTGCGGCAATGACGGCTTCTTCTTCGGCTTGGCGATGCACCTGTGCGGCCAATTCGAGGTGCTCGAGATGGACTTTGCCGAGCTCGACGTGAGGAAGCGCGCCTGCCACAGGAAGATGGGCATGTTGATCGGCAGGCATTGCCATCTGATCAGGTTGGCCGACAGTCTCGAGTACGCCTTCAACATGGCGATCTTCGCGCAGACCTTGATGAGCGTGCTGCTACTTTGCGTGGAAGGTACGTCGTGGTCCCGGACGCCTTTCCGTTCGCGTCTTCACTACCTGCCTACCTTCCAGGCATGCAACTGATCATCTCGTTGAAGCTGCACGACAACATCGCGGCGATCAAGCACGTCGTTCTGATCCTGACGATGCTGGTGCAGCTGTACCTCTACTGCTACGCCGGCGACCAGCTGGAGTCCGTCACCGAGAGGCTGTCGTATAGCGCTTACAGCACCGTGTGGTACGAATTCGATGCAAAGCTCATGAGAAACCTGCCGATAGTGATGCTGCGCGGCAGGATACCGCATCAGATCACGGCCGGCAAGTTCCTACCTATGAATGTATTCTCGTTCAAGGAGATCCTGAAAGCCACATGCTCCTACATCTCCGTTCTCAGGGTTATGATAGATGTGTGATACGAAATATAATGCTGGCACACACAACACACGCACACACACGCACACACACACACACACACACACACACACACACACACACACACACACACACACACACACACACACACACACACACACACACACACACATACGCAATCATAAATTACGACTGATGACTGCAGCGCGTGTGTTTTCCCCACCTTCGTCTCTCGTTCGTTCTTACATGTATACACATGTAACCGCGATATCGATAACGTACATTGCCAAATGTTAGATAAGACCGCTAAGATAAGCTCGGATATTTGTACTCACACAGTGACGAAATAAATCGCAGAACGCACAACCTCTTGTGATTTCATCAGCGTGCGAATATGCAAAATTCACGAAGCGCTTGATGTCGCGTTGGTGATCGTTCTTTCGTCGTAACTATTCTCAGTCTCGCACGATGCAATTTGGAGGCCACGAGACACCTTGATAAACTTGTCATCATTTACGTCACGCTGATAAACATCTCATTATCATCTACAATTTATATCGGGGTAACAATATATCTCAAGAAAATTGCTCGCTGTTTCGCTCACCATTCGCGCAATATCTCAGTATTGTGAGAAATCCTTCTATTGATATTAATGCCGCATCTTTCTACAATTACTCGTCGGAATTGCCCCTCGTGCGTAAGGCCTCTCCTTTTTTACGTGCGCTAGCTTATCTTGCATATCTAAGCGACGTACTAATCCCCTCGTCGATAAGAAGCGAAACGGCAGGTTCCGGCAGATCGCTCATCTCTTCTGTCGCGACTGTAATCTATTATTTATCAGCAAACAGAGCCTCCTCCACACACGCTGATGAATTATTATCGCAAGCATCAGCGAGTAACGTGAATGAGTATGTCGGGTCTCGCCGTAAAACCGTATTATTTGTACGAATACAAAGTTACGCCGAGCAGGATACTATACTGGCGTACTCGCGGAGCCAACCGCGTGAGTCCAGGACATGAATAATAGAGCTGAAAAAAAATCCAGCTGCTTGCTTACCGCGAAGGGTTGCAGCAAGTTTCGCGAGCTTGGCGTCCCTACTGGCGGCAAATCGGATATCGAGCGACGCGAAGAAGGACTATAATCTCGGCAAGACGGAGGGAAGGTCGGCGGACTCGTCGCGCTGAAACAGCGCGACATTGAGACGACGAAGGGACCAGCGCGAAAGTACGAGGTCACCGAGGGGGTGAACTTTGAAAATGGACTCGAACGCGCAGTGGAACGACGCAGCCGACGCAACCCACTTTCTGACCTTCTACAAGAATCTCCTCGGTATAGTCGGGATCTGGGTGTTGGACGAGAAGAGCGTCTTCTCGAGGACTCGATGGTTCGTATCGACGATGGTGGAAGTAAGTTACTCCTTTAAGTACGGCCGAAGCGTATCCGAATGCCCGCGCGCTGCTCGTCTACGTGTCTCGAGTCCGTAATCTCCGCGTGATGCGGGGCCTTCGTGTTTAACGAGAGAGAGATAGCGAGGCTCGCGGATTAGAGGGCGAGCAAATGAAGACGCAACCTTCGTTGCTCTAGCAGATAATGAACAATAAATTCATCAGAGAGTCGGAGCGCGTTGACTTGCGCGAGTTACCGGTCTTACGTGTTATGTGCGACCGCGCAACACGCGCGGTTGATTCGTGTAACAAGCACACTGATAGAAAAATATAGTTGAATTAACTATAATCTCACTATATTTTACAGTACATTTTGGCGTCAAGCAGATTTTTATAGTTCGTGGAACCTGCAAAATATAGTAGAATAAACACAAATATATAGTCAATGATTGTCTTAAATAATTGTTTAGTTACTCTTACCACATATATGGTAATTTCTCATTCACAAATATAGTGAGATTTGATATTCATATAGTTACATCTGTCATCATTTAGCAAATATTCTGGTAATATTGACTATATAAAAGAGTTACTTTATCTAGCATTTTATATTTGTATCCATACAATAATTTTAGTTTAACTTACTATATATAATATACTATATATAATACTTACTATATATATATATATATATTATATACTATATATAATACTAATACTATAGTAAGTATTATATACTATATATAATACTTACTATATACAATAACTTACTATATATAATATAATTCTTAGTAAAAATATTGTACGGTTGGTTATACTATGCCTATATATCGTAATTATTACCGATATTATGGTAATACTTACCACAAATATAATATTTCGGACTATAATTTAGTTACTATATCATTATAGTTCCAAATATCATATATTTTTCTCTCAGTGCAGCATCATACACCTACACGTGACGCGTCAATCGAGTCTTTTTATGAGATACGCACGCACACATACACATCTTCTTCCATATCTAATGAGGGAAGCTATGCGCGCTGCATATTGAAACTGTTTCAACAGATATATCCTGGTTTACGGTGAGAGTGAAAATTTATGTAGCGTACGCGTCTCTCGCGTACTCGACCCGCCCCGAAGACATTTCGCTACATTTCTTAATATCCGAATATACGTATAGCTATACTTTGTACACATCAGGTCGTACACAGCGGTCGAATAAAAGTGTCAAGTTAGCACGAAGTGCTAACACGGAACCGGAATGATGTTTCCTCTGAATTTTTGAATTGGCGAACCAGATGAGCACGGCGGTCACATTGTCGCTGGAAGTGATTCGACACTGCAAGGGCCACGAGGACGCCTTGAACGCCTTTCTGACCGGTTCATCGTCGATAGTCAGCATATCGAAGCTGTTGCTGCATCGCGTGAATTGGAGGTACAAGTTGCTGCTGGTGGAGGCTGTCGTTCACGACTGGACCTCCGTGAAGGATCCGTACTCGCGCGACATCATGCTGAAGTACGCGCGCATAGGTAGATTCGGCGCGCTGGTATTCCTGTACCTCGGCTTGGCGTCCTTGGTGTACTTCGCCTCGGTCCTCGTGTTCTCCAACGTCCACCTGCCGTGGATCTCCGAGTGGCTGATGCATAATCGCACCGGCGAGCGGAAACTGGCCCTAGCGGCCTACTGCGTGTTCGGGAAGTATCTATCTTCCGCTTACGTTCTCATCGGAGCGCTGCAGCTGCTGCAGGTCTTCGTCGACTGCATGTCGCACTGCGGCAACGACGGGTTCTTCTTCGATCTCACGATGCACGTGTGTGGCCAACTCGAGATCCTCAGGACGAGCTTCACCGAGATGAACGGCGACGAGATCCTCTTGCGCGACAAGCTCGACGCGTTGTTGAAGAGACACCGCCAGCTCATCTGTTTGGCGTATTACCTGGAGAAGGCGTTCAACATGGTCATCCTGGCGCAGGTCTTGATGAGCGTCATTCTCGTGTGCGTCGAAGGTAAGCTCCAGCGCTTCGCGCGAATCCTTCGACGAGATCGACTAATCCTCCTGCTCGCGTCTTTTAGGTTTCCAATTGATCCTCATGCTCACGATCAACGACGTCTTCAGCGCGGCCAAACACGTGCTTTTCATGGCCGTGTTGTTGGTGCAACTTTTCCTCTACTGCTTCGCGGGACAGACGTTGGAGCTGCAATCCGAGGGGCTCGCCTATGCGATCTATGAGTCAAGGTGGTACAGTTTTGACGTAAACGTGATAAAGGATCTGTCATTTGTGATTCTCCGGGCGAGCAAACCTCATCAGTTGACCGCGGGCAAGTTTCTGGCGATAAATTTCATGAGTTTCAAGGAGATTCTCAAAGCTTCCGCCTCGTATCTGTCGGTATTAAGAGTGATGTTAGAAACGTGAGAGCGTGCAAATTATTCTCGAGTTCACGACATCTCATGACGTTGCCTCAAACAGCTTTGAGCGCTTTATCTTCAGACGCAGCACTTGTAACTAATTCACGCGCATTTTTCTGTAAATTATTGGAAATAAAAGTATGTAATGTGGCAGAAAGTGTCGAAATCACTTTGACTTCTCTTGCGTCTTTGGCTACACTAGAAGTATCGATATCGCAGTACAATTTCGGCCGGAGGGAAACAATGAGGGTAAGTACAGTATCAAATTGACGATGATCTCTGGCGCTAGGGTGAATGTACGCGAACTAACGACGAATTCGACGGACTCGCGAAATTCAACGCTGCTTTTGCGCGACGAGGGCGATCGTGGATGTTAACGGAAGAGTGTAAAGACACGTACGTCTCTTCTCGCGTTTGTCTTACCGGGGGCTAGAGGAGCTCCCGCGCAGGGTAATAAAACATGAGTTTGTAATAAGCTAATGCCGCGCACTTGAGAGCTGCTTCTGTCTCAACGGTAATAACGTTTCCGACGAAAGCGATCGCAAATCGATGTTAAATTGGCAAAAGCGGAAATTTCTCCCGTAACGACTGAGCGAAGTAGTTCCGAGTGCGCAGCCATCGGAGTTTTTCCGCACGCTGGAATGCCGGACGGACGTTGGAACAATGACATCGCCTATGTCTTTTCCATCCACAGGATATTCCTGGAAATATTCGGTGTGTGGCCGTTGCAGAAGAAGACGGTGTTCACGAAGGTACGATGCAGCGTGTCGTTGCTCGCACAGGTACGTTAATGCGAAGTGAAGGTAGTACGGCGAGGTACGGCGAAGGAGAATCGAAGTTTCCAAAGTGCTTTCGCGAAAACAGTTTCGTTGAACGGTACGCTTTTGACCGGAAGAAAGCAACGTCTCCTTTGGACCTCGCTTTTCCGATAAATTCTGAGAAATGCGAGAAGGAGCGATGACCTTCTCATCCCGTTATTTTTTTGATCTCTTATCAAATGAGCCTCCGCACGTGCACACTAATTTCTAAGACAGGGGGATCCTCCCTTAGATCATGATATTATCCTTCCTGATGATGGACTTCACCATGACCAGTCACGACGCCGACGCGAGCATAGAGTCTATATTGTATTTCGTGTCCGTGGTACTTGGAGTCATAAAATTCATATCCATCGTTTACAACCAAAGAAAGATAGGCATGAACATCAACGCCGCTATCGACGATTGGTTGTCCGCCAAAGGTGACGAGAAAACTTGGAAGATCATGAAGAAACATGCGTCTCGAGCGAGAATACTCACCCTCGCGTTGCTGTACTCGGCCATAGGATGTTTCTCTAGTTACATACTAGCCATTGTGATGATAAATCTGAAACAGATCTTTTTCACGGAGCCCAATTCAATAGACGGTAAATTATTATTATTTATTTGCTCGGTAAAACTCCTGTAAACTAAACGGGAGTCTTACCGTTGTTTGTTTTTATTATATGATATCAAGATAAAACTACTATTCGTTTATTGTGACAACACGGATCTTGAGTTAAATCTGACTTAATTGCACACACTTGATAAGAAAAGCTTAATACAACGATACATTAATAATGTTACTTCCTCTTACCGTTTTACGCAGCTAACGTAACGGATTGGATGCTTCTGGTTCCATCCGGTTCGCTGGGTAACTCAATCACCGGATTGCAATACTTAGTGATCCTCATTGTTCAGATTTTACAAACGAGTACGCTGTGTGTTATTCAATGCACCGTGGACAGCTTCTTCTTCAATCTCACGGTGCATCTTGCCGGTCAGCTCGAAGTGCTCAAAGAGAAATTCAAACGCTTCGCGGACGAGCCGTACAGCATAGCGAGTTGTCGAAGCAGATTCGTCGGCTTGATTAACAGACACAGCGAGCTGATGGAATATTATCAGAACTTGGAGGATACCTTCCACTTTCTCATCTTGTGTGAACTTACGATGGTTACGATTATGCTCGCGCTGTTAGGTATAGTCTACGACGTCTAACGTTTTCTTTCGCACGAACAACGAGACCGCGCATCAAGTTGTTGAAGTAATTTAATTGCTTGGTCAGAAAGAGGGAAAGAGAGAATTCGGACAATTTCGATTACTCGCACATTGCACGTTGAATGCTACTCGCGCGCGGTTGTTAAAGTGACACCTTTGCTTGCAGGATTACGTCTGAACTTGTGCCTGAGCGAGAACAATCAGGTGGAATTCGCAAAAAGCGCCTCGGTGCTGAACTACTTCCTCATGGTGTCGCTTGTGTTCACCTACGCTGGTGACTTCTTGCAGCGGGAAAGCGAGAGTATATTCCACGCGTTATACGCGACTTCCTGGTTCACGCTTCCTCTAGCGTTGATGAAGGACCTGCACTTCACGATGATGAGGTCGAGTATTCCGTTCCGTCTTACCGGCGGCAAGTTTTTCTACGTCAATCGCGAGACAATGATGTACATCCTCAAGACAGCGACTTCGTACATCTCGGTTTTGCGAATAGCCTTGAGGGATTAACGCGATTGACAAGACTGTTTCGCGCGCGAGTACACACAGTAAGACTGAAAACGTGCGGAGAACTTTGCCCGAGAACCTCAACACGGAGTGTAGATATGAAGTGTTATGTAAAATGCGCGAATACGGTTTGATTAAAATATTCGGATTGATGAAAATATTCTTGATATATTTTGTAATTGTCGCAGCAGATCTGATATTTTCTTGATGAGCGAGCGTTGGCTCGAAAGGAAAAAACAAAGGTGAGCAACACCGGCAACATTGTTGATGCATTGTCGAGGCAAATTGCTATTTCAACAATTTTCTAAAATATTTCAGAACTCGAGATTATTTAGAAAACATCTCCCAATTCTTTCTTATGTTTTCACCAGGTCGAATGAATTCTGTTGTTCCTCGCGTATAATATTAATTCCATCACGATTGACGATTTGTCTGTTACGTTCACAAAAAGGATGTCTCATTCGGAAGAGTTTTTCTTATCGATGCTACGTAAAAGAATATTTCAATAAGAAATAACATATCGTAGAAAGTGTTTTCATCAATGTCACATTTTCTTCATAATCACATTCTTCCTCCAGCTTCTCGAAGAAAAGCGAGATAGCAATTCCGGGGCATAGCTCGGCTCTAGTGGTGGATCTTTTATTTATCGAAAAGCGGGATACATAAAGTCTGCAGGTCCATTATTTCGAGAATTAATACCGTCGAGAACGACGTCGAGCCGCTGGTAGCTGTATTATTTGTGCAAATACAGATACAAACGCGGGCTATATTCCTTCTTAAGGAAAATCGCGGGAATTGAAGAAATGAATAATAAAACGGAAAGATCCAGCTGTTTCTTGGCTGCCGCAAGGGGTTGCTTTAAGTATCGCGGGAACACCTGCGTCTGCGACAAATCGGATATCGAACGATGTGCTCATAGAGGAGCGAAGGCCAAGGGTTATTGCTATTTTCGAGGAGGAGTGAATCGAGGTGAGAATTCGTCGTTACATTTGGGGGAGGGAATAAAATAACACGTAAGAGACTCGAGACTCACGAGAGCTTCTCAAGTGCTCCAAAATGGAGTCGTCCGTGAAATGGAACGCTGACACCGCACAAGTTTTAACGTTTTACAAAAATGTGCTTGGTATACTTGGACTTTGGGTGTTGGACGAGCACAATTTTTTCTCGAGGATTCGGTGGCTCATGTCAACGATGGTGGAGGTAAGTCGCGCTTTCGAGCATTGCCCAAGTACTTCATTCAAGACTCAGTTGTTGCCTTCAAATTTTTTTCTGTTGCGTCTTGACCTCATAAAGTTAACTTTTACCTTACGTACGTTGCATTGTCTTAAAAAGAAAAATCGCGAATCTAATCGAGAAGAACTAATCTCATATAAATTAAATTTAATAGTGTGGATACGATAGATACGAGGGCAGTCTGAAAAGTTGTCGGCCTAACAATGAAAGAAAATCTTTTTTGCCGTGAAATATGTTTTATTTTTCAATATAATCTCCTGAAACTTCAATACATTTATTCCAACGTTTTTCCAATAATTCAATACCATCATTAAAGTGTGATACCGGAAGGTTCTTTCCGCTCTGGTGTATAGGTGGTGGATCCAAATTTCATCAACAGTTATGAAACGACGCTTGAAATCCATTTTATTTTGCGTAAAACGATCCAAACACGCTTGAGAAAAATACGCATTCGAATGCATTTTTGGTCAATTGTTAGCGGCACCCATCTTGCACAAAGCTTTTTCAACTACGGTGCTACTACTCGAATGATTTGACAGATCAAATAAAATTTTACATTGGTTTATATCAGGGATGCCACTTTCCAGTACAGTTATAGTTTGACAGTTTCTAATGCCATGTACGTGTCAGGTCGAGAACTTTTCAAACTGCCTACATATGAAATGTTTGTACGAAAGCAATGTATTCATTTTTATTTTCTCCAACCAGATGAGCACGATGATTAGTTTGTCACTAGAGGTCATCCGACATTGCAAGGACTACGAGGACGTCCTGAACGCCTTCCTGTCGGCGTTCTCGTCGGTGATCAGCATTTCGAAGCTGCTCTTGCATCGCCTGAATTGGAGGCACAAGCTGATCCTGGTGGAGTCCATCGTTCACGATTGGACCTTCGTGAAGGACGCGTCCTCGCGTGACATCATGCTGAAGTACGCGCGTAAAGGTCGGCTCGGCGCCATGGTGTTCCTCTCCCTCGGCTGCGCCTCCTGTGTGTTCCTCTTCTCCTCGCTTTTGCTCAGCGATATAAAGATGCCATGGGACGACGAGGAAGAGCAGATTTACAACAAAACGCACGAGAAGAAATTACTCTTGGCTGCGTACTGTGTCTTCAGCACATACACGTCCTTCGCTTACGGCTTGGTCGAGATCCTGCAGTCGCTGCAGATCTTCGTCAACTGCATCTCGCAATGCGGGAACGACGGCTTCTTCTTCACCCTCACAATGCACACGTGCGGACAATTCGAAGTTCTCAGGATGGACTTCGCGGCAGTAAGCTGTGAGGGGTTGCTTTACCGCGCCCAGCTCGACAACTTGTTGAAGAGGCATCATCGTCTCATACGCATGGCACACCATCTGAAAGGAGCATTTGATACGGTCATCCTAGCGTAGGTTTCCATGAGCATGTTGCTCTTGTGCGTCGAAGGTGAATTTCACTTTATGTAAAATTATCTAAAGGGAGGTGGAACTTTTTGCTCAACTTCAACTCACCCTGCTGTGATTACGTTCACTGTCGTTTCGTGGAATTTCCAGGATTTCAATTGCTCCTCGCGCTCGCGACAAGCGAGACATTCGCCGCCATGAAACATGTACTTTATATCGTCATACTGTTGGTGCAACTCTTCATCTACTGCTTCGCCGGACAGACACTGGAATTCCAATCGGAAGGGCTTGCTTACGCTATCTATGAGTCACCGTGGTACTGCTTCGACGTGGGCGTGATGAAGAGTCTACCACTAATGATCCTTCGAGCGACTAACCCACATCAGTTGACCGCGGGTAAATTTCTAGTGATAAATTTTATGAGCTTTAAGGAGATCCTGAAGACTTCCGCCTCATATCTGTCCGTAATGAGGATAATACTGGAGACATGAATGGAGGTATTCTTTGAGAGAGAGAGAGAGAGAGAGAGAGAAAAATATAATTGGTATATATATTAGCTCTCTTTATATGTTTACTTGTACCGTTTTATTATCTATATTTATTATCTATACGAGTCACATCATGTTCAGTGACGATTAAATAAATTCTTGACTTTGGCTCGCGAGGAAAGTATAACATTCATATTGTAATGTAGACACATTGTAGCATATCTACGAAAATTATAATTTTTACAAAATATTGGGTGAGTGCAAAAGTTCGTGCGGAGTTTCAATAGATGGAGTTATAAGCGTCGTAAAGTGTTGTCATTAATACTTCCATCTACATATTATATAACGTTGGAAAGGTGACATCTTCAGCTGTTATTAAAAAAAAAATCATTTGTTTTCATACAAACTGCTTCGAGAAATATCACTTTAAAAATGAGTATCGATAAGGTGCATTTACGGCATGTTATGCTTTACGAGTTTCGGAAGGGAATAAACGTTGCCGCAGCCGTAAAAAACATTCAGGATGTTTATCAGGATGAAGCACCAGCTAAACGAACTGTGGAAAAATGGTTTGCTAAATTTCGGCGCGGAGAATTTAACCTTGAAGACGAGCCACGCTCTGGTCGACCTTCTGACATTGATGACGATGTTTTGCGTACTTTAGTGCTCAATAATCCGCGAATTTCAACAGAAGAAGTTGCTACAGCACTAAACGTTGACCGATCAACCGCTTTTCGGCGTTTAAAAAAGATGGGATTCGATTTGAAGCTCGATATATGGGTGCCCCATTTGCTGACCGAGAAGAACAAAATCAAGCGAATTTCTGCAGCCGTTTCTTTACTCGGGCGGCTCAATAACGAGTCGTTTTTAGATCGACTAGTGACGGGCGATGAGAAATGGGTCCTCTACAACAATGTTCAGCGCAAACGGACATGGAAACAATCAGGTGAGCATGGTGACGCAATGCCAAAGGCCAGTTTGCACCCGATGAAGGTGATGCTCTCTGTTTGGTGGGATTGCAAGGGCATAATCTATTTCGAGCTTCTCCCCGCTGGCGAAACGATTGATTCGGACAAGTACTGTCGCCAATTAACCAATCTGAATCGAGAAATAAAAGAGAAACGCCCGATTTTGTCAAATCGCAAGGGAGTCGTCTTTCATCACGACAACGCCAGACCACACGTTTCGAAAAAGACGCTGCGCAAACTGAAGAGCCTGAAATGGGATGTCTTAACGCATCCACCGTATTCTCCTGATATCGCACCATCAATACATATTTAGTATATCTGTGATATTTAGAATTTTCTCCGCTTTCCGCTACGTTGTGCTTGAGACGCTGTTATATACAAATAGATGTTACGTTATACCGGTTCGTAATCGCATGCGTGTAAGACGCGCAGCGACGACGCAGGCTTGAACATCGAAAATTGTGCACGATTGTGCAGTTACACAACATTATGGCAAATAATGGACGGTTCGGCAAATTTGTCTTGCCACTTATCTTACTACCCCGAAGAACGAGCAACAAAGAAAGGTAAGTCCGCGCGTTGATCACAGTAATGCTCATCGAAATGGTAGCGAGACGCGGATGGCGAGCGAATCGAGCGGCGTTCAGTCACGAATGACCCCGCCATTTTTCAAGACCGAACCCGGTCGTTATCGAACATGAAGGAAACATGGAACAGCGATATGGACTACGGCTTCTCGGTGATAAGAACGATAATGTGGATACTCGGTGTGTGGCCGTTGGAGCAAAACGAATTGGTTTGCACAGTCCGCTGGTTCACGATATTCATCGTGGAGGTGAGACAAGGACACATTAATATCCTTGTATTTAATCGCCAATTTTTACAATTCTCCTTTTTAACCGTGAATCCGACTCAAGCGATAAAAGCTCAAGCCGCGCCAGCTTTGGCGCGATCGGTTCGAGGTATCTGAGAAATTCTTAGCTTCTGAAGAAGCCTTTAAAGTCTCTAAATCGAAATTCGCCTACGCGAGCTTCGCATTGAAAAACGCGAGATTTGCATATCTGTCGGCACGATGAAAAACATGCGGTCGTAGCGTATTCATCTATAAAACAGTTGAACCTTTGCTAACGTATAGTCTCTCACAATGCTCAACCTGCTGATAGAGCCTTTCAAGAGCTGCGGCGATTCCAAAGACGCTCTCGAGGTCTGTCTTATAATAGAGACCGGCTTACACGCGTGGACGAACATGATTTTCGGGCGTGTGTATATGAAAAAGATCGCCAGCAACGTGATCTCCGCGATCGACGATTGGTCTTCGCCATCCATGACGAGAGAGTCTTATCTGATAATGACAGGGTACGCACGAGTAGGCCGAATAATCACTATGTCCCAAGTGATGATCGGATTCGTAGCCGCTTCCTTGTACTTCATCGCCATTATCATCGGAAATAATCAACAGGTTGTGTCAGAAATTCTGTCTGTTATCGTGCAATAGCAGTTAGATAAAAAGAAGCTTCGTTATATATTATAATACCAATATATGATATATAACGTATGATACATGACAAACCTAACGATAAGAATAATATTTGAGTAAATTGAGTAATTTACATTGTAAAATAATTAATCAAATCAAATTGTTACTCTTTCTCGAACATACATATATTTTTTTCTAAAAAGACACCAGTCGAGATCTCAATTTATTCAAGTCAAGCTGACTTCCTTTTTCAAGCGTACAGCGCAGTAAAATTGTATAACGTATATATCGAGTATCACGTTTCAACAGGTCGTGATTATCGATCATGAGAATGTGACCCTGTGGACTTTCGTCTTTCCGTCGACGTGTTTGTACAAAGGAATCTCGTACACCACATACAAGGCGCTTTACGCCATGCAAATGGTACAGGCGTTTCTACTGTTCATAGCGGAGTGCGCGAGCGATAGTTTTTTCTTTAGCATCACCATGCACCTCTGCGGTCAGCTAGAGCTGTTGAGGATTCGCTTCGCTGAGATCGCGGGAAAAATCGACGAGAAGAACCGTTGTGGGAATTCATTCGGGCCGTGGATCAAACGGCATTGTCAATTGATAACTCTGGCTAAAAATATCGAGGACTCCTTCAATATCAATATCCTGCTCCGTTTGGGGATAACCACGATTGTCATTGCGGTCTCAGGTACGCGTCAGGTCGCAGTAAAATCTCGAGTAAAATCCATCGCGTAAGAGTGAAGAAGGAACGACATACGCATGTCCGCCATTCATTCGCCGCTTTTCCTCAGGAATGCGTATTATGATGTCCCTCAAGCATCAGGACTACACGGACGTGCTAAAAAGCATGATGTTTATTCAATACTTCATTGTGCAGTCCTTCCTGTTCACGCACGCCGGCGATACCCTGCAGAGCCAAAGTGAATCGATCGTTACAGCGATATACAGCACAACGTGGCACGAATTACCGCCCACGACGATGAAGGACCTGGCGCTCATTATGATGAGAACGAGGATCCCTCTCCGACTGAGCGCTGGAAAATTTTTTTACATCACGAGAAGCACCATCACGGATATCCTGACTACAGCCTTGACGTACATATCATTTTTACAGGCGATGGAAGAGTAAACGCGAACCGTCACGTATGACTGCGACTTGTGTGTACAAAGAAGAGACTGAGGCGGAATACAATTATATTTTAGTATCTTGAGAAATCCAGTATTTTTTACCGTATCTTTGAACATAAGTACGTTCTTTCATCCAACCAAATTTGTCTAATTAGAGAAATTATCAGTATATATATATATATATATATATATATATATATATACATCGCAGAATTGTGCAATTCGCAGAAATTATGGAATACAAAAATGTACGACTACGACTTTTGTTTTGGCACAAAACATTATTATTTTCACGCGGTTCACGTTATCGTGAGGTATTGATTAAACGAGAAACATGTCTCAGCTGATCCGTGCAAATTGTGCACGCTCAATACCGATTGTTGATTGATTAAACACCATATGTATATATTCTTCATTTTTATATTGAACCCAAAAAGCATGAAAGTGGTCATCTTAAGTACTTACACTTCCAAATTTATAAATAAATTTGGAGGTAACGCGGTTCTGCAAAAAAAATGTGCTATTGACCGCCGGAGCAACGTGCGAAGCAAACGGACACGGTGCTACCATCCATGGGGAAATACAGGAAGAAAAATATAAAATGCGTTCCAGCCACGTTGCTATCGGCGCGACTCGAAACGAAGCGAGAACTTCTACCGGGAGAGTATATCCATCGGTTATACAGTACATAAAACTTTTACTTTTGCGACGGTCTCTCGCTTTACATGCAGAGACGCATCGTCCGCGTCGAGTCTCGCGAAGCGGGAAAATTCCGAGAGAAAATGACGCACTACTTTGGAAATTGATCAGTTACACGCGTATTGCAAATTCTGCTTACCGTCGCGGTATTTCTTCTCTAGACGCGCCGAACAATGTTTCGAGGGGAACATCGGGGGTAAGCGGATCATAATACAGTATGATCGGGCAATTTGCCAATTCGCTTCAGCGACGTCTTTAAACATGCATAGCGCGATGCGCGACTAGCTGAGCTGCGCGTTCTCGAGAATCGATAGTATTTCAGAAGAAGAAATGACTAGTAGAGTGATGGCTGAGAAGAGATGCGCGTAAACACGAGCGTTGTGGCACACACAACGCGGCTAATGAAGAGAGTATTAAAGCTTAATTATCCTATCGAGAGCTATCCATTAAAGATGTATATCTGTGCGATCAGCTTGGTATCACGCTTTGTGACGCGCTTCAAGAATGGCGCGCTGGCATCAAGATGTTGCTTACGCACTGGCGAGCTACAAGATCTTGGCGTGGCCTTTGGGTGCTTGGCCGATTGATGATGATGCGTTTTACTCGAGGATACGTTGGTCATTTGCAATGATCAGCGAGGTGAGAAGCTCAGAAAGATATTTTCTCAGAGTTTAACAGAGTAATCACGTGTATCGTGCTTTTTAAAAATTTAATTCAACTTAATCTTCACCTTCAACGAATTAAATTTAACGTTAATCTTCAGCGAATCTTAAATTTAATTTCTGTTTGGGAATTTATCTGTCGACGAGTGATTCTTGTTTATTAAATCGAGTATCTTTCTTTAATTTGCGGTGTTTAAAGATCCTAAACGAAAGATTTTTGATTGAACACATGAATGATCAAGCAACATTTCAGTTCTTGCTGGTGACGTCGCTCGCGATAGAAATCTACTTCACCTGCGAGAACTCTCAAGAGGATCCCATCGACACGTACGTGGTGATCGCGAGCGCGATGCTCGTGCTGGTGAAACTCTCCCTGCTGCGGATGCGGCGATCAACGCTCTCGATCAGCCTGTCCTGCGCCATTCAGGATTGGTGCGAAGTCAAGGATCCGAGATCACGCGAGATCATGATGCAACACGCGCGCACAGCCCGAACGATCTCGCTCTCGCTGTTTTACTCCGGATTCTTCGCTTTTATGCTCTACATGTTGCGACTGTTGCCCTTTTTAAACACGACTGACGAGAGAACATATTACCTTCCGACGTTTTGCCTCCTCGAGACCGCCTCCAACGTCAAGTACGTCATCGTTACGTTCTACCAGGTGATCCAGCTGTTCATCACTTACGCCGGCAATTGCTGCACGGAGGGGATTTTCGTCGGTATCACGCTGCATCTGTGCGGCCAATTTGAGCTTCTGATGATCAACTTCCGGCGGATCGGCCGGCACGTAGCCAAGTGCAGGGGAGGCAGCATTGTCGAGGAACTCGTGGCTCGGCATCGACATCTGTTAAGACTCACGGAGACTATCGAGGACTCTTATAATATGATTATCTTGACTCAGATCTTCACCAGTGCGATTTTGATATGCGTGACGGGTAAGTTCGCGAATCTATATTCCTGTCTGTCTGTTACGTGTGCGCGGAGAGATACGTACATTGTTTAATTTCTTTGGAGAATTACCATGTTAATTTATAGTACGTGTGTGTCCATTTAAATTAAATTAAATGGATACAAAAGATCACTATTAGTGATTGTCCTCGCGAGGAGGTGAATTCTTGTGCATATATCGGTGAAAAATCAAGTCCATAGTGCTTTTGTTAAGGCTTTCTGTCAATTTTTGCGATTCATAATTAGTCAGTTAAACTTTCACTTTTAATTTTGAGATATTCTCTAAAAGATACTTTTATTTACAGTCTGTAAAGTAAGAGCGTGTACGGGTTAATGTGTAGAAAAATTTATTTTTAATGATTTTTAAGTACATGGATTTGTTGCACTCCATGAGAAGAAAAACGCTATACCATTAATAATGAGTCCAGTCACCACCGGCATTGATAATTGCCTGGCATCTCCGAGGCTACTTTCCACTATAGTCTGTAAAGTAAGAGCGTATACGGGTTAATGTGTAGAAAAATTTATTTTTAATGATTTTTAAGTACACGGATTTGTTGTACTCCATGAGAAGAAAAACGCTATACCATTAATAATGAGTCCAGTCACCACCTGTGCATTGCCTGTGGTGTATCTCCGAGGCATACTTTCCACTAAGTTGACTGCGTATTCGTTCGGTAAAGACCTCCAAATGACGACGAATTTGTCGTGTCAGCTGCTTCAAAGTGCACACTCTTTTTCCTCGAAGCTTGTGCTTGAGATATGCCTCACAATACGGCTCATAAAAAAACTAGGACGATATTTGAAGCCAACTGCCATTTATGCCGTACACGCTCTTGCTTTACAGGCCAAATAATATTAGAAAAGTTAAACATACAAAAAATAATCCATTTTTTCCATCTCATCTATGTATGATGTATAATACTTACGCATAATATTTTACCGTAGTAGCATTTTAGGATCACAATGGCGCGGAGAACAGTCCGGGAATAAAGTGTATTGATTTAAGGCTTCGCACTCATCGAATCCTCGCATATTAAGGACACAATCATGATGGTGAAGAGCGTAGTAGTGATGATCGTCATGTTGCTGCAATCCTTTCTGTATTCGTACGCGGGCGATAATTTGAGAGATCAGAGCGAGGCCCTGTCATTTGCCGTTTATGACAGCAACTGGTGCGATTTTCCGTCCAATGATGTGAGAGATCTGGCGTTCATCATGGTAAAAACGAACATACCGATTCGCCTGACCGCCGGGAAATTCTTCTATGTCACACGTGCTACTTTCACCGATATCCTGAAGACTTCAGTATCTTACTTGTCCGCTTTGCGCGTTATGATTGAAAAGCAAACGACAACCAGCTAATGACAAATATGTTTCTCTCACGTCACGTCCTGTTTGTGACGAAATTTTAGCCAGCTCGCGATCATAACTTATCTAATCTAAACATAGAAAACTTATATATATATATATATATATATATATATATATATTCGTGCGTAAAAGAAACTTTTAAAAATTAAGAATATCTATAGATATGTATAAATATATAGTTGATTTACAAGGTACGTGCAACTTGCAGCTTTTAGTCTTTCACGGTAAAAGAAATTGATCATATGCGACTGGTATTCGAGATGGTATTAAAATTGCCACGTAAAAGCCACATCGAGAGAATAGTATTAAGAATCAGATCAAACGAATGTAGAATTTTACACAATTTACACGTAGGGAAAAGAGCGGACGAATGGACGAATTAAATCTACAACAGCAGCGGTACCAAATTGCCGAACTAAAAACACCGAGTCACACTTTAAAAAGTCACACATTCGTAACGGCAGAAAAACGCAACGTTCTCCTGCCGTTTACGACAAAAAAATACATAACGTCCTAATAGGTGTGCAATCGAAAAGGAGGATGCTTCCGTGGACGACAATTTCGAAGGTATCATATAGCCACATGGATCGTTACTCCGGACAATTTCGCGTAAAAGCGAATACTTTTCTACTTGCAAGCGCACTTTGCGGTAATGCGTGCATCAAGAGTGTAAAGGCCGTTTGATGAGCGGAGACTTTGAGCTGAATAAAAAATGACTCGCCGCGACGAAGTAGCGAGCACACACCATTGGTTATTGGCGACAGTTACCGTCATTACCTCGAAACAATGACTAGCAGCCGACGGCAAAGGGACATCGCGTACGCGACGACCCCTTTCAAATTGTTAACGTGGCTCAATGGGGTTTGGCCACTTGAAACTTCTACCGTTAACTCGTTAATAAGATGCATCTTAGCCACTTGTTGCATGGTACGCATCCTTCGAGTTCCACCTTGATGTGACCATCCTTGCGCTTCGTAACCGAGAACTTAGATCGAATGTCTCGTCTCGATACTGCGACGTTTTAGACTAAGTTTCCGCCTCATCCCCGAGCACTGAACGACTCGTTATAATTGACAACGCAGAAATCGGTGAAACGGTTTCGCGGGTGATAATAAAATCGCGATCGTGAATGAACGTAGTTGTGAGTCATCGAAAATTAGGTGTTATCATGGGGTTCATGGTTCATTGTATCTACTGATAGTTCTGGCATAGGAGTGACACAACTATTTCTGAAAAATTCGAGGTACAGTGTGCCATGTACGTCACCCAGTTCGCGTAATGTTGACGACAACGATTAGAATTTCGTTTCGGCCGACCGCGCACCGCGCGAAACGAAGTAGACGTACGACTCACGAATTCTCGTTAATATATTGTCCTTTGTGCCAATATCTTACTATTCACTCATATCGACAGAGTGCAGTAGTGATGTTGCCTTCCATCGAGCTGCAAATGGGATGCAACAACGCGGAGCAAAACGTGGACAGCTTCATGTGCATCTGTTGCGCATTGCTCTCCATAGTGAAGACCGTGTGTTTCCGCGTCTACGCGGACAACCTGAGCGTCGCTTACAACGCCGCGATAGACGATTACCTGACGATCAAGGATCCGGAACAGCGTAAGCTCATGAGGAGATTCGCTTTTATCGGCAGAACGCTCTCCTGCTTCATGGTGTGCTTCGCTTACTTCGCCTGCGTGGTCTACACGCTGATCCCACTTCTGAGGGACGAGCCTGCTAGTCAGCTCAACGCGACGAACGAGGACACTGTATTGGAGTACACGATACCGTCGAGATGCACCTTCGAGTACTTCCACGCCCCGACGAGCATGTACAAAATTATCACCCTCTCCGAATCTTTGATGATGGTACTCACGTGCACTTGCAACCACGGTAATACCTGTTTGATGTCTTAACTTATCTGCATGCAATGTGCGAGGTTCATTTTATCATATAGATAACATATACAAGCACAAAGTGTCATATAAAGTCGTGTGCAGAATCGTATAAAATTATATAAAATCATGCAATTCTTACGCGCTATCATTTAGAAGCGACATAAGCTAACGAATCAGCGCGGAATTGTGTATTTGAACGTGACGCGCGCTGACGAAATTGTGCAAAGAGTCCATCGATGCGTTTCCTGCTTGCTGTAAAGGTAACGACTCCATGTTCCTCAACATCACGCTGCACGTGTGCGGTCAGGTGAAAATTCTGAAGGCCGACTTCGTCGACATTGACGTTACAAATCCGCATGTACACAGTCGCTTGAACGCACTGATAGAGCGACACGGTCATCTGGTGAGGTTGGGTAACAAGCTCGCCGACACGATCAGTTTCATATTGCTGACGCAATTATTTATCACCTGCATACTCTTGTGCATAATGGGTGAATATCACATCACTCATAACGATCTCTCGAGAACCTAAGTATGCCTCATCGCGGAATATCCTTGCAGGATTCCAATTCGTCTTGGCGTTGAAGCAGAAGGACGTAGTTATGCTGGCGAAAAGCTGCATGGTGCTCACTTCCTTTCTGATGCAAATTAGCGTCTACAGTTTCGTCGGGGATTACTTCAAGGCTCAGATGGAAGAAGTCGGGTTGTTTCTTTATCAGAGCGCTTGGTACGGCCTCCCGACGAAGCTGACGAGAATCCTGGCGTTCATCATCATGCGTTCCCAATCTCCCGTCAAACTGCAAGCTGGAAATTTCATCGTGGTAAATCTCGCAACCTATATGAGCATCCTAAAGACCTCCATTTCGTACCTGTCTGTACTTCGCGTAATGGTGGACACGTAGATTGTAACACGAGCACAACAGAGGGGAGGAGGAAATCATATAAATCGATGAGCTCGGAGTTGTGTCCAATGAAACGGGAATTTGCGGGAAACAAGAGTTTATATAATATAGTGTTATTTTAATAAAATCTCTAATTATAGTCGCAACGCAGCCGTCTATTCGTGCTAGATCAACAGATTCTTCTCGCACAGCAGAGTGCAAACGTATGTACACTTAGAAAGCAGGAGATAAAAAATACGTCGATGTGTCTTTGTTCCGATAAATAAAACCTTTCAATACAGAGCCACATGTGCTTTATGTGAGAAATACTGTTTTCTCCCAGTGTCTTTCGATATTCTCCATTCAGCGCTTCTGTAACAATTGTTTTTGCCGTCTCTTCGAGAGGGAGAATCATTTTGCAATTTTGCGAAGCATTGAACGTTGAAACCTGATAAGACTCACACAACATATCCGAGACAAAGCCGTAACAGAAGTAATATCAAAATTGCGGAGCCGAAGAAAGCGTCGCACAAACGATTGACGCATAAACGATTAATTAAAACACTTCAATCAATTGTAAGCAAATAACGTATTGTAGCAAATATCACTTCACTGTCTTCTGTTATCTTCAACAGAGGAAAGCAACATTTTCTCTTGCTACTCGTGCGCAAGACGAACGTACTGCGGCCGTCAGAGAGGGAGGGAACAAGGGAGGGAGGGAAATGTCAATTTAGAAAACGTGGTTACGTAGCTTGCTCCGAGCATTTTGACATAAGAGAGCACTTTTCTGCGTTTTGCAACAACGAGCGCGCAAAGAACGACTGATAAGCGGGCATATATCGCCAGATGAATAAAAAATGAGTAGCAATATTTGCGCCGCGTCGATGTAACGAACGGATCACCGGTTGTTGGCGACAGTTACCGTTATTACCTCGACCCGATGACTAGCAGGCGATGGGAAAAGGACATCGCTTACGCGATGACCCCCTTCAAATTGTTAACATGGCCCAACGGAGTTTGGCCACTTGAAACTTACACGACTTACTCGCTAATACGATGTATCTTAGCTACTTTTTGCATGGTACTCATCCTACGAGTTGCATCTTGATGATTCTTGACGTGCGCTTCGTAACCGAGAACTTGGATCGAATGTCTCGCCTCGATACCGCGACGTTTTAGACAAAGTTTCAGTGTCGCGACGACATTGTCGAGTGTTTAAGCCTCCTCCCCGAGCATTGAATGACTCGTTAATTGACAACGCAAAAATTGGGGGAAACGGTTTCGCTGGTGGTAATAAAATTGCGATTAAAAGGATCGTAAATAAACGTAGTCGTAAGTCATCGAAAATTAGGTGTTATCGTTGGGTTCATGGTTTACCGTATCTATCTACCGATAGTTCTTGCTTAGGGGTAGCGTAACGATTTCTGAGAAATTCAAGGTATAGCCTGCCGTGTATGTCACCCAGTTCGCGTTATGTTGACGACGACAACGATTAGAATTTCATTTCGGCCGTTTGGCGATGTGCACAGCACCGCGCGAGAAGCGAAGTAGACGTACGACTCATGAATTCTCGTTAATATACCTTTGCTTCAACAACTTACCATTCACGCATATCGACAGAGTGCAGTAGTAATCTTGCCTTCCATCGAGCTCCAAATGGGATGCACCGACGCGGAGCTAAACGTAGACAGCCTCATGTTCATCTGTTGCGGACTGGTCTCCATAGTGAAGACCGTGTGTTTCCGCGTCTACGCGGACAAGCTGAGCGACACTTACAATGCCGCGATAGACGATTATCTGACGATCGAGAATCCGGAACAGCGTAAGCTCATGAGGAGATTCGCTTTTATCGGCAGAACGCTCTCCTGCTCCATGGTGTGCTTCGCTTACTTCGCCTGCGTAGTTTATACGCTGATACCACTTCTGGGGGACGAGCCGACTAGTCAGTTCAACGCGACGGACGAGGACACGGTGTTGGAGTACACGATACCGTCGAGATGCACCTTGGAGTACTTCCACGCCCCGACGAGCATGTACAAAATTATCACCCTCTCCGAATCTTTGATGATGGCACTCACGTGCACTTGCAACCACGGTAATACCTGTTTGATGTCTCAACATCTGCATGCAATATACGAAGTTTATTTTATCATATAGATAACATGTACTAGCAAAAAGTGTCATGTAAAGTCACGTAAAGTCATGTGCAGGATCGTATAAAATTATATAAAATCATGCAATTCTTATCATTTAGAAGCGATGACATAAACGTACAGATCAGCGTAAAATTGTATATTTGAACCCAATGCTGACGAAATTGTGCAGAGAGTCTATCGATGTGTTTCCCGCTTGTCAAGGTAACGACTCCTTGTTCCTCAACATCACGCTGCACGTGTGCGGTCAGGTGAAAATTCTGAAGGCCGACTTCGTCGACATTGACGTTACAAATCCGCATGTTCGCAGTCGCTTGAACGCGCTGATACAGCGACACGGTCATCTGGTGAGGTTGGGCAAGAAGCTCGCCGACACGATCAGTTTCGCTTTGCTGGCGCAATTATTTATTACCAGCATACTCTTGTGCATAATGGGTGAATATCACATCACTCATAACGGTCCCTCGAGAACCTGAAAGTGTGCCGCATCGCGGAATATCCTTGCAGGATTCCAATTCATCTTGGCGTTGAAGCGGAACGACGCAGTTATGCTGGCGAAAAGCTGCGTGGTGCTCACTTCCTTTCTGATGCAAATTAGTGTCTACAGTTTCGTCGGGGATTACTTCAAGACCCAGATGGAGGAAGTCGGTTTGTTTCTTTACCAGAGCGCTTGGTACGGCCTCCCGACGAAGCTGACGAGAAACCTGACGTTCATCATCATGCGTTCCCAATCCCCCGTCAAGCTGCAAGCTGGAAATTTCATCGTGGTAAATCTCGCAACCTATATGAGCATCCTAAAGACCTCCATTTCGTACCTGTCTGTACTTCGCGTAATGGTGGACACGTAGATCGTAACATTAGCACAACGCAGGAGAGAAGAAAGAAAATCTACTAGAGCAAAATCATATAAATCTGTCAGCTCGGAGTCGCGACTGATGAAACGGGAAACTGCGGATAGCAAGAGTTTATATAGTACAACGTTATTTTAATAAAATCTCTAATTGTAGTCGCAACGCAGCCGTCTATTCGTGCCAAATCAACTTCTCGCATAGCAGAGTGCAAACGTATGTACACTTAGAAAGCAGAAGATAAAAAATACGTCGATGTGTCTTTGTTCCGATAAATAAAACCTTTCAATACAGAGCCGCATGTGCTTTATGTGAGAAATACTGTTTTCTCCTAGTGTCTTTCGATATTCTCCCCTCAGCGCTTCTGTAACAATTGTTTTTGCCGTCTCTTCGAGAGGGAGAATCATTTTGCAATTTTGCGAAGCATTGAACGTTGAAACCTGATAAGACTCACGCAACATATCCGAGATAAAGCCGTAACAGAAGTAATATCAAAATTGCGGAGCTGAGGAAAAAATTAATATTTTTTTATTTCGCTAGCACACGATAGATAGACATGTTTCGAATATGTAATTAGATGCTGAAGTCGATCGATCGACTTTTTTATATAAAAAAAGTTTTTTCTCTGATTTCAGGAGATGCTATATAGCGTCTCGTTATTATTATTGTAATTTTTATTATTATTAAATGTCTCCTAATTTTTTTTATATTTTCAAGAGCGGAGCCTATATTTTAAGTAGCATTTTAAGGAAGGTGTTGCATTTATTCTCCCTCCTTCTCGTAGTCTTTTCAAAAGTAAAGATATGTTGCGTCTAAAAAAAATTGCACAATTTGACATATCTTACGGCATAAAATAAGTTTCTTCGTAAATTTCATGAAATATCGTTTTCTTGCAAATAAAATATTCTTAACGTAAAATCATCGATATTTATGACGATTTTTCAAATATAATTTTTAAATGCCTTAAAATATTAAAAAAGTAGTTCGTTTTTTATTTCCTTAATTCAAACGAGTTAGCGGCAAGTTCGTAGATTAATTATTTTACTTACGTTTTAGTCCCAGTCTACCGTATTTCGAGATTTTATAGGAACCGTGAAACGGCGCGCGCCTAAACACGTCACGTTATTTTTTGTATATTTGCTACATTATTATTCATATAACGCTATAAAAATTCATTCTTATCAATAAAATATATATTATTATTTCTATCAAGTTTGAAATCAATCGTCTGCTTAGTTTCCGAAAAAAAATTCGCGAAAATAGCTTATTTTTCTGGCCTACAGACAGAATTGCCTCCTTAATCGGCATTTCTGCTAAGGAGAAAAGAGGGAAGCGCGATACATGGCTATTAGAGCGAGCGAGACACCTATAGGGACAGCGCGGTGTTTCTATAGCTGTCTCACTCATATTGCCTGCATTCAAGCGTAGAGTGAGTGAGACAGCTATTGGGGACACCATTAACCGTACCACGTCTGGTAATGCTTTCTCTCTCGATCGTGCGACGTGCGATAAGGATGCAACATCGGAACGTCTCCCACCACTGCTCCTTCTTCGCTTCTCTCGCACTGCACTGTACAGTACGTCCATATGCGTATGCGTATATGCCTGTCATCGCTTTCGATTGTTTTACAGGCGTATACGACATCGCCGAGGGACACCATACGACCATACCTGCCTCTGAGTGTACGCGATGACTCCCTTCAAATTGCTAATGTGGCCGATAGGCGCTTGGCCGCTTCAAGATTATAATACGTCTGTTCGCTAATACGATTCATAGTGGTTATTTGTGGCATGGTACGCATCTTTTGAGACATCGATATTCCTCGATACTCGTAATCGTTTCGTGAGCATAGACAGTCGACCTTTACCTGCGCCTTGAAAGACGTTTAAGCAAAATTTGCTTTCTCTTTAGAGACGGAAGCAAAACTGGTATGACGGTGATACTATATGAGAGTGCTTAGTTCTGAACATTAAATATCCTAGTATTGATAACACAGACGACGAAATACTTTTTTTTTTGCTTTGAAATTATTATTTGCTACCCTATCAACAATACAGGATACAGGAAGCTAACGTTGTGCGAACATTTTATTATTCACAATTCCGATATATTGATATTTTCCTAAAATGTTCGAAATACCTTTAAGGAAAATTATGAAAATCTATTTAATTCTACACGTTCAAATTAATCTTGTCCAGAACTTTAGAGGTCACATTACACGCTCTACTCTGAGAATTATTGTTTACCGTAAAATATATTTCTATATTGCCGTAAGATCTGTCAAGACGTGTTAAAGTTGGTACACACCTACGAGAATAAAGTACATGACAAAATATATCGTTTTCACGTATTAACAGGCCATAGTAGTGATATTGCCGTGCATCGAGATTTACTTGGGCTGCACCGACGCGGACAAGAACGTCGACGCTGGCGCGATGATCATTAGTGGATCGATTTCTATAACGAAGATGATATGGTTCCGCATATATACGCGAGCAACTTTATCAAGACTTACAGATTCGCCGTGAACGATTATCTGACGGTCGAAGACGCGGAGCAGCGCGCCATCATGCTAAGACACTCTTTCACCGCCAAGACTTTCATGTGTTCCATGGTGTTGTTCTCTTACTACGACGCTACGATATATATGATAACTCCTTACCTGGGTAGTCTTATCAGCCATCAGAGCAATGTAACGCAGGAGGATGTTGAGCTGGAGTATGCGTTACCGTCGAGATGCGCATTAGAATATTTGAATGCGCCGCAGCAGAACATGTACGCCACGTACTGCATCATCGAACTGATCATGATGTTATTCGTACGGTAATATTTACATTTTGCACGGGATGATTTCTCCCCGTTACATAACAATTAGCGTAAAATGTCAATCGCCGACTGTATGTTAACTCCAAAATGTGCATCAGTGTATGTTTTTACTTCGTAAAGGTAATGACGGTTTGTTTATCCACATTGTGCTGCATATCTGCGGCCAAGTGAAAATCCTAAAATCAAGTTCATCAGCTTTGATATCACGGCGCCGCAGATCTACGATCGTTTACACATGCTAATTCAGAGACACGATCACTTGATCGCGATGACCAGGTTACTTGCCGATGCGGTCAGTTTCATTTTGTTGGTGCAGTTATTTGTTAGCAGCCTGCTGTTGTGTACGCTAGGTAAATGTTTACATCCCTTGTACTGATTCATGAGGCAAATATCCCGATGATTATACAGCACAGATTTACATGGGGCAAGTAAATATTATAAATATTTTTGCAGGTTTTCAGGTCGTCATGGCGTTGAAAGTTAACAACATTAGCATGACGTTGAAAAGCTTCATGGTACTCAACGGCTGTCTGGTGCAAATAACTATCTATTGTGCTGTCGAGGATTATCTAAAATCCCAAATGGAAGAAGTGAGTGCCTTTACTTATCAAATCGCTTGGTACCAACTTTCCGCAAAGCTGACAAAAAGTTTGTCTTTCATCATTATGCGATCTCAATCTTCCGTCCATTTGCAAGCGGGAAATTTCATCGTGATAAACTTCGAAACTTATATGAGCATTCTGAAGACTTCTATTTCCTATCCTATCGGTACTTCGCGTAATGGTAGAAATATAGAGTTACAGCTATAGAAAACGAATTTTACAAGACACAGCTATAAGTCTATGAAATTTGGAATCCACTTTCATAGTATGTTATTCCAATAAAGCTGCTAATTATAGCCGCAACGCAGTAGTCTATCAGTGCCAAATCAACAATCTCTTCCCTCGCAATGTACAAATAAATGTACACTTCAAAGAAAAAGGAGGGAAAGAGAAAGGGCTGTTGATATGTTTATTGCGACATACAAAACCCAATTTCTCTCTCATACGTATTTTTTGTGAGAAATATGCTCTTCTCCTTGTCTTTTTCGATATTCACCCTTTCGTGCTTTCGTGACAACTTGCTCTCACTGAATGGAAGAGAAACGTTTTGCGCGAAAATGTAACGTGAAAATACGATGAAACCGAACTAAAAGTGAAGATGAAACGACCTAAAAAGGGATATCAAAGACTTCTGTGACACGATCATTTAGACTCATCTTCATAATAACACAATTTGGTACGCGCGATGGATATGCTCGCGAGCCACTTTTATGTGATATATTGCTCTACATTATATAACTCTACGTTACAAACACAAGAGAAGCGATCGTGCGTCTCTTATATTAAATAAAAAATGAATGCTGTGGGTGAAAGTTTAAGTTCTTATCGGATAGAGGTTCAGTAAAAGGGTAATTCGCCGTAGCTCATGGCGACCCGCGCGTCTTGGAATCGTAGAAACAATTCGCCGAGCGGGTTGTTCAACGCAATTCCGGTTGAATAAAATATAAAGCGCAATATATCGCGTTGGGATAATATAGCGAGCACGTCGTTGACCATTGGCTACAGTTACATTATTTCAAGCCGATGACAAGTGAACGATGGAACGACGATATCGCGCGCGCGATGACCCCTTTCAAATTGCTAATGTGGCCCATGGGTGGTTGGCCTCTTCAAGTTTATAACATCTTTTCGCTAATACGATGCGTGGCGGTTACTTCTGGTATGGTATGCACTACATGCAGTATCGCAGTCGCTTTCGAGGACGTAGAGAGATAGCTTTTCAAGATGGTTTAAACAAAACGGATGTCGCGATAATATAATACTCTAATATCGACGACGGGAACAAAGAAATAATTTTTTTTGTGTGGAAACAGAATTATCTCCTGTTCCAGAATTTGGCATGAAAAAACTAATGTTGCGAATACTATCTATTCGCGCTATTTTGACACATTGATTTTCTCATGAAACTCTCTGCAAGGAGTTGGATCGAGTGAAATATTTTTAGAAATAATTGTTAACCTCGCACAATTATCTAATTCCAATCTAATTTCTCAGAGTGTTCGAATTAATCTTACTAATAACTTTAAAAGTCATTAGAGAAACTGAATTTGGAGAAGATTAATTATCTGCAATTAGATACCAGCAATATTGTCGAAAAATTGACGGGATAAAGTCGAGATATATACTTTCGTAGACGTAATGTGTACGACAAAATGTATCTCGTTTACACGTATTAACAGAGCATAATAGTGATCTTGCCGTCCATCGAGATTTACTTGGGTTGCAACGACGCGGAGAGTAACGTTGACGCTCTCATGTTGATTGTTTGCGGATTACTCGCTATGGCAAAGATGATATGGTTCCGCATACACGCGAGCAATTTAGTCAAGACTTACAAATTCGCCGTAAATGATTATTTGGCGATCGAAAGCGCGGAACAGCGCGACATTATGCTAAAGCACGCTTTTATCGCGAAAACGCTCATGTGTATTATGGTGTCCGTAGCTTACTCCGACTCTTGCATATTATTCTTAATCTCCATTCTGGGTAATAGCGACAACGTAACACAGGCGACTAACGTAACACAGCATGAGGTTATCCTGGGATACACAGTACCGTCAAGATGCGCTTTAGAATATTTAAATGCGCCGAGGAACATGCATGTTACCCACTGCATCATCGAACTAATCATGCTGCTATTGGTGTGCACCAGCAACTACGGTATATGATTATTTTTTCAAATTATATAATACTACGCATAGAATGAGTGGGATAAATTTTCGGAGTATACAAGTGTATGATCAATATCAGTGTGCGTTCACTTTGGAAATCTCAATGTGCTTTCACTTTGTAAAGGTAACGACTCTTTGTTTCTACACATCGCGTTGCACATTTGCGCTCAGGTGAAAATTCTCAAGTCGAATCTCATCGATTTTGACTTCATGAAGCCACAAATCAACAAACGCTTCAACGCGCTGATTCAGAGACACGGTGATTTAATGGAGATGACCAAGATACTTTCCAATGTAGTCAGTTTCATTTTGCTGATGCAGTTATTTCTCAGTAGTATATTATTGTGTATACTGGGTAAATATCTTATCAGTGATAGCGATTCATGGAACGGGCATCCGATGATTACGAAATAATGATTTGTACGGAATGAATGTTAATATTGTGAATATTTTTGCAGGTTTCCAACTTATCTTGGCGTTGAAACTTAATAACTTTGCTATGTTAGTGAAGAGTTTCATGATACTCAACACCTTTCTGGCGCAAATAACGATCTATTGTGTTATCGGGGATTATTTGAAATCTCAAATGGAAGAAGTGGGCACTTTTATTTATCAAAGCACTTGGTACAATCTTCCCGCGAAGCTGACGAAAAGTTTGTCCTTCATCATTATGCGGTCTCAATTTCCTGTTCAGTTGCAAGCGGGAAATTTTATCGTGGTAAACCTCGCGACTTATATGAGCATTCTAAAGACCTCCATTTCGTATTTGTCAGTACTTCGAGTAATGGTAGAAACATAAAATGCACTACACTGTTAATGAGACAACAACAAGATAGAGAACTGTAAGTCTGCAACTCGGAATTGATTTTTGATGAGATAAAAAGTACCATGAAGGGGGAAGACTTTAGACGGGAGTGTTATTTTAATAAAATTGCTAGTTATTGTTGTAACGCATTCGTCTTATTCGAATCAAAACGACAATTTCTTCCTACTCAGTGTACATACATGAAAAAAATAACTGTTTAATACACGAAGGAAACACATTAACAATTCTGTTGCGAAAAATATAGCGTTGTAAATTTTGACATACGCTTATTTTTTAAAATAAGAAAGACGATTTCTCTATTTTTCTTGATATTTATCCTTCCGCAATTGTCGTGACAATTTGTTCTCTCCTCTTCTTCAAGGCAACGATTATAACACAGTTATTTGAATATCACTCAAGTGTAACGGTTTCGAGCTCTTCGATATTTTCACGTAGCACGCGCCTGTGATGTTCTAGTTCTTAGAAAAACATATAATAACGGAAAAACGTCTCACCTTTCGTTGTTCCGTTTTTCTGAATCTGTACTCGACACCCTGTACACCTTCATTACTTTCAATGCAATTCGGTTGTTCATACCAATATCACATTTCATATGGACTCTTATATGTCAACGATTTAGCGTAAAAGCATTATTCACTGCACTTCTGATGACGATGCGCGAATTAAATCTATAACAAACGTTGCATCAAAAACGTTGAGTTAAACAAAATATCGCGCAATTGAGACATAAACAAAAAAAAAACGAGATATTTTTGTCCATTTATTACGAAAGTAACTCGCGATGTTCTTCCGTCATTTGTAAGACAAGACATGTAATAATTTTTCTCTTACTGTTCGTGTGCGATATGAGCGCAACTGTGGAGTTAGATAGGTAGCGATGTACAAAACGTAACCATATAGTTTCTTGGTCAGAACAATTTGACACAATAGAGCACTTCTCCGCATTTTGCACTAATGCGTGCGTAAAGACGGGTTGACAAGCGGGTATACGTCCCGAGCTGAATAAAAAATAGATCCTGATACTTGCGTCGCGTCGACGTAGCGAGAGCGGGATCGGTTATTGACGACAGCTAGTAGTTAGTCATCGTCTCGATCCAATGGCAAGTGAACAATGGAACGACGATATCGCGTACGCGATGACCCCCCTAATGCTCGTATTGTGGCCTTTAGGTGTTTGGCCGCTTCAAGTTTATAACATATATTCCCTAATACGATGCGTTGTAACCACTTGTTGCATGGTACGCATCTTTCGAGCAAAACCTCGACGATTCTCAACGTGTATTATAAACTAGTTGTTGGTGGGCATAGGATAGATCAACTTTTGCAAGGGACTTTTGAACCAAAGCGATGACGTTGCCGAGTATTTAATTCTGGATGTTAGATATTCAATTGTTGACAACATAAAGAGTGAAATATCCTTTTTCTAGAAACAATACGTGAAAGTAAAAATATTTGCATTACATGTTAGACAACAATATACAAGTATTGATAACTCTCTCTCTCTCTCTCTCTCTCTCTCTCTCTCTCTCTCTCTCTCTCTCTCTCTCTCTCTCTCTCTCTCTTTCTCTCTCCCTCTCTCTCTTTCTCTCTCGATGTGTGTTATAAATTATTTTTCTAGTCTATATTTTACACGAGAATACGCGATATATGCGATTTTTTTGTTTACTGTTTTGAAGATTACTTCTCGTTATTGAAATATTTAGATAATACAAAATATAAAATCTTGATACACATAAATATGTCAATGAATGCCTATATATATAGGAGAGGGGGACAAACTGTCTATGACACAACAAAAAATATCTGTCTGTATTAAAAAAATATTTCTAATATCATACTACTAGTTCACCTCATACTGTCCTCAAATTCGATATATTTCTTCACCAGCTCTTAATCCAGCTAAAAAAAAAAACTAAAAGATGTTTTACATCATTCTTATCTTTCATTAAAGATCGTTATTGATAGTTAAACATATCAAGGTATCGAATAAATGGAATTGAAAAATATTCTTTCTAAACGCGAGATCGGCTGCATATAACGAAATCTATCGTTTATGCATATCAACAGAGCATAATAGTGATCTTGCCGTCCATCGAGCTTTATCTGGGCTGCACCGACGCGGAGAAAAACGTCGACGCGCTCATGTTGATCTGTTGCGGAATACTCGCTATGATGAAGATGATATGTTTCCGCATTTACGCGAGCAACTTCACCAAGAATTATAGCTCCGCTCTGAACGATTATTTTATGATCGAAAACGAAGAGCAGCGTGCCATTATGCACAGACACGCTCTTATAGGAAGGACTCTCTTGTGTTCCCTGATATCCGTTTCTTACTTTGACTGTGGCATATACGGGCTAGTGCCGTTTTTGGGTAGTAACGACTTCAACCAGACCAACATAACAAGTGAAGGTATCATATTGGAGTACACAATACCGTCAAGATGCGCTTTGAAGTATTTGAACGCGCCGAACATGCATAAGATTTACTGTTTCGTCGAATTGCTGGCGATGTTAGTCGCAAGCACAAGCAACTATGGTAATATCTGCTCATTGTATGTGATTTTGTTTGTTTTTTGTGTAAAGTTGTGCGGAGAGTGACAATTTGTCGAGTGTGGCTTTTTGTAACATTAAAATTAACTGCGTTCAATGTACTTTTACTTCGTGAAGGCAACGACATTTTGTTTCTGCACGTTGCGCTGCATATTTGCGGGCAAGTGAAAATTCTCAAATCCAAGCTTATCAATTTTGACGTCGCGGGGCCGCGAGTCTATGATCGTTTCTATATGCTAATTCAGAAACACAGCCATTTACTGAAGATGACCAAGATACTTGCCAATGCGATCAGTTTGATCCTGCTGATGCAGTTATTTGTTAGTAGCATACTTTTATGTATAATAGGTAAATATTACATCACTCAAGCCAATTTCGTAAAATAAATCGTTCAAGTCAGTTTCGTGAAATAAATATCTGATGACTGCTTTATAATGATTTATACGGGCATTATAATTATACATAAATGTCATAAATATATATTTTTGCAGGATTTCAATTTATCTTGGCGTTGAAAGTCAACGACATTACTATGACGCTGAAAAGCTTCATGGTACTGAACGTCTTTTTAACACAAATAACAATATATAGTTTCGTCGGCGATTACTTGAAATCTCAAATAGAGGAAGTTGGTACTTTTATTTATCAGAGCATTTGGTACGATCTTCCTGGGACATTGACGAAAAATTTAACATTCATCATCATGCGAGCTCAATCTCCCGTGCAGTTCCAAGCTGGAAATTTTATCGTGGTAAACCTCATGACCTATACGAACATCCTGAAGACTTCTGCTTCGTATTTGTCTGTGCTTCGCGTAATGGTGGAACCGTAAGAGGTATCATGAACGAATAAACTGTAAATCTGCAGGTTGCAGCTGCATTCGTAACGTAAGAATTTGTAGAGGCGATAGTTTAATTAGGCGTAGTATAATTTTAATAAAATTTTTTGTCATATTCACAATATTTAATTGGCCTATTCGTGCGAAATGAAGAATTCCTCTGCGTGAGTAATAAAAAATGCGTACCATACACATTGGAAAGAAAGCACTCGATCGAAACGATCGAGAAAGATCGAAGATTGAGATTTTATAGAAAGTTAAAGATTGAGATACTCTCCAAGCTTATATCGTACGCGCACTTTTCGCAGCTAATTTTTCCATCTTTCGGAATTTAGCCTCGTTCGTTAAACCTTCGTTGTAACATCATTAATCTCTAAGCGTATCGGTTGTTACCTTCCACTCCAGCACGCTGGATTACAGCGTAGCATCAACATATCGTTCGGTACCATCCACTTTGGACGTTGATCATTTCTAGACAGTTCTCAGATCTCTACTAATTACGTCGACTATGGCGCGATTTTATACAATTTTACGACGGGTCCTTCTTCGCACAACGCACGTCATTCTCACTACGTAACGCTTCTTCTTCATCGCGTCATACCGCAGACGCAATTCGTTCTTCACTGTTCCACTGTGACTCCTACCATAGAACAGCCTAGTCATAGAGAGTTATTGCAACAGTGTAGAGACACGTGTACGCTATCCCTTTTCACGTTTATCGTCTCACCATTCCGGTTGCACCGGTACGAGTGAATAAAATATGAGCCCATATGAGGGTAATGCATCTTATTTGATGAGACAATCTACGATAATGTCTTGTGGCGATGCTCGTAAACCGATATCGAATTTGCGAAATCGAACCCTTCGCTGATAACCACCTCACAAAGTAGTTTCGAATGTGCAACCATCCGCGCAGTTTGTGCCACCATCATAATGCCGGATGATCGCTGGAACGATGATGTCGCCTATGCCTTCGACACTCATAAAATGTTTATGAACGCGATGGGTCTGTGGCCACTTCAAAAAATGACGGCGTTTACGATAATGCGATGGAGCTTACTGACGATTCTACTGGTACGTAACAGAGCGGAAAGAGAGCGGCGTGTGACGCAGCACAGAGGAGAAGTTAAGAAGCTTTAAAAAGTGTGTAATGTACTGACTTTTTTTAACGGATAAAGTTGTAGAAATGCGAAGGCTTAAATAAACACAGATTGTAAGTACAGCGATATCGAGAGAGCGATCTTAACGTTATTGAAAGAATAAATTCGAGGACGAAGCGCGAAATTATTGAGAATAGCAAGAAAAGTCGTCAGAAAGCATCAAAGAGACAAGCGTTGCTATCATATTTTTTAATAGACATTTTTTAATAGTCATTTCTACGTAGCCGCTCACCATATTTTCTAAGGCAATGGGTAAACATTACTAGTTGGGGGTGTTCGCCTTCATATCCATGGAGTTCACTAGAACCGATCGCGACACCGGCAAGAGCATAGAAACAATGTTATTCTCCATGTGCACGGGTGCTACCTTGCTGAAAAATTTCTGCTTCACCGTCAATCGGAAGAAGCTGGCCAAGAATATTAACGTCGCTATCGACGATTGGCTGGTCGCTAGGAACGACGCGCAAACGTACAAGATCATGAAGAAGTATGCGTTTCAATCCAGACTCTTCACCTCGGTGATATTATACCTGGCCAATATATGTACGGTTCTTTACATAATGGTAATCTTCTTGTTAAACGCGAGACAAGACGCCTTAGGTACCAACGTAACAGAAGGTAACTTATTTTTTTCAATCAGCGTGTTCCGTATATAATTATTTCAATGCAATATTTGCTCAACATTTGCATGGACGAAAACGATTGAGAATTGATTGCCTTGCTTTTCATGCCTGGTACTTAATTCCTGGTATTTAGCTTCATGCTTGTTACATCATTCTTTTCAACTCCTTCTTCGCTCTATCTGTCGCTCTATCTAACTTTTTGCTAGAGCCGTGTATTAATATTGTTACTGTTATTCTTAAGATCTGCATTTCACGCACAGCTAACACCAGCATGACGGACTTGACCTTTGTACTGCCATCCGGTGATTTGGGTAAGAAAGTCACCAGCATGCCGCTTTATGCTGTGCTCATAGTTATACAAAGTATTCAAATAACTCTAATATCCGAATCGGAATCCATCATGGACTGTTTTTACACCAACGTCACGCTGCACCTCACCGGCCAGCTCGAGGTGCTGAAGATGAGAATCAAAACTTTCGCGAGCAAGACGGACACCGTCGCGAATCACCGGAAGGAATTCGCCAAATTGATCGACAGGCACTGCGAGCTAATGGAGCTGAATCATAATTTAGAAAATACGTTCAATCTGATTATATTGTACCAGCTTCTTATAGTGACGCTTCTGGTCGCGCTGTTAGGTACGGCGAAGAATCTGCTTCAAGTTTGTCGCATGATTGATGAATTTCGAGACTTTTGAGCAATTACACTTGACCGTTTTGATCGCACCAGCCAGCAGCGATTGCAATCAAATCCTTATTCTCATCTCAATTTTCATAGAATAAGAAATTTCGATATTTCAGGGATACGAATATTATTCTGCATAAAGAACCACGATTACGTCATATTATCGAAAAGCGCTCTGGGTTTGAGCTACGTGTTCACGGAGTCCGTGGTGTACTGTTACTGCGGTGATTTCGTGCAGAACGAGAGTGAAGAATTATTCCATGCGTTATATACTACTTCCTGGTTCACGCTTCCTGCCTCGTTAATGAAGGATTTGAACTTCGCGATGATGAAGTCGAGCTACGCGTTTCATCTCAGCGGAGGAAAGTTTTTCAGCGCTAATCGCCAAGCGATGTTCAACGTTCTCAAGACCGCGGCGTCGTACATCTCGGTCTTGCGAGTAACGTTGATGAACGAATAACCTGAATGAACGATCACGCGTGTGTCTATGTAGCGCGAACGTGGAGCGTTCGCAAGAATATATTGTACATAGATCGTGAATGCTGTGTAAAAAAGAAGAAGAATATGATTATAATTAAATGACTTGCGAAAGTACGCTTTGTGGACCTCCTAATCACCGAGATGACTGTTAGAGTTCTTGAGCGAATTGCTAAGGAAATAAAAGCAAATTTCGAGTTTCAGTCGTCACTTCGAAGGGATACCACGCGGGGTCGCTTCACGCAGCTGTAGCAGGAGTTATTCGAGTTCATCGAGCACGGGAAATACTTCGTTTCTTCCGCGATCATTCAGGCAACTTGCTACCGCTTCATACCTATCGGCGACCAACAGGTATTATTCGATCAATTTGTTAACCGTTCGCCCCCTTCGATTAAGCGGTGGACAGCAGGGAGCATTTTGCCCGCGAGAAAACACACAGACCCGCCGTGCGTGCCACGATATCGTTCCACTCATACTTGATTGCGAACATTTCATACACGCACGTGGTAATTTGTGTGCATTATCGTACGTCCCGAAAATGCACTGGCGGACGAATTCGTCGCATCACTTATCTTATCGCCGTAAAGACAGGTCAGCATGGGAAGGACAGGTGTGTGCAGACGACGGCAATTGATCTCGAAACAAAAGTAAGCCATTGATCCGGCCGTGGCAATATACAGTCTGTCCCAGATCCAATGAGACTGGTCTAAAAAAAAATACAAAGCGTTTATTATTTTGATTTTTTATTCTTGTTTATTCAAAATAGTCTCCTTCTGAGTCAATACAGCGCTGGAAACGTTCAACAAATTTTTCGCAACATTTTTTATACTCATCGGCTGGAATGGCCTTTAGTATGGCGGTCGAAGTCTTTTGGATGACCAGGATGGTATCGAAACGATTTCCTTTCATCGCTAATTTCAGTTTGGGAAATAGCCAGAAGTCGCACGGAGCCAAGTCAGGTGAATACGGTGAATGATCGATAACAATGATGCCTTTTTTGGTCAAGAATTCACGTACCATGATGGCTTTGTGCGATGGTGCATTATCGTGCAACAAAAACCAACTGCCTGGCTCTCGATATTCCGCTCGAACTCGTCGAATTCTGGCCCACAATCGTTGTAGAACTCCCAGATAATATCTGGGCAGACACACAGCGGTCGCTTCGAAGAATTTCTTTGACTTTCTCGATGTTTTCTTCATTGCGAGTGGTTTTTGGCGGCGGTGCTCGGTCATCGTCTGCAAGGTCCTCACGACCGTCACGGAATCGGCCAAACCAACGGAAAACCTGTGCACGGGACATGCATTCATCCCCGTACACATTTTTTAGCGTTTCGTACGTTTCTGCACCACTTTTACCCAATTTAAAAGTTGGTTTTTCGACCGACGTACACAAAGTGGCTTTACATAAAATGTCAAACCACAGTGAAATATCAGCCGAATTCGCTCAAATTTTGAGGTTAAGTAGATGAAGGGTAGAACATTCACCTACCATCATTCACTCATAGATATCGCTGCGCTAAGAACTTTGATGGAACCAGTCTCATCGTATCTGGGACAGACTGTGTAATTCAGTCACGCATGACTACAATTTTATTTTGCTATCGATTTAGTCGTCGCCGAACGTGACGGGCAAATTGGAACAATGAGATGGATTACAGTTCTCCCGCGATCAAATCGACGATGGAAATATTCGGTGTATGATCGTTAGAAATTCGTACTTTGCACAATTCAGCGAAAATTCACGAAAACTCTTGAAAAAAATTCAAGTCGGGATCTTGAAAGCGATTTTTCGGTAATTGATACTTCCGACATACAATACAATCTCATGTGAGAATGCAATTTTATATTTATATAACATCACGTAATACATATATCTCTTTTGAAAGCTGCTTTTGTCAAAGTCTTTTCAAAGTTGCGAAATTCTCGAAAATAGTCTAAAAAACATTCGCATAATAGAAAGTTATGTATATGTGTAGATAAATATTATTGTCCGCCATTTTGAACCAAGAAAAATTATCATCAGAAACAACAGACGGGAGGTTACGTTAAATTTTTACGAAATTATTAATAAATAAATTTTATGTACATTCAGCTGACGATACTTTTTACATTTATACTGTGATTATATTTATAATCTAATTTAAGATCTCGAAATTTTCGACAAGATATCGGAATATCTTTAGAAAAAGTTAAGGGGTAAGACACATGAGATCTGTAAAAAGTATGTATTATTTTAAGTATGTGTATTTCAGTATATAAAATGCACTCAGCGCACGTAATTTTACATAATACAAACCTTGTTTTCAGACCAATGCGAGTTATCGGTGAAAGATCTAATGATCGTTGTGATAAGAACGAAGACTCCTCTTCGAAATATCATTGGACAATTTTTTCTATCTCATGCGTACCACCATCCTGAAAATCATCAAAACATACATATCCTTCTGGTAGGTGACTGAATTGAATCGCCTTATAAAAAGAAGTTCAAATTATGTCTTCTTCGTTGCAAGAGACATGCATGTAAATAAGTGAAAGAGATAATTATATTTCAATGCACCATCCGTTCATACCCTGGTAGCAGACTGACGTCAAATGACGTACTAATGACGTCTTAATGACGTTCATTAAGACGTCATTAAGACGTCATTAGTACGTCATTTGACGTCAGTCTGCTACCTGGGTAGTTTCTTCACCATTATTTACTTTCATGTTAATCGTTAAAGAATGACTTACCCAAGATGAATTTGAGTTTCTTTCGTCTTCTTGCGAATATCACTATGCACGTCACCACGAAAAACACCCGCCTCAATACTTTGTGCTCAATAAGGGAAAATAGTTGACCAGGTAACGAAAATGCGACTACGGACGCATCACAATGTCGTCATATGGATTCTTACCCAGCAAAAATTCAACGTAAGAGCCGAATTCGCAATTTGCTGCATTTTACGATAATGCGCGCATTAGAAGCATAGGAAAGACAGGCCAATAAGCGAATGTACGGTTCGAGTTGAATAAAAAATGAGCCGCGGAACATTCGTGCCGCGGCTATGTGACGAGCACATCATCCGTTATCGGCAACATAGTGACAGCCATTACTTCAGCCCGATGGCGAAGAAACGATGGAACAAGGACATCGCGTACGCGATGACTCCCTTCAAATTGCTAACGTGGCCGATCGGCGTTTGGCCGCTTCAGGTTTTCAACGTTTTCTCGCTAATACGGTGGATCATGACTACCTGTTGCCTGGTATGCACCTTTTGAGTTCAACACTGTTACGCGATCCTTTCAAGACGTAGGTACAGTAACTTGAGACTTAGGATCAGTCAAACATTTAGTTTAGAATAACATTATATAAGATGAGATATTCTTTAGTGCACTGAATCGGTATCTAGAAAGATATAAATTTGGAGAAGAAGGAGAAAGTTTTTCAAGTAAAGGTTATAGGGACAAGCTTAACGTTTGCTCGTACCAACAGAGCACGGTAGTGATCATGCCGGCGCTCGAAATCCAATTCGGCTGCACCAATACGGACATGAACGTAGACTCCCTCATGCTGACTTCTTGCGGGGCACTAGCCATGTTGAAGACGATAATGTTTCGCGTTTACACGGAACAACTAGCTGACAATTACAATTCCGCGATAAACGATTACCTCACAATCGAGGATGAAGAAAAGCGCGTCATTATGCGACGACACGCTTCTCTTGGGAGGATGCTCGCCTGTTTCATGGTGTGTTTCTCGTACTTCGCCAGCGCGATATGTACGCTAATCTCTGTTCTAACGAAAAACGAAGATACGCAGCTCAACGTAACGAACGTAGAGACAGTGGAGGAGTACCCGATACCGTCGAGATGTACTTTAGAGTACTTGCATGTACCGACTAGCATGGCTAAGATAATTCGCTTATTCGAATTTATGGCTCTTATACTCACGAGTACCAGTAACCACGGTAAGGATACATTTGTTAGTAATCGTAATTATCGCTTATTACTTGTAATTATTGTTTACTATTTGCTGTTTACTATATGCTGTTGTACTCCTGCGATTTGCTAAAATGATAATTAATATATAAAATGATTTCTAAACAGTAAGAAATCGCTAATGCTTGAGAGAATCAATTTGCATGTTTTATCCGTTCTTTCACGAAGGTACCGACGCTTTGTTTCTCAACATTACATTGCATGTTTGCGGCCAAGTGAAAATCCTGAAGGCCGACTTTAACAATTTTGATACCGCGGGTCCGAGAGCCCACGAGCGCTTCGTCGCGTTGATCGATAGACACAACTACCTGTTAACGATGGCCAGCAAACTCGCTGAGGCGATCAGTATCGTTATATTGATACAATTTTTTATTAGCAGCATCCTTTTGTGTATAATAGGTGGGTATGCTTCGTTTTTCCTTGAAAATATTCATTCGCGACACTTCTAACGTGTCGGCAAAAAAAGAATGTGATGCACTACAAGAGCTTGGATTAAACAGGCAAATACTTCCACAGAGCTTCAACTTATCTTCGCATTGAAGACCAACAATTTCGGCGGGGTGGCCAAAGATATCGTGATATTGACCTCTTTTATGACACAGTTGTCATCGTACAGTTTCGTCGGAGACTACCTGAAGTCCCAAATAGAGGAAGTTGGGCTGTCTATTTATCAAAGCACCTGGTACAATCTTCCTCCGTCAGTGATGAAAAACATCGTCTTTATTATGATGTGGGATCAATCTCCCGTGAAACTTCAAGCTGGGAACTTTATCGTGGTGAATCTGTCGACCTATATGAACATCATTAAAACATCGATGTCTTATCTATCTGTTCTACGCGTGATGGTAGACGCGTGAGAGACGCTTAAGTATAATAAAATGAAAATTATGATCTATGATCCTGTAATCGGTCGTAGATGAAATTCCGCAATATAGAGAAACAATGCATCTCATAATAATCATTTTTGCAAAATCATCAAGTCAAAATGTATTCGTTCGTGTGTCAATAGAGTGACTGAAGAAGGAGCGACCTTCTTTTGTGCAACAGCGATGAGAAAAGAAGCGAGAAATTCTTTCCGCTAAATTCATCAATTACCTACGTTTTTCCGTAAATTGATGTAAACGCTAAATTGCACATTAGGACTTGTACCAACGGTTTTGTTATGCCAACGGAAAATGCAATTCTAGGTGGAGAAAAAGGGATTTCTCTCCCTTCTCTCTCGGCCACTTTCTTTACTTATAGAAAATATTCTTTCTGGCAATTCTCTCGAACGGCGGTATTCTTGAAGATGATGGGACGTGTTGTAAGTATCAAAATTGCGCGAGATCAATAAGATATGAATACAGAAGCGGCAGTCATCAACTATCGACCCACATTATGGTCAATGTCCGGCATTAGCGAAACGTTGTGCAATCCAATTCCTATTCGACTACAAGAATGTCATGGAAAGAGGATGTGGCATACGCTATGACTCCTATCAAACTCTTGACTATACCCTTGGGTGCTTGGCCCTTACAGGAGTACAACAAGTTCGCTTTAGCGCGTCATATCGTGTCTACTGTCGGATTGGTACGTTCTCAGTTGTCACGTCGCAAAAAGCCCGCGAAAGCCCGATCGACTGTCACTCACACGGAGAGTTTATTGAACGAACCGTGTATCCGTCAACATCGACAGGGCGATATTCGAGTAATATCGACATGACAGAGAGACAAATGAGGCAGCTAGATAAACTATTATTTTCTATTGCCTATTCTTATTGTCTGTGCAGGCTGTGACGGTGGTTGTTCAGTTTCTCGAACTCAATTACACTTGCACCGGAGCGTACGCGCAGCTCGACGCTCTGACGCTCTTCACGTGCGGCATACTCGCTGTATTGAAGATAACATGGTTCCGCATCTACGCCGATAACCTGACTTGCAATTACTCATCTGCCATGAGCGATTATCGCGCGATCGACAGCGAGGAGAAGCGTGCTATCATGCGAAAACACGCTTTCCTGGGGAGAATAATCTGCATTATCGCCTTGTTGATCTCTTACGTCGACTCGGTGATTTTTATCGTGGGCCACTCGGCAACGAGCACCAGGGAGTTCCGACTGAACTCATCCATCGAGGGCCTTCGGTCGGGATACGCTATCCCATCAACGTGCACGTTAGCGCATTTCTACATCTCGAAAAACGTGTTCATAGCGATCTTCATGTTGGAGAGTATCCTATTGGTAACCATGTGTCTTGGCAATCATGGTAACTAGTCAATTGTAATTATCGGCGGCGAAATACGAGATTATTAATTTGTCTTGAACCTTTTTTATTCAATTACAATTAACCTTAATATGTTCGCTACAACGATTCATTTGGGCGGTCGTCCTCGTGTGTTTTCTAATTTTCGTAAGTCTATTTACGATATACGTTTAACATTTTTCGTTGAATGAAATAAAAAAGTGTTTTTCGTAGATGTGTAATTCAGTTTTCATACATAGAAATTTTTCTTTTATAATGCGACTTTATGAATATTTTATGACATATTCATCTGCAATATCTTTAAATTGTGCATTTTTTCCTCACAGTAGACTCTTAATCGTTATGTTTTTAATCATCTTTAATGATCTTTTAAAGGTAGCGACTCTTTATTCCTTCAAATTACGTTGCATATCTGCGGCCAATTAAAAATCCTGAAGACCGAATTCATTAATTTTGAGATTGAAGGCCCGAAAGTCTGCGAACGCTTCAACGCGTTAATTCAGAGACACGATCACCTGATAAAAATGTCGAGGAAACTCGCCGAATCAATCAGTTTCGTTTTGTTGGTGCAGCTCTTCATCAGCAGCGTGCTTATATGCGTATTAGGTGCATACACTTACACTAATTCAGTACTTACACATTGACGGAAAGAGACAGGTAACTCTGCCACAATCTATATTGGACAAATGTGTGTTTTCGCAGGATTTCAATTTATCATAGCTCTGAAAACCAGCGACTTTGGTATGATGTCGAAAAGTGTCCTGGTACTCAGCGCCTTTCTCGCGCAGTTGACGCTATACAGTATGGTCGGCGACTACTTGAAGTCTCAAATGGAAGAAGTCGCGCAGTCCGCCTATCAGAACACTTGGTACGATCTTCCCGCGAAGGCGACGAAAAACGTAACGTTCATCCTGATGTGGAGCCAGCTTCCGATGAAGCTGCAAGCCGGGAATTTCATTGTGATGGATCTGCCCACTTACATGAGCATCTTGAAGACTTCTATGTCGTATCTGTCTGTGCTGCGCGTAATGATAGAGCCATAAAAATATCCAACTCTTGTAACAGAGCTCATTACTTCTGCCAGGTAGATATCTATAGAAGAAGCCGTTATAATATAATTTTAATAAAACTACCAATCAGAATCTTACGATACATTACATTCAGTGCCATCGTGCCAAGTCAAGAACCTGTTCTACAGAAATACTAAAGTACGAAATGAATATCTGAGAAAAATCGCAAATAGCTTTCGCCGCCCCGAAGAAGCCGATGCACTAACAAACTTTGTCTCTTGCATGTATCTTTTCGCAAAAGGAACAGTTTCGAGATGGAAGATGTCATACAACATGTCATACAAGCGCATCCACTACGAATGAAAGTAAAATTTCCTCTCTCCTTCTCCCTCCATTTCTGGTCTCCCGCCTCCCCAGCTCTCTATTTTCGTAAAAACGCCATCTCCATCAATTTCATTGAATAAGCGCGCTTCGAGAAATAACAGAGTACATCTGGTATTAGTATCAAAATAGCGTAACTTGAATAAGACATGAATGCGCAAGCGAGGATCGCCGATGATCGACCCGTATTACAGCCGCACACCGACATTAGCGAGCACCGCGCAAATATCGTATTATTTGACTACAATAATGGAATGGAATGACGATGTGGTATACGCTTTGACTCCCCTCAAACTCTTATCTATGCCATTAGGCTACTGGCCCCTGCAAGAAAATAATATGTTCGATCTACTGCGGTATAGCCTGTGTGTCGCCAGTTTGGTACGTTTTCAACTGTAGTCTCGTGAACATCCAGCGCGTTCGAGTTTTTCTTCCGTTTCTTGCTGCGATGCACCAAGCATGATAAACTTGGTAGACTCCGGTAGAGTGAAACTCGTCGGGATCGATTGATCGTTTGATACGGCATAAAGACGATGGAAAGTGAAAAGGAGGAAATGATAATGTGTAAAGAGACAAGAATAGAAATAATAAGGCTCTCTTAATGTGAACACAGTCTGTCTTCCTTTGTTTGTGCAGGCTTGGGTGCTGATCGGCCTCTGTATCGAAATATCCTACAACTGTATTGACTCGTACACGAAAATCGACGCTCTTTTGATCTTCACGTGCGCTTTACTGGCATTGCTGAAGATAACGTGGTTTCGTATATACGCCGACAACCTGATTAGCATCTTCAACTCCGCCATCAACGATTATTTCGCGATCGACAATGAGGAGAAGCGCGATATTATGCGACGGCACGCTTTTATGGGCAGAGCGATTTGCTATAGCGTCGCATGTGTCTCTTATGTCGCCTCGCTGTTCTACATGTCGTTGCCTCTACTGATGACTGTTTCAGTAAACGGTTCCGTCGCAGGTTTCGAAAGGAAATATCCGATCCCCTCGATATGTACCTTAGGGTCCTTGAACATTTCGATGACTTTGCACATTGTGCTGTATGCGATGCATAGTATTGTGTTAATCATCATTTGCTCTGGCAATCTCGGTAATGAGCCCAGCCGTTGGCGCACTGATTACACAGTTTACACCAACTACAATGTATTCGTTGTGCGCGCTAAACGTTTCTTCATCTTAAAGCAATTTGTCGTTTATTCACGAAGGCGGTGACTCCTTCTTCCTCGCGATTACGTTGCATGTCTGCGGACAAGTGGAACTACTGCGGTCCGAATTTGCCAATTTCGGTGTGAAAAGCTCGAATTCAAACGAAGACTTTTCCAAGTTGGTGACGAGACATCATTATCTGCTGGATCAAGCGGTGCTGCTGACCGAAACGATTAGCTTCGTATTAGTGATGCAATTGTTCGTCAGTTGCGTTCTTATTTGCGTAATGGGTAAATATCTCCGACATCGTCATATATAATCACAAAAATGACGTACAGACAACGACTGTGCGTCTTTGATTTATTATCATAAAAGAATTTAACACTTCAAAAATTATACACTTCATAACAAGGAAAACGGTATATTTGTAGTATTTTCCTCGTATCGTCCTGATCAATAATTTGATATCTGTAACTAATTTCATCAATTGTATCACCTTTTGCTGTCCTTAAAAATTACATTAATTGAGTTGTATTATTTTTCTATGCGACGTATGATATGATACCCCATTGATAGGAAACAAAATTTATGAAAAAATAATCTCGCACACATAATATAACGCTAAAAGATTATTATTGATCTGTGCTATTGTAAGCTATAAATGCGGTGTTTTCTTCAGGTTTTCAATTTATCTTGGCATTGAAAGTGGGCGACATAATCATGATAATTAAAGCTGTGATAGTACAGTGTGATCTTTTGGCTCAGATGTTTGCCTACAGCTACGTGGGAGATTATCTAAAGTATCAAATCGAGGAAATTGCACAGTCAATTTACTGCAGCAATTGGTATTTCTTATCGGTTAAATTGATGAGGAGTACCATTTTCGTCATTGCACGGTCGCAGCAACCTATTCAGCTGGCGGCTGGCAGATTTCTCGCCGTAAACATGGAGACATTTATGAGTATAATAAAAACCTCTCTCTCGTATCTATCCGTGTTACGTATGATGGTGAAAACGTAGAATGGAGATAACCGATGAAATACTTGAAAAGATAATTGCACATCTAAGCAGTGTCACGATTTTGCGAGTTCGGAAAGAAACATATTTTTGTCTATATAATTAAATTTTTGACATTTAAGCATGCTCGGTGATATTTAAAAAAAAGTGTGTCATCTGATTTTATATTAATTATTGATATACATTGTATGTAAATATAAATAATACATCCTTAAGCACATACATGTATGCAAGTGCTGAACGACCACAGCCATCCATCTCTGCACTATGAATTAAATGCGATACCGCATGTATGTGCTGTGTGCTGACTTTGATCATCTTTTTCTTTCTCTTTGTTTATTGATTTCTTTCTTACGTATATAAGAATATCAGCCATGTATGACTTTGATGACGCAACAAGGCGAAATTTAAGTCGTTTCTCACTGTGACGAACAATTCTATGCTCTGCTTGCTATTAGGACAATGACAAATTTTGTGAAAAGGGATTTGACTTTTATAGAATTTTATAGATGCAGCTTGACGCTTTAACGCGTTCTTTACGTGCATCATACTCTCTCTATTGAAGATAACGTGGTTCTGCATGACAACCTGATCTATAATTATCCTCTACGTTATTATCACGTGATCGACATCAAGCAGAAATCGATTATTATATGAAAAACTTCTCAGCAAGGATAATCTGCGTCAAGGATAATAAACTTATCAATCTCTTATGTGAACTTGGTGATTTTTATCGCAGGATATATACCAATGAATACCTAATGCTTGTAAGAGAGATAATTATCTCCACTAGATAGATATTATATTGGGTGAGTGCAAAAACTTCTCTCTCGTATCTATCAGTGCTACGTGTGATGGTGGAAATGTAGAGTGAAGATAACTGATGAAATGCTTGAGAAAATAATTGTACATCTAAGCAATTTTGTAAGTTTGGATGTATCGCAGAATATGTACCGATGAATATCTAATATTTATAAGAGAAATAATTCCCTCCGCTAAATAGATATTTATAGAAGAGGCATTTATCCGATACAATTATATACATATTACCCAATACAATACAATTTTATAATACGATTTTTATAAAATTGCTAATCAAAGTCGAGACACATTCAGCTCTTTCTCACGAGTTAACAGTTTGTTGTTACGCGATAGTAAAATACAGAATGTATCTGAAAAACTTGCTAATCATTTATATTGCTTCACAGGAAAAACTGATGCACTAGCAAACTGTATTCTACATATTCCTCGGAAGAAGAAATCTCAAAATGGAAGATATACAGTATCACACATATGAACGCGACAGATGCGTTCGAAAGCGACGCATCTGAAGAAAAATAAAATTCTTTTCCTCTTCTTAACATTTTTTCACCTTTTCATCTATCTATTCATTCATAATAAAACCATTTCCGACAATTTCATGAAATGGATGTATTTCGGGAAATAACGGGTTGGTAAGTATTAAAATGACACAACTTCAATAAGATATGAACGCGCAAGCGAAGGTCGCCGATGATCGACCCATATTATCGCACACCGACATTAGAGAGCACCGTGCAAGTATTGTATTCCTATTTGACTACAATAATGGAATGGAATGACGATGTGGTGTACGCTTTGACTCCCCTCAAACTCTTATCTATGCCATTAGGCTACTGGCCCCTGCAGAAAAATAATATGTTCGATCTTCTGCGATATAGTCTGGCCGTCACCAGTTTGGTACGTTTTCAACTATAGTCTCTCGTGAACATTCCGCGCGTTCGAATTTTCCTTCCGTCTCTTGTTGCGATGCACCAAGCATGGTAAATTTGATAAATTCCGGTAGAGTGGAGAACTCGTCGGGATCAATTGATTGTTTGATACAGCACGAACACGGTGGAAAATAAGAAAGAAGAAGTGATATGTGTAAAAAGATAAGGACAGGAATAACAAGGCCTTTTTAAAACAGTCTGTCCTCCTTGCAGGCTTGGGTGTTGATCGGCCTCACCGTCGAAATCTATTACAATTGTATCGATCCGTACGGAAAAATTGACGCTCTTTTGCTCTTCACGTGCACCTTTCTGGCATTATTGAAGATAATATGGTTTCGTAGATACGGTGACAACCTGACTAAAAATTTCAACTCCGCCATCAACGATTATCTTGCGATCGACAGTGAGAAGAAGCGCGCCGTTATGCGGCGGCACGCTTTTATGGGCAGAACGATTTGCTACGGTGTAACATGCGTCTCTTATCTCGCTTCGGTGTTCTACATATCGTTGCCTCTACTGATGGACAATGTTTCAGTAAACGGTTCCGCCACAGGTTTCCAAACGAAATATCCGATCCCCTCGACATGTACATTAGGGGCCTTGGACATTTCGACGACTTTGCATATTGCGCTATATGTGATGCTTAGTATTATGTTATTCATCATTGGTTCTGGCAATGTCGGTAATGAGCTCAGCCGTTGGCGCACTGATATAGTTTACACCAATTACAATGTATTCGTTGTGCGCGCTGAACGTTTCATCATCATAAAACAATTTGTCGTTTATTTACGAAGGCGGTGATTCCTTCTTCCTCGCGATCACATTGCATGTGTGCGGACAAGTGGAATTACTGCGTGCCGACTTTGTCAATTTCGGTGTGAAAAGCTCGAATCCAAACGAAGACTTTTTCAAGCTGGTGACGAGGCATCATTACCTGCTGGATCAAGCGGTGCTGCTGACCGAAACGATTAGCTTCGTGTTAGTGATGCAATTGTTCGTCAGTTGCGTTCTTATTTCCGTAATAGGTAAATATCTCCAACATCGTCATATAATCACAAAAATAATACACAGGTAACGACTGACACAAAATTATATACTTCACAACGAGGAAAACGGCATATTTTCAGTATTTTCCTCGCATTGTTCTAATCAATTTATAACTAATTGTTTATAACTAATTTCTGTAACTAATTTCATTAAAGTCATATAACCGTGCGCTGTCTTTAAAAATTACATTAATTGAATTGTGTTATTTTTCTATGCAGCGTGCGATATCATTGATCCCACTGATAGAGAACAAATCTTATTAAAAAATAATCCTTTACACATAATATAACGCCGAAAGATTATTAGCGACTTGTGCACGTTGTAAGCTATAAATGCTATAAATGCTATAAATGGTGTCTTCTTCAGGTTTTCAATTTATCTTGGCGTTGAAAGTGGGCGACATAATCATGATAGTTAAAACCGGGATAGTGCAGTGTGATCTTTTGACACAGATGTTTGCCTACAGCTACGTGGGAGATTATCTAAAGTACCAAATCGAAGAAGTTGCACAATCGATTTACTGCAGCAATTGGTATTTCTTATCGGTTAAATTGATGAGGAGCATCACGTTCGTCATTGCACGGTCGCAGCACCCTATTCAGCTAGTGGCTGGCAAATTTCTCGTCGTAAACATGGAGACGTTTATGAGTATAATAAAAACTTCTCTCTCGTATCTATCAGTGCTACGTGTGATGGTGGAAACGTAGACTGAAGATAACCGATGAAATACTTAAGAAGATAATTTCACATCTAAGCAATTTTGTAAGTTCGGAAAGAAACTTATTTTTGTCTGTATAATTGAATTTTTGACTTAAGCATGCTCGGTGATATTTAAACAAGTATGTCACTTGATTTTATAGTAATAATTGATATAAATTATATGTAGATATAAATAATACATCCTCAAGCATATAATACATGTATGCAAGTGCTGAACGATCATAGCCGTCCACCTTTGCGCTATCAATTAAATGCGATACCGCGTGTATAAGCTGCGTGCTGATTTTGATCCTTTTCTTTTCTCATTATTTATTTCCTGCAACGATACAGTAATATCAACGGTGCATGACTTTTATAACGCAATAAGGCGAAATTTAAGTCGTATCTCATTGTGATAAACAATTCTATGTTTTGCTTGTTCAACTTTGTTTGCTACTAGAAAAATTTTGTGAAAAGAGATTTGGTTTTTATAGAATTTTATAGATGCAGCTTGACGCTTCGGCGTTCTTCACGTGCACCATACTCTCCCTCTCTCTCTCTCTCTCTCTCTCTCTCTCTCTCTCTCTCTCTCTCTCTCTCTCTCTCTCTCTCTCTCTCTCTCTATTGAAGATAACGTGACTTTGCATGACAACTTGATCTACAATTATCCTCCACGTTATTATCACGTGGTCAACATCAAGCAGAGACGAATTATTATATAAAACACTTCTTGGCAAGGATAATCTGCGTCATTATCTTGTTAATCTCTTACGTCAACTCGGTATTTTTATTGCGGGAAATGTACCGATGAATATCTAATGTTTGTAAGGAAGATAATTCTCTCTGCTAGACAGATATTTATAAAAGAGACATTTACCGGATACAATTACATACATACTACCCAACACGATACAATTTTATAACACGATTTTTATAAATTTACCAATCAAAATCAAGACACATTCAGTTCTTTCTCACGAGTTAACAATTTGTTGTTATACGATAGTAAAATACGGAATATACCTGAAAAACTTGCTAATCACTTATATTACTTCACAGGAAAAATTGATGCACTAACAAACTGTATTCTGCATATTTCTCGGAAGAAGAAATCTCAAAATGGAAGATAGACAGTATCACATACGTGAACGCGACGCATCAGAAGAAAAATAAAATTCCTTTCCTCCTTTTAACGTTATTTCACTTTCCCACCTATCTGCATTCATGATAAATTTCCATCATTTTCATGGAAACGGATGTATTTCACGAAATAACAGAGTACATCCGATAAATATTAAAATAGTGTAACTTGAATAAGACATGAACGCGCAAGCGAAGATCGCCGATGATCGACCCATATTACGATCGCACACCGACATTAGTGAGTATCGTGCAAGCATCGTGTTCTTATTTAACTACAATAATGGAATGGAATGAGGATATGGCATACGCTATGACTCCCCTCAAACTCTTAGCTATGCCGTTAGGCTACTGGCCCCTGCAGGAAAATAATGTGCTCGATTTACTGCGTTATATCATATGCAGCATGAGTTTGGTACGTTTTCATCTGTTGTCTCGTGAATGCGTCGCGCGCAGAAGCTTCCCATTCGTTTTTTTCTCGCGTATATCAAGTTGGATTAACAGAGCGGCAATAAAACGTAAATGTTGAGATTGAGTTGGTGGTTGGACACGATATTGATACAATAAAATTTCCTCTGCAATTCCAACGGAAAGTAAAAAAAAAAAGTTAAATGTGTAAAAAATAAGGAATGGAGAAATACGACCCGCTTAATAAATAGTCTCTCTTCCTTGTCTGTGCAGATCTGGGTGCTGATCGGCCTCAGCATCGAAATTTATTACAATTGTATTGACCCATACGCAAAGATTGACGCTCTTTTGATCTTTACATGTACCTCTCTGGCATTACTGAAGATAACGTGGTTTCGTGTATACGGTGGCAACTTGACTAACAACTTCAACTCCGCCATCAATGATTATCTCGCGATCGACAATGAGGAGAAGCGCGTCGTTATGCGACGACACGCTTTTATGGGCAGAGCGATTTGCTACGGTGTCGCATGTGCTTCTTATGTCGCTTCGGTGTTTATTATAACGTTGCCTTTGGTGACAGGTCACAGCGGTGTCATAGTAAATGGATCTGTTCTAGTTTATGATACAAAATATCCGGTTCCTTCGGCGTGTACTTTAGGAAGTTTGCACATCTCAACGACTTGGCACATTGTGCTCTTTGTGATGCAGAGTATCGTGTTAGTCGTCATTTGCTCTGGCAATCTCGGTAATGAGACAGTTGTTGGCGCACTGATATAGTTTATATGAATTGTTTGTTGTGTGTGCTGAACGTTCCATCGTTTTAAAACAACATGTCATTTATTCACAAAGGCGGTGACTCTCTTTTCCTCGCGATCATGCTACACGTGTGCGGACAAGTGCAACTTCTGAGAGTCGAGTTCGTCAACTTCGGTGTGGAAAGCTCGAATCCGAGTGAAGAATTTTCGAAGATATTGACGAGACATCAACATCTGTTGGATCAAGCGTCGCTCCTGGCAGATACGATTAGCTTTGTTTTAATGGTACAATTGCTCATCAGTTGTGTCCTGATTTGTATAATCGGTGAGTTTCTATTTCGTCATTGATGCATCTAACGGATTTTATCGACATTTTATTCTTTTCTTAAAAATTACATGTTTTCAATTGTGTCAGTTTTCCATGTGACATGCACTGTGTCGAGAAATTTATCGGTTGAATAATGCTTGGCATATAACATAACATTGAAGTGTCATTTTTAGGTTTTCAGCTTATCCTAGCATTGAAAGTGGGTGACATGATCATGATATTTAAAACACTAACAGTGCAGACTACTCTATTGACACAGATGTTTGCTTATAGCTACGTGGGAGATTACATGAAGTATCAAATCGAAGAAATAGCACACGCAATTTTCAGCAGCAATTGGTACTGGTTATCATTTAAACTAATGAGAAACATCTTATTTGTTATCGTACGGTCACAGCAACCTATTCAATTGATGGCTGGTAAATTTCTCGTCGTAAACATGCAGACTTTTATGAGTATAATAAAAACCTCCCTTTCGTATCTATCTGTGCTACGTGTAATGGTGGAGACGTAGAGCGCGAACAACCGACGAGAGGATTAAAAAAATAATCTAAGCACATCTAATCAATATCATAGTTCAGGAAATAAGAAAAAGAAAAGAATTCTTATCTGTATGATCAAATGAAATAATTAAATTTTTAAGCAGTTCGGTGATTGCTTAATTTCACATTAATTATTTAATATTAATTATTATTTTATATTAATTATTTAAATACTTTATATCGATGAATAATATACTCTTAAGTGCATACATGTATAAAAATTCTGTAACTAAAATTATTCATTGATACACTGTTAATCAAATGCAATACCGCGTACGTACTCAATATTAAAACAGTTTGGACATTTTTTTTATTAAAAACACTGCTTTCTTATGATGAGTGAACTTCCACTTAGCTAGAGGTCTATTCCTTTCGAAGAACTTTTGAACTAATGCAACATGTTGAAGTGAAACAGATATATTTTCTGTCATATATGTTCTGTTTTAATTTATAGTCTTGGTACAGAACTTCTTCGAAAAAGACCAGATTCTGAGAATTGATGCGAATATAGTACATAGATTTAGCACACAGACATAGCGTGTTATGCTCATTTTAACTCGATAATGTTTTGTATTAATGTTTTTTTTAAGTGGCTGCATTTGAGCACATTTGAGTATGGGAGAGTCACATACACTTTTTTGTGATCATGATTTAAATAAAAAAAAGCTATTATGATCTCTTTTTAAATGTCAGTGAGAGCAAAAAATACGTGACTTGAACTAACTTGGAATAAGACAGTCTATTTACGGCAATAATTGATATTTCTTATCGGTTAAATTGATGAGGAGCACCATGTTCGTCATTACACAGTCGTAGCAACCTATTCAGCTGGTGGTTGGCAGATTTCTAGTCGTAAACATGGAGATGTTTTTATAAATACTTATGTATAATAAAAACTTCTCTCTCGTATCTATCAGTGCTACGTGTGATGGTGGAAATGTAGAGTGAAGATAACTGATGAAATGCTTGAGAAAATAATTGTACATCTAAGCAATTTTGTAAGTTTGGATGTATCGCAGAATATGCACCGATGAATATCTAATATTTATAAGAGAAATAATTCCCTCCGCTAAATAGATATTTATAGAAGAGGCATTTATCTGATATAATTACATACATATTACCCGATACAATATAATTTTATAATACGATTTTTATAAAATTGCTAATCAAAGTCGAGACACATTCAGCTCTTTCTCACGAGTTAACGATTTGTTGTTACACGATAATAAAATACGGAATGTACCTGAAAAACTTGCTAATCATTTATATTGTTCCACAGGAAAAATTGATGCACTAGCAAACTATATTCTACATATTATTCGGAAGAAGAAATCTCAAAATGGAAGATGTACAATATCACACACATGAACGCGACAGATGCGTTCGAAAGCGACGCATCAGAAGAAAAATAAAATTCCTTTCCTCATCTTAACATTTTTTTCACTTTTCCATCTATCTATTCATTCATAATAAAACCATTTCCGACAATTTCATGAAATGGATGTATTTCGGGAAATAACGGCATGTTGGTAAGTATTAAAATGAGACAACTTCAATAAGATATGAACGCGCAAGCGAAGATCGCCGATGATCGATCCATATTATCACACACCGACATTAGAGAGCACCGTGCAAGTATCGTGTTCCTACAATAATGGAATGGAATGACGATGTGGCGTACGCTTTGACTCCCCTCAAACTCTTATCTATGCCATTAGGCTACTGGCCCCTGCAGAAAAATAATATGTTCGATCTACTGCGGTATAGCCTGGCCGTCACCAGTATGGTACGTTTTCAACTATAGTCTCTCGTGAACATTCCGCGCGTTCAAATTTTCCTTCCGTCTCTTGTTGCGATGCACCAAGCATGGTAAATTTGGTAAACTCCGGTAGAGTGGAGAACTCGTCGGGATCAATTGATTGCTTAATATAGCATAAGCACGGTGGAAAATAAGAGATAAGGACAGGTCTAATAAGGCCTCCTTGACACAGTCTGCCTTTCTTGTCTGTGCAGGCCTGGGTAGTGATCGTCGTCAACATCGAAGTCTATTACAATTGTATCGATCCGTACGCAAAGATTGACGCTGTTTTGCTCTCTACTTGCGGTTTTTTGGCATTATTGAAGATAACGTGGTTTCGTATATACGCCGACAACCTAATTAGCAATTTCAACTCCGCCATCAACGATTATCTCACGATTGATAATGAGAAGAAGCGCGTCGTTATGCGACGGCACGCATTTATGGGCAGAGTGATTTGTTACAGTGTCGTGTGTATCGCTAATGTCGCTTCGGTGTTCTACATATCTTTGCCTCTGATGAATGTTTCAGTAAACGGTTCCGCCGTAGGTTTCGAAAGGAAATATCCGATTCCCTCAACATGTACATTAGGGACTTTGAACATTTCTGGGACTTTGCACATTATACTATATGTGATGCATAGTATTATGTTATTCATCATGGGCTCTGGCAATATTGGTAATGAATTCAGCCGTTGGCATATTGATATAGTTTACACCAATTACAATGTATTCGTTGTGCGCGCTGGACGTTTGATCTTTTTAAAACAATTTATCATTTATTCATAAAGGCGGTGATTCTTTCTTCCTCGCGATCACGGTACATTTATGCGGACAAGTGCAACTTCTGAGAGACGAGATCGTCAACTTCGGTGTGAAAGGCTCGAATCCGTGTGAAGAGTTTTCGAAGATATTGACAAGACATCAACACCTGTTGTATCAAGCATCGCTCCTGGCAGATACGATTAGCTTCGTTTTAATGGTACAATTGCTCATCAGTTGTGTCCTGATTTGTGTAACCGGTGAGTTTCTATCGTCCTGTTTCGTCTACTTATTGATATATCTAACTGATTTTGTGTCAAAAGATTTATCGGTTGAGTAACCCTTGGTGTATAACACTGAAGTATGTTATTATAGATTTTTACACGTTATAATATACAGTCGCAGTGTCATTTTTAGGTTTTCAGTTTATCCTGGCATTGAAAGTGGGTGACATGATCATGATATTTAAAACTCTAACGGTGCAGACTACTCTATTGACACAAATGTTTGCTTATAGCTGCGTGGGAGATTACATGAAGTATCAAATCGAAGAAATAGCACATGCAATTTTCAGCAGCAATTGGTACTGGTTATCATTTAAACTAATGAGAAACATCTTATTTGTTATCGTACGATCACAAAAACCTATTCAATTAATGGCTGGTAAATTTCTCGTCATGAACATGGAGACTTTTATGAGTATAATAAAAACCTCCCTTTCGTATCTATCTGTGCTACGTGTAATGGTGGAAATGTAGAACGCGAATAATCGACGAGAGGATTAGAAAAATAATGTAAGCACATCTAAGCAATATCATGATTCTCGAAGGAAGAAAAAGAAAATAATTCTTATATCTGTGTAGGGATATAAGATAGCAAGGCTTCATATGCAAGACTGTATGTGTGAGAGAGGGAAAGTGTTTATGTTGGCAAACGAGAAACATCAGAGAATGATCCGCACGAGGTTGGACAACACGATAAAGTTGTCGGCGCGAGTGCAATACGCTTCAAAAGACAGATGCGGTACAATTAATTTCTGCCGAGTGGTATGAGCGTGTAAAGAGTATATGTGTGAATGTACCATATAGCTATAAAAGTGCAATTGCAGTCCAAGTCAGTTTTAGTTTTTGTCTTGGCACAGATGAGAGAGAGAGAGAGAGAGAGAGAGTGTGTGTGTGTGTAGTATTTCTCTAGAAAGCCTATTAACCATATTTGCTACCCGTCAATAAAGCCTTTATTAAACATCCTACATCTGTATAGTCAAGTGAAATAATTAAATTTTTAAGCAGTTCGGTGATTGCTTAATTTCATATTAATTATTTAATATTAATTATTATTTCATATTAATTATTTTAATATTTTGTACCTATGAATAATATACTCTTAAGTGTATATATGTATACAAATTCTGTAACCACTTTATTATTCATTGATTATTCATTTTATTATTCGTTGATTATTCACTGTTAATCAAATGCAATACTGCGTATGTACGTACTCAATATCAATACCGTTTGAATATTTTTTTCGATTGAAAACGCCGTTCTCTTATGATGAGAGAACTTCCGCTTCGCTGGAGGTCTAAATTCTTTTTGAAGAACTTCTAGATAATGCAACAAGTTACAGTGAAATAGATATATTTTCTCTCACTCTAATTTACTATCCTAGTTCAGATTTCTTCGAAAAAGAGCAGACCTTGAAAGTCGGTGCGCACGTGGCACAGCTATAGGTTTTAGCACACAGACGTAGCGTGTTATGCTCATTTTAATCTGATAGTGTTTTGTATTAATGTTTTTCTTAAGTGGCTCCATTGAGCACATTCGAGTATGCGAGAGTCACATACATTTTTTTGTGATCGCGACTTAAATAAAAAAAGAACTATTATGTTTTTTTTTCCAATGTCGGTAAGAGTACACGTGACCTGAACTAACCTAACTTGTTCCAAGCATATGTCTTTTGCATTTTGTTACAAACGTTACGATATGATGTTGAAGTATATATGTTAATTTGCATGTATTTACATATTAATAACGAGATAATTCGTACAAAATTGAATAAGCTACCGTCAAAATGGCGCAACGATTGAGCAATAAGGCGAAGTTTAAATCGTTTCTAACCGTAACAGGCAGTACTATTGCTTTGTTTAGTGGCATTTCAATTTTCCAGGGCAATGAAAAATTTTATAGAGATATAATCATACCTTTGGTTCAGCTGGTAGATCCAGAAATTGCCCACAATTTGGCGGTGACTGTCCTAAAATGGGGCCTTGTACCACAGCAAAAGATGAAAGATTCCAATTTGCTACATACAAATATATGGAACCTGCAATTTAAAAATCCAATTGGTATGGCTGCAGGATTTGATAAGCAAGGAGAAGCAGTGGAAGGATTGCACAAAATTGGTTTTGGCTTTGTTGAGATAGGTATACAATTTATACAACAGATAAATGTAAGTGCTGTACCTTAAGACCATTTCGCCCACAGTAGAATATCTTATATGTTGCAGGATCTGTGACACTAAAGCCTCAACCTGGTAACCCAAAACCTAGAATCTTCAGGTTACCAGAAGATTGTGCAGTTGTAAATAGATATGGATTTAACAGCGATGGTTACGATATTGTATGGAAACGCCTGAAGAAACTGAAAGAGAATAAACATTTTAATGGCGTTCTAGGAGTAAATTTAGGAAAGAATAAAGAAGCAAAAGATGCTGTTCAAGATTATATTGAGGGCATAAAGAAATTTATGGATGTAGCAGATTATTTTGTGATTAATGTGTCATGCCCTAATATTTCGGAAACAGCATCCTTACAAAACAGGAAAAATTTAACAGACCTACTAACCAGAATAAACATTGCAAGGAAATTGGTTGGTAGTGAACAACCGTTGTTGTTGAAGTTGTCTCCTGACTTGTCAGATTCTGAACGGCAAGATGTGGCTGATGTTATTTTAAATAACAAAACCAAAGTTGATGGTTTAATCTTGTGTAATACCACAATTACAAGGCCAAATGTAACGAATCCCAACAAAGAAGAGTTTGGTGGTCTCAGTGGTGCTCCCTTGAATGATGTTTCCACTGCTATGATTTCTGACATGTATAAACGGACGCATGGTAGTATCCCAATTATTGGTGTAGGTGGAGTTTTTTCTGGTGCTGATGCCTATAAGAAAATAAAAGCTGGTGCTTCCTTAGTACAACTTTACACATCATATATTTACAATGGACCACCGATAGTTGGTAAAATCAAAAGTGAATTGTGTAAAATACTTGAAATTAATGGTTTCTCTTCTGTTGCTGAAGCAATTGGCAAAGATATAAATAGTAGATGTGAATAATTATATAATTTTACATAATGGGTAATGTTAAATTTTATATTTATTAATTATTTTATGTTAAATATATTTTTATAACAAAGGTAATGGTGCAAAACCTATTTTAAATTTGTGATGTAATGTCTAGCGCTATATATTAACTCAATCAACATATGTAATGTATTCAACATATAAAAAATCATATATAAAAAATCTTGTTTTATCTTAATACACACTAAGTTACTTTTTGCATGTCATACTGTGTATATTATTATCATTAACAGTAAGTCAACTTTTGGAAAACAATATATAAAAATCATGCTTGCATATTGTTATTGTGATAAATATGTACATTTTATTAATTGATTAATATTTTCTGTATCTTTTATAAAAAAAATTACGATTTTCTAGATATATGGTAATATACGCATGAATTTTAAAAATAAATCTGCAAATTATGCCAAGGTTGTCCCCAGGCGATATTTTTAAGTAATATATTCCACGTGCCTATTACTATATAATTTTCTGCTCGTGATATAATATTGAAATTAAAATGTATAACGTACGCTGCACGAGCTATCTCAATCAGGAAACAAGTCTTATTCATACTAATGGTAATATTAGAATTGTTGGTAATACTAGAAATGGCTTGTCCTTGTGATGTATATATATTGAAGACATACCGATCCTTCCTTCTAGCTATTATAGCAAAGCAAATTTCTACATGATAATTTGTGATAAACGCTAATCTCAATACGTGCCATGTTTTATATAAATTGACCATTCGCGATGTTTAGCCAGATTTTGAGACACCGTGAATGTACGATACGGCAACTTTTGTATTTATTTAATAATAAATGATTATACTATTTATAATAAGATCTTTTTATGCGTAATCAAAGTCCCATACGTACCTATGTTGGAAATTGCAATTTCTTGGCGATTCCCGTATTCGATCGAACAATTCACGTTACTCGCGCCATTTCAAATTTCACAGGCCGTAATGTCGACTGTTACCGCATGGTGACGCTCTGTACATCTCGGTACATTCAGCATTCGTGTATTACAACGCGTCTGAAGTGAGCAATTTTTGCATTCGATATCTCGCTGCTGAATATTCGCGCAGCGAAACCATTTGCCAAGAGTCTCCGGATGACTTCACGTTTGCAGTGTTACACGACATCAAATGTGCCACGGCAGTCTCAGGGTTTTCCCGTAATAACATCGTAAGCGGAAGCAGTCAGCTGTTGTGTCAAGTGAACATCCTTAACCAACAAATTGCGTGATTATTCGGCCAATCTTGCTCCAATCAGGGCATTCGTAACGGGCTACGATACGGATCGTTGTACCAATTCGGTGGTGGGCCAGTGGCTATGCCCGTCAGTACGGCAAAGGTAGGACCGAGTCTTCGCATCGACCGCGTTGTCCGTCGTGGGAGATCGAGTCACGTCTCGCGACTCGTTTGCATCTCCGCGAGTGTTAGTTATCGACACGCGTTACAACGGCAGTGCTCGTGCGGACTTACCGCTCGTAATATTCTCGCGCTCCCGCGATCCCAGCAGAGTGCTCGCATGCGTCTCCTGTTCTATTTTCCGTCGTCTACGCTGTAAAGAGAAGCTTTCCGACGCATTGCTCTACGTGTGTCGACTACGTGCTGTGCACCTTCCTCGGCTGTTTACAGACCAAGTCTCACTGCGGGCACGGCACGAAACGCACCCGACGCCGAGTCCCTCTCTGCCCTTATTGTGTCTGTCGGTTGCACGTATATACATTTGAACGCAGTATGTATCAATGATAAGATCTGTCCGATTCCTGGTGCGAGGATAAGATCTCCAGAGCTATAACCAGGCTGGACGGCCGCCGCTGTTGCATCTGGCGGGAGGTCGCTCGCTCTCCCGCGGCGGACGATGCCACGTTTAAGTTATAAATGCGAAATAGAAATATCAGCAAACAATCCGAGTTGTATTTTATTTTGTCATGGTCGTGTTGTGAATGATCCTAATTTTCTTTGTAGTGAAAAGTGCAACAAGTTTTTGTAGATCAGTATTTGATGTTATTAATCTGGTGAAAATGGTCATAATGAATCATATGCTTTTTAATATCAATTAAACCTTAACTCAAGTTTAAATCTCTATCTGAAGAGAATTTAAACTTAAAAGTAGGTTAAATTGATGTTGATAGAAACGGACATTGGAGAATTATGCGCTACATTAGTTTGATCTCACAATTTGAAGAATGATGATTTGTGGATTAACATATGGATTATTCACTGCATTTTGTATATCTTATCATCCATGCTGCAGTGAAATTTTTATTATCATGAGCACATAGGCATAGAATAGTGTGTGATGTGATTAAATTAAATTATCACAAGTGGTGATTTATCATATTGGAGGATTCTTATAACAATTTTCTACTGAGAAGTCAGACAGTGGTCACTGATAGTGGTTGACATGTTAATACCAACTTATTTATGATACAAAAGACATCAAAAAGTAAGGGAATAAAATCAGCGTTGCTCTTTGGAATCATTTTTCCTATAAAGAATCTAGAAGCAAGTGGTTGTTTGATTGCAAAGGCTGTATATTTGCTGCGAATTTGATTACGAGTTGTGAACAGACAACAAGAGATTGGATTTTTTAGTTATGTTTGTACATAGATTTTTTCCCAATAGGTGTTCAATTCTGGCAGTAATCATCATTTACAGTCAATGTAATGCAATAGCAATATTAAATAATATGTTCAGCATGGAACAATATATACCATGTGTCTTACATTTTCACTGGCAGATAAAGAGCAGATATATTTGTTGTAAATATGTACTGTCTGTCGTGAAGAGATATGATCTCTTTCCCTCTTCCTCTTTTTCTCTCTGTGTCGCGAATCGAGCGTGTCGAAATTCGCACATGTTACATGACTTCAAGAATTGCAACACATCTGATTATTCATGCGTCCTGCAGACACGGTGAAATCGCCAATGACCATCGTAGCCTGTATTATTCCTTTCTCAGGGAAAGCAGCGAATCGTTTTGGCAAAAGAAACGGTTCTGAAAAATGCCAAACCGACAAAGAATGACGAACCGTTTACGTTGATGTCGCGACGAAAATAAAACCGCCGTCGTTTCTCTAAAAGTATTTGTTTCAAATCGCGCCTGCGAGACGGATTATTCTCGCCACGTGCGCGATGCTGAGTATTTTTATATCAAACATACGATGTTTGTCTATACGTTCTCGTCTGCGAATGCTGTATTAGCATTTCTCGGAGAATTCTTCTTAGTGAAAGTATCTTCAGGCGACGTAATATGTCCAAATATATATGCACATGATTTTCTGCTCAAGGCTCGCCTGTCAGATCGGCTTTACTTCTGTGTAACACTTTCATATGTTTATTAAATATAATACGATTTGAACGGAAAGATGTCTTCGATGTCTCTCTCGAGGAAAAATGGAATACCGCCCCGCTCGTCAGGTTTTAATTACCTCCGTAATGAGTCATTGTGAATGACAGCAGACGAAGAATAATGAATGGATTATTATTATTACCGCTGTTATGCGTGTAATTCCAAATGTTCGTCAGCTTTATTTTTAATCGATAATTCATGCAATCGATAAAATTTCATGCACATATCACGCGTCGTATAACTTGAATTTCAAGCTTATATAACGTATTTATGTAAAGCGGTAGAAAGTACCGACTGATGAAGTAGTTAAAGAAAATCCCAATCAATAGCTTTACATTTGTGAACTTTCTTACATAAATTTAATCATTTATATGTGATTCTTTTTCTTTTTTACAAAATTTAACAACATGCATCAGCAAATGATTGATTTGATGATGTGTGTTACGAGTATGAAATTTTTTATATAGATTTTATGGATAAATCGTGCGTATATTGCGTGTTGATAGTCTCCAAGTTTTTAGTATGCTTATAATTGTTTGATTTGATTGCAGAATCATTGCGAGCTCAAGCGACGAGGAATATGATTCTGTAGCAGTGCGTAATATTTCACAGTGTCTCTCAGGATGTTCAAAGAAAATGACAATGGCGCAGGAGGTTGCAATGGCGCGACACCTCGTCCACGGAGGATATTTCCTCGATTTTCATTACGCAGATTATTATATTCCAGTCCGCTTATCGGCCGGCGTATCGTAAGAACGCCCAGTTCAAGCAACAGGAATGCGAAAGGTAACTTTAAAGTTTGATCGAAATGCAAGAATAACTCGAGCAAGAATGACTGTGATGTTTCTTTCCAATATAGGAAATATTTCCACAACTAAAGATCAAGCAAGTGGAAGAGTGGCGGATGTTGAGAAAGGAGAGGCCAGAGTGAGCAACGGTTCGAGCCATTTCCAATTTCATAACATAGATCTACAGCGTGCTTCCAGCAAAGGCTCCGGACTGTTCTCTGCGGGAAAGGTATCTGTCGCGCGAGATAATAACAACGTAATGATTATGTCGGAGAAGATACTGCAAAAACTCAAACATATTACCTAGCCTATATTTACCTAGCCTGATAATGAGTCATCATTAATAAGCACGTTTATGCATATGTACATCTGCTGTTTCAGAGTAACGATGGACCGATGGAGTGTCCATTGTGTTTAGCCGACTTGCCGGCAGAATTCTTTCCCGTTATCCAGTCTTGCCATCATCGCAATTGCTATGATTGCTTTCAGCAGTATCTCAAGGTGGAAATCTCCGAATCCAGGGTCAATATAGCTTGCCCCGAGTGTAATGAACTATTACATCCAAATGGTGAGCGCACACATTCTAGCGTTATGTATAAATCTTACGTTTAAATGAAATTTACGGCTTCTTGTTTCTCACGACTCCTTATCATCTTTCTTGCATGTGCAGATATTCGAATGATCTTGAACGACCAAACTCAGTTGGAGAAGTACGAAGACTTTATGGTTCGAAGAGTGCTCGCCGTAGAGCCCGACGCGAGATGGTGTCCTGCTCCTGACTGCAGTTTCGCTGTAATTGCTAGTGGCTGTGCTTCGTGTCCGAAATTACGTTGCGAACGGCCAGGTTGTGACTCGTATTTTTGTTATCACTGTAAAGCACAGTGGCATCCCAATCAAACGTGCGACGCTGCTCGAGCGCAACGTTCTCAGTACTACGAACGTAGCTCTTCTTTGAGTTTTAGTCAAACCGATTCACAGCACAGTAAGTTAGAATCGCATTCTTATGGAGTGGTATTCATTTGATCGATTAATGTCAAGTTGCATTTATAGAGTTGTAATTTATGACATGTTCAGGAGACGACATAAAGCCATGCCCGAGATGCCAAGTTCTGATTGTCAAAATGGACGACGGGAGTTGCAATCATATGACGTGTGCGGTTTGTGGCGCAGAATTTTGTTGGCTCTGTATGAAGGAAATCAGTGATCTTCATTATCTAAGGTACGTCCAATTGTTTTGCGAATAAAGTCGTAACCGTATAGAACACGTTTGACGTAAACGAGCATGAAGTTTGAAAGTCTTTCTATCTTCAGTCCTTCTGGCTGCACTTTTTGGGGTAAAAAGCCGTGGTCCAGGAAGAAGAAGATTCTGTGGCAACTTGGAACTCTCATAGGAGCTCCAGTTGGAATCGGTCTCGTCGCTGGTATAGCATTTCCTGCTATGATTATAGGTTGGTATTAATATCTTGAAACGAATACACACATTGCGAGATGACGTAGAGATATAAATCACAGTATTTCGGAGTGATAGAAATAGGTGTCACTACAGACATTATATATTTCATGTTTAAGGTATACCTGTGTGGGTAGGACAGAAATTATACACGAGATACGAAAAGGCTAACAAGCACAAGAGGAACGCTTTCATTCTGGGCGGTGTTACTGCATCGGTGAGTTCATTGTTTTTTATTAGCATGAAGTTTCAACATTTTAATGTTTGCGAGATATACGAGTATGTTCTGATGTTACACTTTTTCACATTTAATGAGCATCGCTTATCGTTACGAATATTTCATTATTAAAAAGTGTCAAGTTCTCTCTTTCTCACGGGAGAATCTTAGTAAAGATACGAATAGTTCAGAACGCAAATTTCGTCTGTGATTAAAAGAACAAAATTAGACGATTAGAATGTATGCGGTAGAGCTGCAGCAAGAACTTGCTTTACTATTCGTGATAACATCGAAGTATATTTTATATATATAGTTTATACAAAGAACATGGATAATACAATATTTGTATATATAGCGTTAACAAAACAGCGCGTTCGCTGGAATAATTGTCGGAAGAAAATTGATCACGGGACGTATTCGGGCAGATGGAACATATTGTAATTGTTTCGCATGTTTCACGCATCTCGCGTTGCATCTCGAAGATATTTGAAATTTCGATGCATGTGCTGACATTAATCGCGTATGTTCAGCTGACTCCATCCTAGCAGTCGCATCACACAACTACCTGCCTAGATCTTTCATGACTTGGCACAGCGCACGTTTAAAGATCGTTCATCAACTTTTTGTTTTTTTTTTTGAGCGCAAGAACCGAATCGAAGAATCACATTAAAAAAATCAACGTCTGTTGATATAAAGTCAATCTCTTTATTGCGTAACACCACTTAGAAAAAACGTGCTTCCGATTGTATCCTACCTTACTTTTGAGACTTTCATCGCATTGGCAAGGTGATTCTTGCACGAGTTAGTCATTAAAGTGTGTGTCGCTCTAGCTTTTAAGGAGTAATATCCAACAGGATGTCAAAGCTTACACTAATGTATAACCGAGACATCTATCGTGTCGTGTTTAAGCATACTGACTTCGATCGATTTCCCCTCGCTCGTCTATAGTATTTCGTCACGTAGTGAAGAGACCGAGTATAACACAAGTTTCTAACGTCCACTATATTCTTCCGGCGTTTGCCGCCGGCAAACATTTTCGCAACTACCCTCCTTCAGCGCTCGTGTTGTTCGCGTCGTTGCTCTAGCTTGAATCTCCGTTCGATCGGGAACACCAAGATCGCGTCTTTAAGCTACGGATGGGCTATCAAAGTGTTTATCGCTTCGTATGATCATCCTCGCTTCGAGTCACAGCCCGGGATAGAAACGTTAGTTCGGCGCTGCGTTCGGTGAATCGACGGTGGCAGCGTTGATTAAGAATCCGCCTCGTTCGTCGTGACGATAGCTTCGTCCGTCAGCACGCCGTCTTTGTACAGATCTTCGAGAACGTCGAGCAGTCGTTGCTCAGTGCGGGGATCACCGAGCGCAACGTCCACGGAACCGATACAAAGTAAAAGCGCCAGCAACTGAGATCTTCTGTAGTCCTTGTTGAAGTCTTCTCGAGTATATTCCAAGTCTTTCTGAATATCCACGCCGAGACACGAGCACGTGAAGTTGAGTTTGCTCCAGTACATGTCCAGAAACAGGTCAATGTACTTGCGACGCGTCTCGGTCGGCACTGAGCTCAGTATCAGCAGCGCCACGTCATTCGTCGGTCGACTGTAAGTGACCATTTGCCAATCGACGATATAACAGTACGGGTTCACCTGATCGTGAGTGAAGATCAGGTTGTTACTCCAGAAGTCGGTGTGAGTAATCAGCGCCATCGGGCCGTCTGGGGCCAGTAGAGACGAGATTATATCTTTGGTACGGGGTCGTAGAGTCAACAGGATCTCAAGGATCGCGTCCAGACCCGGCCTGCTCTCTAGAAAATGCACCAGCTGTGGTAAGCCGCGCTCCACCAATTGTTGATACGAGTCGGTCGCCTTTCCTGTTTGAAAGAGAAACGGATAACGCTCCGGTAGAGACTGCCCGTCCACGACTTTCATCGCCAACGAGTGAGCATGGAAACAGGCGATGGCGTCTAGCGCGGCCTGCGTTTGAACGCGGGTCAGTCCTTCTGAAAATTTGACGCTCTTGCGACCATCACGCACGTCATCCAACACTAGTATCGATTCCGGCGGCACCGGGCTGTCGTCGGTCCCGCCTGCGGGAATATAATGAGCGTCAAAGCATATCGGGACCGACAATTTGATGTCTGTCTCGAAGCTGCTCATCTTGGGAATCTGTCTCTCCTTAAAACTCTTTAAATCCGGCATTACCTAAAAGAGACAAGCAGATGGGGGAGATTAACATTCGCTTTCGAAGGAAAGCCCCGGGATTACTCTCTTCGTCTCTTACCTGCGTGTAAAATTTGATCTCTCGGAGATCGAACTGGCCCTCGGTGACGAAGAAACGGCTGAACGGATCCTTAGGTAGCTGTTTTATGATAATCGGCCTCAGGTACTTATTTTGACAAGCATTCAGCCAGTATTTAACGCAAACGCTAGTGATGGAGCTCAGTGCACCTTCGCTGGTGCACTCGGGTTTCGCTTCGAACCGTAGGATCCTGACCTAAACAAATTGTCGCGGCGAGGTCGTTGGAATTAGCGCGGATTAAACGCAGGCGTACGTGTTACTCGCGGCTCAACTAGACTGACCTTCTCCCCATGATACTTGGTGAACAAGCTCTCGAGCCACTCCTCTCGGACTTCCCAGTCCGAAATGACCTGCTCCTCCCCGCACGAAGTGTCGGTCTCGTCGTCCAAATCGGACATGACTCCTCCTCAGCTGGTCTCTCTCTTTTTCTCTCTCTCTCTCTCTCTCTCTCTCTCTCTCTTCCCTTCTCTTTTTCTTCTTCTACTTCTACTTCTTCTCCGCTAACGGTCAATTTCGACGACGCTCGATGTCCGCTGAAACGCACAGGCCAGCGTTAACACGGCACTGGTGTGACTGCTGGTGTGGCCGCTGTTAAACAAGTGACGGATGCCGAGACGTTGCAGCCGGTACGACACGCCTATCCGATCACTCTCGCACACGCATATGCGCGCCGGTTCGCGCTCGCTAGCGTGAAATCACCGTAGCTGATAATGAAACCCTCGTTACGTGCCGCTGCCTTTTCCCGGTTCCACGTCCGTCGCCGTCGCCGAACCTGCGTTATGTGAGAGACCTCGTAGATCGATGCCCCAACACAGTGCGCGCACACTAACGCAATTCCTTGTCGGCACCTTTCATGCTGGTGTCTGTCAAAACGGGGCGCGCATGCGCGCGAGATAAAAGAGTTGCGCGGGGAAACAGGTAAAGGTGATAGCGAAGTCAGCTTCTCTCTTTTTAACCGACGTGGACAGTGGACGAAGGTGCGGCGATCGGCAACAATAGCTTCAACGTGTAAAGTTGTAGCACTCCAGAGTTTCCCCGTGAGAGATCCGCGCTTTAGGGAGACGAGGCTTCATGTATCATAAGCTTATTACGCCGGCCTGCCGGGTATTCTCTTACTCAGCAGTGTAAAGGTACTCGCGCATGCGCAAGATACAGGACCTCCTACGATGCAGGACTCCCCGAATGTTGCTTTCCGTCGCTTCCTTTTCCCTCTTCTCTTTCCGACTCGACTCGGTGTGCACATTTAGCACAATTAGAACCTGATGAAGCATAATACAAACCTTTAACAATGGTAAGGAGAGAGAGAGAGGGGGAGAGAGAGAGAGAGAGAGAGAGAGAGAGAGAGAGATATCATCTTGCTCTCTACCATCTTTCCGACCCTTTCCGACTTCCTTCGGCCTCGCACATGCGCGGCCCGTTTTGAACAACAAAAATCAAGAAGTTGCTCTATATGCTGCAACCCTGGCATGAAAGGAGCGGCTGCTACCCTTCAATCGTCCTACGACACGCCCTACGGCGCGCACCGACCTCCTCGCTTCCTCCTCGGCTGCATCCACGCGCCCCCGTGGATCCTCGAATCGCGCACGAGTGACACTGACCGACGACGCAACGGCTTGTTGCGGCTCGACTCGGTCGCGGGGATACCTCGAAGAGATCGAGACCTTGATGCGCGCATGCGAAAGCATACGAGCGACCTCGGCAGATTCGCGCTCGTACACGACGTAGAGCGCTTCCCCGGGTCCTCCGGTAACTTTCTCCCGCAACTTTCTCGTTGGATGCGCTAATGACATCTGAATCATATCGAACGCCGCCACGTTCAGCGCGCGTCCTGAACTTTTATACACGCGGGAGAGGTAGATTTCTAGAGATTGCTCTTTCGTATCATGCGCCCCTCCAAGTCCCCCCCGCCCCCACCCCGTTCCTCCGCCGTGTGTGAAGGTCATATCGATATCTTCGTTACGGCGAACGGTGCGTATACGCTACTGAAGTGACTGCGCACGCTTGCGAGGGATTTGATCTTTCCACGTTGCTGCAGGGTGGAACACCGAGAGATATCAGAGCGTGCGCGCGTACCCATTGGCGATCAATATCCTTCCTTCCGCGCCTCCCGGATCTCTCCTCCCACACGATATGCATTCTCTATCCGCGGCGGTGTTCGATCTTGGCCGGGTTTTCCCGCGTATGCGCGGCGAAGTGTCCAGTGAAGTGTCTAGCTGCGCGCGAGCAGGGCGATATCCAGAGATGTTGCATCTGCCTCTCGATTATAAATTTCAGACAAGTCGCGCACGTCCCCTTGATATGATGGGCGATGTGACTTTGGAATACTTTTTTATTCCATGGAAGTTTCAGCGTCGTCGCGAGGGTGGACCGCCTTATCGGGACAACGAAGTTTTCAATTCGCGGATAAGATTGTTACTCGCAGATAAGATTAGTCAGTAACATGAAAGACACGGTAAGAATACTATGTTGGGAATTATGCGATATCGATTGAGGTGTCGCCGCGAGGCGAAGAGACCAGTCGAGAGCCTTCGAATCGAGACAGAGCCAATTCAAAAGTGTCGATCTGCCCTTGCAGATAAAATTCTTCATCACGTCACGATGTTGATGCATGAACATTACACGGCAGATGCGAGAATTTAGATTGATTATTATTATCCGTTATCGCTAACAATAGGAACCTAGCTCGCGCTAGGTGACGAGCTTCCATCGCCGTGAAATTGTAGATTCTTACGTATCTCGAAGCCGCGTGGCCTTCGAGATTCTATCCAAGCATCTCTATTTATACTCCTGTGTATCGCTAACAGGTGTCAGCTACATTGCGTGAACGCGGGAGGGGAGCCGCCTTAAAGACTTTAATAACTCTTTAATAACTCATCACTCCGTGGGCGCCGTGCTTTGATGATAATTTTTTGCTGACTCGGCCAACGACGCGTCACGTGAAAGCCTCTAACGAGGTGTGTGGGCCGGATGCTTGTAATTGACCTGCGTTGTAAACTTCCGCAGGTTCTAGTGTCGCCGGTGCTGGCGGGATTAGCCGTGGGTATCGGTGTTCCCATACTGCTGTTCTACGTCTACGGCGTGGTCCCGGTATCACTTTGCCGAAACGGCGGCTGCGGTGTCACCAGAAACGGCACCGGAGTGCGCTTCGAGTTCGACGATGAGAACGAGCTGATGGGCGCCTTGGGCGCGCGCAACGGCGGAGGTAAACACAGTGCGCGCACACACGCACCCCATTGTGCCCCGTCGTTGTACATCACGCATACATGTCCCGTCCGATCAGATAGCTCCTCCATTCGCGCGTGTACTCGCGCTGTCCTATTCATCACATTCACTCCCCCTCCCCCTCCCCCTCCCCCGCGTGCGTTGGAACTGCCAGATCCTGCCACCGCCAGTCGTCGTGATCTGAAGCCTATTGTAAGTCTGTGTTATGTTGCAGATGCAGCGTCAATAGACGTCGCGAGTCACCGCGGCGGCAATCCTTCAATAGGAGAGGCCTCGCTCTCGCTGGGTAGCGGCAGTCAGTTGGAGAAATTAGGCCGGGAAAATGATCGCGAAAGCGCCAGCAACGTGGCCCTAGCTGGCACTAGTCTCGCGGGGAGTATAGCCTCCAGCGTACTACCCGGAGGTCAAAGGTATTTTTCGAATCTCGCACTGGTGAAGTCCTGTGTGATGCACCTTTCTTCCCTCCCTCTCTCCCTCCCTCCCTCCCTCCTTTTCTCTTCGATCGTCGTCACACGAAATATCTTTTATATCGTTGCATGTACGCACATGCAGATTGGAGGTCCAGGCTGACGTTACGTCTACGCAACGCTTCAGTCTGTGCAGCGAGACCGCGTCCGCGGCTACTAGTCTGTCGGAAAAATCGGTGAACGCTTCCATCGCCTTAGATGATGGCGCGGCTTCCACGAGGGCCTTGGCCGGTTCCGTTCTTAACTTCAAGGTGATTATTCTTTCGCCCTCGCTCAAATGTCTAGTGAATAGGACCGCTCGTCGGTCCTATCGCCGAGCGAATATTAAATTTAGCTGAAACACGAAACATAAATCTTACTTCTTCTTTTATCTCTTCTCGCGCAGATGGACAGCAGTTCAATCAGCGGTGGTAGAAGTACGGAGGGAGAGCAACCAGCTAGCTCCACCAACGGCGGTCATATGGACTCTGCTGGTCAAGCGACATCGTTGAGCTCGTTGGAAGAAATGGCGCCGGGCTTAGCAAAACGCACCCGGCGTAAGCTTACGTTTGATCCTCAGTGCAGCGATTCTGGTAGCTGGATTATGGGCGGCGAGGACGGTGTCTCGGAACGAGTACGATTCGACGATCACGTCAGTGTAATTGAAGCGGATCAAGAGAGGGTAGTGGGTGGCAAGTTGGAAAGCTGCGCGATGAATAATCGTTCAACCGGCGGCCGTAAGCGCAATAAAGATCCGGAGCAAGAGACGGATGTTCAAAAGACGTCCAAGTACGAATCGCGGAATAACTGTTAAGTCACAGCCGAATTGCATTACGAATTGTGTCACTATTGCGATATTGTGTAATTATGTAGGAGCCCGAACGGTGAGTCGAACGCCGAGAGCCCCGTGGACGATACTTCGCGGGAGCGCATCAACGTCGCCACTTTGAGAAACGTATTTTTTCACGCTTCAGCGATATCCACGGATCGCGAGAAACGACTGTCGGTCATAGAGGAGCCGACGCCGCTGACCGTGTCGCAAGCTGCCGGCAATCGAATCTGCACTTCTTGCGACGAGGGTCAGAGTTCTACCGTTGCGGACGAGAATTTGCGTTGCTAAGATGGTTAAGACTGAACATGGATGTACGATGTGTGTACAGATGCGTATATACATATGTTGAGTGTGTATATATGTATTAAATACCGGATAAATGTACGATGCGTTAACACGTTAAGCACGACGATTGTACATATCCACATATACATACATAATACGCATAGTTCAAATGCTACACAAGAAACAAAGAAATAAAAATATCGCAAAAAAAGTAACTCTAGTGCATTTGCGCTGTGACCGTGTATATGTGAGTATACTCTGTACATATATATACATATGTTATATGCATATGTATAGTATGTATGTGCGTATATATGTGTGTATATATATATATGTGTGTATATATATGTATGTATGTAGTTACATACATATGTATATACAGACATAATACATATACATAAGATATACAAATACACCACATATGGCCCCCAGATCGTTATGGAAAGTGAATATGAAAGTTAAATACAAAATTCTTTTTTGCGTCAGCATTAATAATGAAATGCATTAAATTACATTCGTTATTATGATAGACGGAACGGAAGTCCTATCATTTACATTAATATTATCTTCCGATTGTCAACATTCGGTTTGTAACGAACAGGAGGACAATACAAGCTAAGAAAAAGAATTACTAAAGTGAAAGTTAATCTCACGGGTTGTCGTTGCATTTTATAAGTCAAATACTGCTCATTACGTCTTTAAGTATAACGCGTTTAATCGTATGTTTAATCTATCGGCTAGTACATGTATAACAATATATGCATATGAGCATCTCCCAAAAAATGTGTCTGCCCTTGCTGTGTGAAAATATATGTAATACGACAAGTAGCTTTATTTTTCTCAAAACAATAAGTATTCTTTCGCGTTATGTTATATATATATATATACAAGAATGCTGCAAGTGGAAAAGATTGTAACTTTTATGATACTTTGATGTTTTTATATACTTTTTTTTTCGATTTACATGGCGCACACATAAAATATTTTATTTATTCAATAAGTGGAAGAATGAGTTTATATACATTTTTGCATATCATTTCTGCATTTGTCAGTTTATATGCATATTGGTTATAAATGTTAGTTATAAATGATTTCAAAGAAATAATTTTATATTCTTTGAAATAGTCATTTACAGTCAATGAGTAGTAATTTTATCTTATAACTTTTTACGATAAATTCCAAGTCAAATTAATTTAATGTTAAGTCAAATTCGGGGACATATAATGCATATTGGTTCTGTAAAATGGAGTTTAAAATTGCAAAATATTTAGTGTTTAAGTAATTTTATTTTTCATTTTATTCTTACATATACGAAATAATAATTTAGTCGATAGCTTACGAAAAGAAGATGTTGCTTTGGATACGTGGACCCAAGAAAAACCGAATTTTGAACTATGACATAAACTGCCGCCTTTTCTCTTTATATGCAAACAGTAGTACTCTAGTTGTTGTATTTAAGCGAAATTTACACCAAAAACATATTTGCAATTATTGATAAATTTACTGTATAAAAAAAGTACTAAAGTAAATACATTCTCAGCATATTATGTTTAAATTATTAGGTTCAGAAGATTAAATAATCTTACTTAAAGAGTAAGTAAGTTTTGTTTCCCCAGTCATCATTATATCAAACAGTATGATTATAAAATTTATTTCATACTGTGAAGGAGCGAAGGAGTAAAACATATTGCCAGAATTGATAGAAAATCAATAATTAGATAGTAAAACTTTGATTCCTAGTTCAAAATTTTAACAGGTCCTTAAAAGAATTTTATATTCATTTTTGTGTGAATATTTTTCAAATACATATTGTATTCTTGCAAATATACTGATGTAAATCATAATTTTATTTTAGTTAAATATCTTTTCATTATGTATTTTAATAATAGTAAAACCATTGTCATTTGAAGATTCAAGCGTGTAATAAAATTTATTAAATTACACAATTATAATAAGAATAATAACATTGCTTAAGAAACACATTTTGTGTGTTGTGTGTGTATGTTGAGATGTGTGAATGAGAGAAATACATAACTTTTCAAACACTAATTACACAACCTTTAACATACAGGAAATGGAAATATTATTTAGAATTATTACTTAATGTGATTATATAGTGCTGGCATTCACAAATGATATGTAAGGTTACATATTTTACTTTGCCTGTACTTGCCTGTCATTAAAAATATTGTACAGCACAGAAGTATCTTTTAAATAATGCACTGTTATCATTTTACATGCCAATGTAATAAATGTATATATTTCTCTGGGAAGCAAAATAAACTACTATACCAGACTAGAAATGAAACATTTAAAACATTATTAAAAACTACCATATTAAAGAAATATCAAATTTAAGATTTAATAATTGATTCTACTGTAACTTTAGATTTATGAATAATTGTTTTACGGTAATAAGAAAAATACTCCCATTTAGTAACATATAATATAAATAATATTTATTATTCAAATAAACAAGGAAAATCAACTCATCTCTATATATCAAAGTGTCTTATATTTTTTACAATCTATAACGATCGACTTAGAAATAAGGGTGATTTTTTAAATAATTCATCCACTTTTATTTTGAACAATTCACTTTGTATAGGTTCATTTAATTGGCAGAGTGGATTTTTTACTACATATTCCAAATATACCTAAAGTGAAAAATGTATAGTTATATATATATATATATACATATATGTACTAGTTTATCTGTACATCCGATATAAAAACAAAGGTATAAAAAATCTTACTTCTCTGTGCAATTGCTGCAACAATTCTCTAGCATTCTGACTTGCATTGTCGGTATTTAAGACAAACTTAAGTCCTGATGGCGTTTCAAAGTAATGAAGTGTGTATTTACTAGTCTTGAAATACAAAAATCCTTCCTTGGGGTCCAATGGCGAGATTTTACTTACAAATGATTTTATGGAAAACAACATTCCATACATTAACTTTGCTTCCTAAGTTATAGCAAATATATTTCAAATAATTATAAACTAAAGGTCTGTCAAGTTTGATACACATAACAGTGTCACACAAGTATTCAATTACACAATAACTTTAAATTACATGTAACATTATTTTATTAAATATCTGATCATATATCATACGATCATTTATTTATAAATCTTATTTGTGTATTTTTCATAAAACTGTTACAATAAGAGATAAAACGATATCTTCATAACGACATTGTTATCACAAATTTCAGGTTAGTTTCTGTGTAATTGACATCTTGATGAATCTACTACACACCTCTTCTTTGGTTATTCCCGATTTATTCAATCTGTTCCATTCTGCATAATATAGTAATGTACCAGTTTTCGAAAAGATATACAAATTGTGAATTGTCATAGCCGTATCCTTTGTTGCTCCACACAATTCACACTGTCTGAGAATGTGAGATGTTTGACTGATGAATCAATGTTTGATATAGTTTTCCTTAAAGAAGCTAGCTTATGTTTTGGTGCTTTTAAATTAGTTGATCCCTATGTTGATAGGTTTTAAATAGATATCAATAGATTTCATTGTCAGTGTATCTCACTACGGAAAAATAAAAGATCATATGATGATTCGTCTTTGAGTAATATTGGGAAGTTTTCATCACCACCGCTAGATGGTGCCAGGTAGGCTATGACCAGAGAGAAGTCTGACAGCGCTATGACGGTGAGTTTTCCGTAACGCTATATATTTTAAAACGCCTCGATATCCTATTTTAAATTAAAGAACACGAACAACGTCCATTATTTTTCTTAGTGGATTTAGGGTAAAAGTTCTTTCAATAAATATTAATATATTTATTAATATTCACTATTACTAGTGCCAATTTGAAGTTATAAAAAAAGACTATATTTAGAAAAAAATGAAAGATTATTATTTAGCTGGATATTAAATTACACATTATTAAAAACAACCAGAACAGGTTTCAATATAAGAAATTCATCTGAATTTCTTGCCTGTTGAGTGAAAACATTTATAATTCAATCAATCAATCAATTCTGTTGATCTACGATCACGCAATTGTTTGAGTAATACAAACGTTTTCCCAATAATATTTCAATAAATTTAATTTATTACGCGAATGATACAATTCATAAATTGCTATTTAATGCTGCGAAATGTTATATTTATCTTGCTATCATGCCAATCGAAGAATCATTCTGCAGCATGATAATTAGATGCCTTCGTGTCTTTCGCGATCAATCTCCGCTGATTTCACACTTTCGGTCATACGTCAAGTCGTCATTCGGTCATTGAACCGAGACAGCAAGACAGACTAACCGAAAATGTAAGTTAAAAAAATAACACGCCAACACCCCCGCCGATCACCTATTCCGGACCGTAAATGGCACGTTTCTCTGCGCGAAATTATTTTCGAAAAATCGGGTTTCATCTCCAAGAGAAATCAACATGTCCTGCGATCAAGTTGGTATCAAGAGACGACGTCCTGCCACCGGTTGTTGCGGTTATTACATATAATTTAGACAATTGGAATATTTCCAGGGAAAACATTTCAAAACAGAATACTTCAAAGAAATTCTCCATGATAGCAAAAACGATATATCTTAATTTCTGTATTCGTCTCTCCCTTCCTCTTTTATCCTCGAAAGCTCTCTTCCGTCATGCATCTCGGGAATGCGATCAGGCTTCATCGTCAGCGTTTCTGATGAATTCGCGATGTTGTTGCGCGCAGGTAGCGGACGCACGTCGGACAGCAGGAACGGTTGTTTCGAGGCGCGCATACCGTCCTGTAATTGCCAGAGCAACGCGGGATGCTTGGATGGCAACGATTGCGGCGGCTTGCGGCTCACCGGAAGCGCCGCGACGGGTGCGTGTCCTGGGCCATGTCAATGCGCCGAGGAGGAAATGTGGAACAGTAACGCGCCGCCGAAACCAAATTGCCGATGGTTGAGCAACTTTGCCGAGCTGCGTCGTCAATGGAGCGACCACGGACGCCAACGGACTTGCAAGTGCTGCAGCTGCCGACCCGCGTGGTAGGGAATGCAACGACGATTAAGTAATATCTCTCGCTAGTTCGACGACCGACAGGGAGGGAAAGCGAGAGTGAGACGAGGGTGAGCGAGGAGAGTGACTCTCGATGCCGTCGTTCTTCCCGTGACAGAACGTAAAAGGACGAGCGTCCCTACATCGGTCCTACATGTTACATTTCCTTCCTCTCACTCTCCGAGTAACAATGACGTCGGTCGGTCTCGCGCTTGCGGAGAGATATTGATATTCTGTCTTGAAGCACACGGCAAAACGCAGTCTCTCTCTCTCTCTCTCTCTCTCTCGATTTCGCCTCTCACGTGCGCGAGCGTACGCGCGAGAACGTTCGTGCAAGTCCTCCGGAAAAACATTCTCTCTCCGCGATGTTCTTTCCTCGCGCGATTGTTCCCGGCTGAGATTTATCGATAGCTCCGAGAAAATTGGAGCCGACGCTTCAACGACGTATCGCTTGTTTATGTAAAAATCTCTTGTCCGTGTAGCGTTGTGACGCGTTGTTCCTTGAAGGGGGGAGGGGGGAGGGAGGGCGGTCTGCGACACGAACGTTGATCGCGAGTACCGCTCGTTGAAATATCGAGAGAATGATTGAACTTTCTTATTTTACGCCGCAACGCGTGTTTCGATCGCAGCAGAACCGTCGCTCCGTGCCGGCTGTGTCTTTCGCCGACGCCCCGGTGTTCCGGTACCACTCTAACTTCGTCGGACTGTCAGGTACACCGTGGTAGATTCCTTCAAGAATAGAGAGCACTTGAGGGCCGCCTTGTGAGGTAGTAGATTTCGCATGTATTTGCTCTGAGAAGAGCGATAGGTAAATGGATGAGGTAAATAGGCCGTGAAGGCGCGAGAAAGACACGACACGTCTAATCAGTTTCGCTTCGGGGCATTCCGATTTAATCCACTGCGTTTTATGAGTCCGAGTCGCGCATAACAGAGGTAACTTTTAACAAATATTCTCTCCTGGCCTGGCCTTGTTGTACATTTTGCGAGAGATTTCGAGTGAAATTCGGTTCCATCGATTTCTCTCTATTTTGCACGCAACGCGGAAGTAGAAGCAAAATATATTTGATCGTGATTGAAGGAGATAACGGTGAAACTAACGGAAGTAACAAAGTAAACATCAAGAGTTTATTTCCTCGTGAAAACCGCGAATCGATTTCGACGTTGCCGTCGAGACGGAAGTTGGGATTTTCTGATTTAATCAGAGACGCCCGTCCGAGTAATTTTGGGATGTTTTAAATTGAGACACACGAAGAGAGAAAGACGTTTCCATTTGCTCTCGAGAGTACAAACAATGAGCGCGCAAACCAACGAGCAAGGAAACAAGCGAGAGGCTGATAGAATCCAGAAGCGGTGCCGGTGCGCACAGACGGCGCAAAAGCGCAGCTAAGCACTCCTTTCGGCGTTCTTCGCGCGCTTTAATTAAATCTGATAGAACGGCCGTGAGCGCGTTTAGTACAGGCGCGCTCGATTTATGTAAATTAGCGTGGCACGGTAGCGGGCAGTGATAGCGAGGGCAGCCCAAGTTTGTTAATTATTCGATAAAATCCGTAAAGTTGACTCCGAGTAATTTCTGCGCAAACTTTAATGGCTCACTAATTGCTGCGCTTTAATACGCCCAAGTCCTTTTTATACGCTCGCCCGGACTAGAGACGTCACATCGCCACCGTCGGTGGCTCTCGCATTCTCCCCGTCCCCCGCGTCCCACCGCGAGCGATATTTTAAACGACGATGCCCCCCTCTGCCCCTCAGATCGTCTCGATCGAGCGAATCGCTGCGATGTCTCTCGTTTTGTAACTGTCGCCGAACCTTTCTCCGCCCTTCGACAGAGATGCTGCGGGAGCCGTCGCCTCGCGGGCGGCGCGAGCAAATCGGAAATGACACCGGCGGATAAATCGTCGTCGGCCGAGCGAATCGTCACGAAACGCGAAGCTGGCGGTGGGTGCCCGCCGCCCATCTGCACCTATCCGTCCAACCGCTGCGACGACTCGCCCGATGTGGATCACACGTCGTCGATCGGCTCATCCTGCCGTCCTTCGCGATGTAGCGACGACCACTCGCCGCCTCAGCGCTCGTCCTGCTGCCAGCCGTACGCCGACTCGCCGCTGCGGCCGATCCTGAAGAAGAAGCACGGCTGTTGCTGCGGCCCCCGCTGCAACGAGTCCCCGGGTCCCTCTTGCATGTGCCAGCCGATGCCGCGCGGCTGCAACTGCCCGCCGCCGGTGCGGGTGGACGCGCGCGCCGCGAAAGAATGCACCTGCGACTGCCCGTCCAGTCCGGAATGCGCGTGTCCACCTAGCGAGCGAAGATTCCCCAGGACCACGAGGACCTGTCCCAACGCGCGCCTCTGTCGGCCTTTCCAGCGCCCATCAGCCGGTCCCAAGTGTCCCAGAGACTGCACGCGTTACCAGTCGTGTCTGCCGCCACCCTGCGATCCGCCGTGCGCGTTCAGCGAATGTCGGCCACCAGCTGCAACGAAGGTTACGAGGAACGATCCTTGTCGAGCGTGCTCCCCGTGTCCTTCGTGTCCACCTTGCCGAGCCGCTTCGCCCGCTTCCACGAGGTCGTCAGCTTGCCGGCCGCCGACAGCATGCGGCAAGCTGACCACCTGCGACGAACGTCAAGGACCTTCACCGTGCCCGCGAACAGGTCAGTGTTGCCGTGGGATCCAGGACGTTGTCTGTGGCGAACGAGACGGCGCCGAGGAGCGGGAGGAGACGAGCGATACAGCGGACCACGACTATCGTTGCGCGACAGACTGCGTCGAATCCGAGGATCAAGCCGGACGCGTCGGTGACAGTCGCGACGACGGCTCCGTCGGGAATTCCACGTCGAGGACATCGCTCGATTCGCCGTCGAGCGTGGCGAACGCTTCCTGGCCCGTCGGTCCTGAGTCGAGCGACTCGCCGGTCGAGCGGAGCGCAGAATACGCCGTCGAAAGCGCGACGGCGGAGGTCCTCGAGGAAGCCGCCGGCGAAAAGTCCACGGAGGATTCGCAACGCGCTTCGCCGCCGCCGCCGCCGTCGCCGCCGCCGTCGCCGTCGCCGTCGGCTCAGCTTCCGTCCGATCGTTACGCGTTCCGCCGGGTGCACCCGTCCGTCGGCAGGAACATCCTGCGGAATCTCGTGCGCGTGAGATTATCGCATCGCTCGGGATCGCCCGCGCGGCTGAGGCTGCAGGATTTATCGGCGCCGAATGAATTATCGTCCGCAGGAGCCGTCGTTCGCGGCGACGGCAGCCCGCGGGCTCGCGTCGCGCAGTCGGCAGGTGTCTCGGTGAACATCTCGGTTGAACCGGGAGCTCGCGAGAGCGACAAGGGGCGCGGGGGCGGCGCGTCCTCGGCGAGCTCACCCCGTGGAGTTCGCGTAATTCGATGGAACGTTACGAAAGCGCCGTCTCGGGTAACGAGCGATCGCTCAGCAGCCGGTCCGTCGCGACCGAGCGTGGTCGGCGTCGTTTCTTCGCCGCGTAAAATCAAGGCAGCCCGCTCGGTCGCCTCGCGAGACGATCGGCGGTGATGGGAGTGAACGGCTCGTGAGTGAAATTCCGCGTACTCGACGCGCAAGCTCTGTTGACTCCGCGATTACGAGTACGAGGAAGCTTCCGCGTTAGAGCGACAACTCTCGGCGGCATTGCGCGGGCTGAAATGCGTACAGAAGATAAAAGAGACGTCAGTGCCTTCTCTCTCTCTCTCTCTCTCTCTCTCTCTCTCTCTCTCTCTCTCTCTTCCTCGCTGATCTCTCGTCTGAGACGATAGACGATTTGGTAGACGCGTATTCAGTATGTATTAACCTCGAGGCGATACCTTGCACGAATCGAATTGCAACTTGAGTGGTAGGAAAAAGCAACGTCAGTGTACCCCCCCCCCTCCTCCCCTCCCTTCCCATCAGCTTGTAAAGATTTTTCTCGATTATACAGGCAGCTTCAAAGTTCCCTCCGCAGATCCGCGATCTCCTACGTATGTACGTTCTCTCGACACTGTCGAGAGCAAACTCGAGTAGCGATTTTCTTAGCTTTACTTGGCCGCCTAGTTCGATCGATTCGACGAGCGCGCGCTACACACCGATACTCACTCGCACCTTTTTGTTGTGACCGAAGGACCAATGTGACACGTGGTGTGGTGCGTCCGGTAGGTGACAGCTGTACGTCGGCGGGAGCGTCGGGCGCGTTCGCGCGCACACACGAGGGGAAGAACCGAAGCGCATGCTGCAACGTGTTTTCTAATCTCGGCGGTATCGGGTATTCGAGTCTAGTGCCGAGCCCGATGGCGCTAATAATATCCTTCGCTCTCCTGATCGTCGTCGCGGTCGCCTGGTCCGCCGGCTTGCTCTTTCACCGTCGTCACTTATCGCCCAAGAGAATCTGCTGGGGACGCTTGGGCCTGTGACGTTGCACGAGATGAATAGCGCGGAAACGACGGAAAGAAACGACTCGAGGGAGAACTCGATGCGTGACTTTTCGCTCAAGCTCGAAGCTGCGGGATAAGCGCGAGCCGCGACGTGCCGGCGTTAAAACTCGGGCGATTTACAGGCGTCTGTCAAGCGCCACGCGCCACGCGCCTCACGCAGGACCTCGCAATTGTGCAGCGTGAATTACGCTGCGTGGAATTCGTGGAACGACGATGCGCGACGAGACAAATAGTCGACCAACGAACGTGTAACTGTATGTAAATCGTGTGTACGTTGTGCAATAAACATCATTTCACATTGCCGCATGCGGTGTTTGAAGCCGGCGTTTTCCGCACTCGTGCGAAATGCACCAGCGACTTCTCCGGCTGCTCCGGCGGACGAGGGATAATCACTTCGATGAATTTCGTTGAGGGACCATCAGCCCTCGCCCGTGTCGTTCGACAGCCGCGTGTATTCTCAGCGCGTTCGCGAGAGCGCGTTAAGGTCATTCTACAATACGTGTCGTAAGTTGTGAGCCGTAAGAATTGGCGAATCACAGTCGATTATTACAAAAATAATCGGCTGTAATTGGTCAGTTCTTACGGCTCACAACTTACGACACGTATTGTAGAATGACCTTTGAAGTATCGCGCGCTGCGCTGATTATCGGCCGGGGATCTTTTCGATACACGCGATGCGGCACACTCGAGCCTCTCGGCACTCCCCCTTCGACCCCCCCCGACGGCGGAGCGCGACATGGCGCGGATGACGCGCTTGTGCTTTCTGTCAGTCTGCGAAATGACGCGCCGGAGAGCGTTTCCGCTCGCGTTTTTGTCGGCGTTGGCGTTCTGCGGGACATTCCAACGAGGCGCATCCGCCGTTGCCGAAAGCGTCGAAAATAAGAGCGTCACCGAGAAAGCGCAGCCGGAGGGCTGCATCGATTGCGGATACTACAGGTACGCGCGCGCGCGCGGTACTCGCGCAGGTAAAACGGAACTTGATTAATCGAAGATCGCAGCGACTGTGGCTTGTACGTAGAAAGAGAAATTTAGCGTCTCGGAGATGCTTCTTTGCGAAATCGATCGCGATTGTTCCACTTCTCCTCCGGATTTACAAATAGAAAAGTGTGATACTCGGGGGAAATTAAACTTTGGTATTTATGCATAAAAGCAGCCCCCTCACCGATTTAATTTATTTTTAAATATGTTGTTGGGGGAGTCTTTCCGAGTCGTTTCATATACACAATATATATATTATAAGGGTCGGACGCAAATAGCTTCGGAGATACAAGCTGAGAAACGATGAAAGTGGTAAATATGAAAATTCATTCAAAGTAATGAATCACCGAAGCATACACACACACACACACACACCGAAGGGGTGCAGGGGGGCCTTGGGCCCACCCCCCCTCGTCTGGTCGAACTTGCGTCACGTGGAAAATCGCAAACTCATGTGACGCAATACGACTTTCCGTATGAAGCGAGTTTCATCCGTCAAGGAGGGTGCAGGTGGGGGGGGCCTGTTTGTTTATATTCGAATTTTTTCATATATTTTCGACGAAGAACATTCAGCATTCACTTAGAGACCGTCTCATCACAGTACAGTTTTCGGAACGTGAAGAATAATGAAACTACACGAATTTCTATCCTTTCTCAACCTGTATCTCCGAAGCTATTTGCGCCCGATCCTTATATATGTATATGAAACTACTCGGAAAGACTCCCCCCTAACAACATATTTCAAAATAAATTAAATCAGCGAGGCCCCTTTTACGCATAAATACCTGAACCTTTTCTCGAATCGACCAATCGCCGCGATTAGCCGTGAAATGTCTCGCTGTCGTTTAACGTGTCGCAAACAGGTGTCCAGAGAACCCTGGGAAATGTTTGCTGGGCTCGGTGCCTGATCCTTGCGGATGCTGCCCGGGTGGTCTGTGTGCTCGTCTCGATGGCGAAACGTGCTGGAACGAGAGCATCCCTCTCCTATCTCCGAAGAACCGCAACGACGGTTACTGCGCGAGGAATTATCTGTGCGAGCTGCGCTCCGATCTACAGGAGGAGAAGGTACACACAGACACCACGCATCGCCCATCGTGTTCCCATCGTGGCCGAATAAGAAAATCCGCCATATTTTCAACGTCGCGGAAAAGTCACCGCGACGTCATGACATTACACGACACGAGCACGCATTAAACTCGACCTTCTTCGGCTCTTTTCGCTCCTCCGATAACCGCCTTACGTCTTAAGGTCGTCTTACATTCTTTTTTTTCACCGCTTACAGTTATTCATCTTCATCGCAATTTGCGCAAAAATACGACTAATCGGCTATAATTTCCCAGTGAAAGCCAATTTTTCTTCCGGAGAACTGCGAACGTAAGCGCGTCATTGAGCGCGACATTTATCACCTCCGCAAGTGATAAATTCGCTTCCCTAATTCGGTTTAAGAGAGAGAGAGAGAGAGAGAGAGAGAGAGAGTAGGAGAGAGAGAGAGAGAGAGAGAGAGAGAGAGAGAGAGAGAGAGAGAGAGAGAGAGAGAGAGAGAGAGAGAGAGAGAGTAGGAGAGATCACGTACCAGATCACGCACGGTCTCGCAACAAGCTCGGTAATGCGATTTCCCGCTTTCTGGGTTAGCTTAACGCAAAAATGGCAGCCACGCGTCATTGCGCAAACGATGTAACGCGAAGAGAGCCGCGTACATCAACGTACATCAGCCATCCAGCGCGCTGCCGGTGACTCGGATCTATCGCGGCTTTAAAGCTCCCGGCTGCCGCTGCGACTTACGGTCGCTGACCCGCGCCGCTGGTCTCTTCGCATCTAATTTCGTCTTATCGCGCGTCGTGGGCCGTGATCGCATTGAGGATATTCGCGCGCGCGCGCACGTCACGCAATCAAACAATCAGACGGGCCGTTTATGGTAGGGACGCGGCGGGACAAAGCTGGATAAGAGAATACTCTTACTCCGTATGAGCTTAAGGTAGGGTACTAGCGTACTTGAAGAAGTTAGAGAAGCTCCCGGAGCCGACGGCGCGAGGGTCCGCGTGAATACTAATCAAGCAGTTCTCAGATACACGTACGCGCGGGAAGGAGAGACCGTGATACAAGATCGAAACGTTAATCTAATCGAAACAGCGTAATCGAGGGAAATGGTCGAGGGAGATAACGTCTCGTTTCGCTCGTGAATACTGATCATGCGCGCTAATAAAATGAGAAAAACGAAAAGTAAGGCAGACAATGGGAATCTGTCAGGGTTCGTTTTACGAGCGCGGCTCGATGAAGCCACTTTTTGCGAAGGTGATTTATCGTCGAACTTGAGATTCTTGTCAAAACTTGAATGCGGACACGCTTCGTGCGCGCTTGAACGATAAAACGCTCCCGAGTACGATACGAATGAGGGATAGATTAATCGATCGAGAGTACGAATGCTGAGAGAATAATTAACTCGCTGTTCGAACTATTTATGCGGTCGCGAATTATTCCTAGTTGAGCAAACTAACGACGACGGCGGTGGTGGTGGCGGCGGCGGCAGCAACAACAACAACAACAACAACACAACAACGGCGTGAACTATCCGCGACGTCCATTCACACAAAGCCGTGTGTACGATAGTTCCATAGAAATGCCCGAGATATAGCAAAGACGTGCCGGTGCGCCAAGTACCATATTACCAACTTCAAACGATTTAACTTCTCCGAAGTGGAACGGGAGAATTATTTTCTCGGTATGACTTAGAATATGAAATAACAGTCATTTGTCCATAAAGTGTGTGTGTGTGTGTGTGTGTGAGAGAGAGAGAGAGAGAGAGAGAGAGAGAGGGGGGGTGCCGGGCGGTGTATCGAAACAATGAAGAGAACACAACGAAAGAAGATCCTTCGAGTCGAGCGCGAGTCGAGCCGAGCTCCGTGCTTCGTGCAATTAACGGAAATGATCGAACTTTTATGCGCAGGACGCTCCGGAGGCCATCTGCGTCTGCATGGAGCAGACCCCCGCATGTGGCAGCAATAATGAGACTTACGCGACGCCGTGCGCGCTGCACGAGGAGGCGATGAAACTCAGAAACTTGTCCTCGCTGTGGCTGCAGCACCTCGGTCCTTGTCAAAGCAGGCCTTGGATCCTTTCGCCTCTGGAGGACGTCGCCTCGCCTTTCGGTCAACGAGTCGCGCTCAATTGCGAGGCGAAGGGCTTCCCCGTGCCGGATATCTTCTGGGAATTTCACTCGGCGGACGGCAGGAGAGTGCTGAAATTGCCAGGTAGAGCGCGACGCGACGCGTTGCTACGTGACTTTTTTTTACGCGACGCGATTGTTTCGCACGCACGTGGCTCGAATGGCAGGGAGACACGTCGAAGAGTGAATTCGCGATTTCGCTCGTCGAGAATTCACGCGTCACGTATCGCGGAGCTTGGCGAATTATCCGTTGCGTCGCATTCGCAGGAGAGGAGCACGACGCGACGGTACACACGAGCGAGGGTCCGGAGCCCCTCATGCGAACGTCCTGGATGCAATTGGCCCGGCTGAACAAAGAGCACACTGGAATGTATCATTGCATCGCCAACAACTCCATCGGCGAGGCGAGCGCGGCTTCGTTCGTGTCGATGTCGTGAGACTGTGCTCGCGCCCCGCGAGGTGATCTCTCACGTAACCGTCACGACGCACGTAAAATGCGGAGAAAGTGAGAGAGAGAGAGAGAGAGAGAGAGAGAGGGAGAGATAGAGAGAGAGAGAGAGAGAGAGAGTGACGGAGGGCGGTGAAGGAGGAGGAGGAGGAGGAGGAGGGCAGAAAGCGTATATAGCCGTATATACGTTCAGAAAAACAGATTTATCCTCTTCAGCAAACGGACGTCTATGAGGAATCTTCCTCTAGCCGAGGTGGCGCGCAATTCCCGGTCGGTCGTCGCGGGACCCACCAGCGGCGGCGGTTGGCTTGCATCTAGTAGAGAGGTCCGCTTGCGACCAGTTAGACACGAGCGCGACTTACTTTGTACGATCTATACTTGAAGCTTCTCCCATGTTCCCGCTATGATATTAAAGTCTGATGTATGCCGTATAATTATCCTTAGCCCGCTTAGCCGAGTGCCGAGCTGCCTGCGACCCCAAGTCCCTCGTCCCTCGTCCTCGATCGTTACCAGTCGCTCTGCGGCGCCGGCGGAGGAGGCCTGCGAGGAGCAGTTTCGCGCGATTTACAAGTACGACTTCGCAACGAGTGAGCGACGACACTTTTACACGCTCTTCCCCCCGAGAGACGTTACTTTACCGCACACGGAGGGAAATTATTGGATTCAATTAACGCGCGCGAGCCAAGCTCGCGCTGATTGAGATGTGGGCTGGATGTGGGAGAACGAAGTTGCCGGCTCTCGGAAGTGGAATTTCGCTTGTAGAAGCTTGTAGAAGCCAGAACTTCTCTGGCTCCTTCGACCAATGCATTCAAATACCCTCGGCTTCGTTCGCTGTCACGTTAATCCAACCGATCCTCTTTCTTTTTTCTCCCCGTGTGCGGTCGGTCACTCGAACAACGAAGAGCCAACGAATATATCTCTTTCTGCCTTCGAATTGTACTCACTCGGGTGTTTGCCACGTCCCGTCGTCCGTGTTGACACTCTCGCTAAGCAAAACACATTCGATATTTGATTATCTTCACGCGCTCATGTGCCGGTCGCGGTCGAGAGATACACTCGAACGAGATAAGCCAAACTGAGATATACTGACGCTCTCGTCGACAGTAGGTTGAGGTTTCTCGCGTAATGAGACTGCCTCTTGTACACCAGCGACAAGACGTGGGCGATCGGCGTGCTGGCGACCATGACGAGCGCGCACACGAGCACAGCGAGCCAGAAACCGTCCTGAATATTAAGGGGCCGCGTTGAATGCGCGGGATCAATGCTGTATTAGATATTCATCGCGTCGTCGAACGCTGAACGTCCGTTTTTAATCGTACGTACGAGAGGGCTCAGGATGTGCGCACACAGCAGATACCGGAATCCCTGCAATACGTCCCACAAGGGCCGACACTTGGACACCCCGGTGGCCATTTCAACGAGCACGTGAGCCCGCCACTGATCCAGGTAATTCGCCAGTCGGTCCACGTACGACTTCGTCTTCTGCAAAACAACGAGCGACGAGAATTTCAATCAAGTCCGCGTCAGGAGACGCTCCTCCGAACCGCGCGAAACGAACGACGCGTGTTCCGACGAGACGGTCTCGCGCCGCCTACCAGCTGAGCGATCTTCTCGCCTTGGTGGTCTATGTAGTACTGTATGGTCCTCAGATGAGAGATCGACCGATTGACCTGGCGCCAGAGGGGCTGAACCTGCAGCTCCAGGACCGCCAGGCGATACACCAGGTCGTCCTGCAACCTCATCAGAGGCCTCACCCGCTGCAGCGCGAGGTCCCGCATCGTTATGCCGATGTTCTGCAACTCCCTGGCGATGCTGCGGTCTTGCAGCTGACGGGATATATTCTCCAGCTGGTCCGACATCGTGTTCAGATCCTTGCTGAGAATCGGCCCTTGGATCTGCGCGCGAGAGAGAGAGAGAAAGAGAGAACACGCGCGGAACACACCGCGGGAGTTCACATCATTTGCGACGATATTTATTTGTGCATGCTTTTACATGGAACGCACTTTTACACGGAAGTTCATGAATTAACGCGAAAAGCGCGCGCGAGCGAGCTCCCGCGAGCTAATAAATCATCGCGCGGCGCTCAGTTAAATTGGCTTTAATCAGCGGCGACCGGTTAAACCATAATCGCGGATATAACTCGCTGCGCGAAATCCGTACGCGTCGTTCATCACGCGGCCTAGCGTGCGCTAGCGTGTAGCGATCTAGCCGTGCAATTTGTTAATATCATTTTTTAAGCGCCGGCTCGTAGCGACTTCTCCGCCGGGAGAAATTCCTCGAACTTCCTCGAGTATAATCTCGGGCCTTAATCAGACTCCTCCGCGAAGAGTCTGCGTCCCCGGGACGCTCGTTCGCTTGATCTCTCCTCGCTTTCCCCCTTGCTTTCCTGTTCGCAGTCTCGAGTCGAGCACGAAGATGAAGAATCGCGATGCGCGGGCGACAGAGACAGAGACGCGACGGTTAATAAACAAATGCAACGATTACCGTGATCCTGTAAGCGGTGAGGTTCAGGCCGCAGGCGTGCAGCAGATCCTGAAGACGCAGCCGCAGACCCGGCGTCAGTATCTTCAGGCCCTTCAGGTCGACTCTAATATCCGAAATTACCCTCGACAAGCCCGGCCACGTCCAATGCGCAGTCAAATGCTCCAGTTTCATGGCGCTTTCGAGCCCGAAGGCGGGATAAGCCGCCTCGTTGTTTCGACATTTTCTGCGAATAAATATCGCACCGCGCTGAAAGAGCTGCAGCGCCCGCGCGTTGCATGAAACCAGTCGCGGCGTTTACAATACTGCTGCCCGCGGGACGTCTAATAGAAATATAAGCGCAGCGAATGCACGTACGCGCGTAATTTACCGCAGCGCGACGAGCACGCTTCCGCGTAAACTCCGCGGAAATAAGCACAAAGTCGCCTTCGCCTGATGATAAATTAAAAAACATTCCAACAACCGGCGACCCGCGTTCGTTCTCCGCTCTCTCTCTCCCTCTCTCTCTCTCTCTCTCTCTCCCTCCCTCTCTCCCTCTCTCTCTCTCTCTCTCTCTCTCTCTCTGTTTGCTCGAAAATGTGCAAGCAACGTTTCACCGCGCGAATCAGTTGGTTCTTCATTATACCGATCGTGCAACAATAACCACATCGAGTATTCGCCGGTGTCCGCCATTTTCTCTTCGCCGTTTACGTCACTCCGAGTAACACGACACCTGCGTAAAGCTTGATTAGCTTGATTAGGATAACGTAGCTTACTCAAAGAGCTGCTTGAGGGGGACTGCGAGCCTTCGTCCTAAGAACGCTCGGGTTTCCAGCACGGCTTCCATGCTGCGGTAGTCAGGGTCGTAGAGCGGCCGACATATCAACATCTCCGTGTGGCTGGAGATGCCCAGAGCGACGACGAACACTGCCCACAGTGCAATCGAGACGAAACAGCTCGTGATCACAGCACTGAAATCCGATCGACACACTCGGTCCGGCGATCTGTCTTATCGGGGCCGCGTTTAGTCCGGAGACATTTCCGGTTCGGGTCCCTTCCGTCGTCTCGCCGCTCGTCGAATGATAATTCACCGCGACCTTATAAACATATAGCTTCTCACGCGCCGTAATCTCCGCCGTAATACCTGCCGTAATAATGTGGGCTTCAGCCCACAATGTTACCTGCACCCCGATAAGTTTCTCAGCAGAAGTTTAACGCAGACTCTTATACATCGTGCCTGATACAAAGCTGTGAAAGCTGCGCATGCAAATGAATATCGATGAATATTTATAAGAAACGCGCAGTCTGCGCTTTTAATTCAAGGCGCTCGCTGCGACGGGGCGCAGCTCGAATTTACATGCGATGCCTTGAAATAATGAAGGAGATATTGTAGATGGCAAAATGCGAAGATAATCCGTGCCGTTTGTTCACAAAAGAACCCGGCGCCGAGTGAAGCAATTTTCACTTTTCAAAGTCGCCCGAGCGATGTCGGGGTACAATTCGCGCGCGGATTTCATTACTTTGCTCTCTGTCGAATAAGAAATAAAGCGACGTACAAGCGGCGCGAAAGAAATTCGCCGTCGCGTCGAGTGAGCTGTGATGCGCTCGTATTAATGCAGTCCTTCGCGAAGAAAGGCACTTGTTGATGTGTAATGTATTTTATGATGTTTGCTATACGTATTTCAAAATATCCTTTCGTCTCGCCACATTGGTGTTCTTTCCTTAACGTGCTCGTTGTCAGCGTCGCGCGTGACGCATCGATCTCTTCCGCTTCAAGCTGATTTCTACTGGAAATTTTCAATTGCGCTCAACATGTCGGCCATCACAAAGTGTGTGTATGTGAAAAACAATAATATTTCCTTGCTTCTATATACATATTATGAATAAATAAACTAAATACGTCTTGAGCAACCGAGTGGAAACAGATGAGAGACGTGAAAGGAATAAACTAACTGTAGTAGCGAACGTGATAAATGGACAAGAATTTTGCATTTCATTTATACGAATCGTCGTAGTCCGCAATAATACGCCGAGATCGTTCCATATCGGCGTAATATTGTACACTCCACGTCGATGTCATTCGATAATTTCGAAGCCCAACGGGCAATGTTCACGGTAGAGCGCATCGAACTGCTAATCGGATAATCGTTGAATTATACAACTATACCCATTTACTGGCGAGACAATTGTTGGTGACGCGAAATCTCCTCAGGTGCAACATTTCCGCGACAATGGGACGAGAAAATCTCTTTCATCGAAATTGCATCATAAGGAGCGAGTATTATTATATGACCGTGCTTTTCTGCTATACGTTTGTACGAGCTAACGCTTACCACAAAAGGGTTGGACGCACTTTGCCATCGGACGATCCGCAGCGGCAGCACAGAGCCCCCATCAGTAAGGACAAGACCGGCAAAACGCACAGAACCGTAGCTGTCACGAGCAAACGAAAAGAAACATTACTTCTCATCGGTCACCTGCTCTGGCTCGTGAAAAATGCACGAGCGAGTGTATTCACTGACGTTTCCCTGTTGTGTCGAGGTAAACATTTGCGGCTAATTTCCTTACAAGTAAACCTCGGGGAACGTCAGACGCTGATTTGTTTCCAATTTTTTATAGTTTTCTTTGATGTAAAAATATAAAGAAATCTGTTGTCATTTTTAGCTTAAGTTAATTTTTTCAATTTTTTCGAAATTTCTCACGTTTTTTATTCATTCTTCTTTTGTTCATTTCTTGTTCATTTTTTACCAGATTTTGATGTTAAAATGAGCTTGTTTGCTGGATAGTGAGTCGAAAGATTACCCAACGTCGAATGTAGCATAAAACTGACCACTTTTTCAACAATGACGTCAGCCATATTAGATCCGCCATTTTGAATTTTACAAAATGGTTCCGATTCATAATCGGCGGCATTATGGTGTGTGCAAGTTTCAACAAATCAGATATATATATTTTTAAGAAATATTGTTTCAAATATGTATAAAATAGTACAAACTTGTGCAAAACTTGAAAAATTTCGAAAAAATTGAAGAAATTAATTTAAGCCAAAAATGATAGCAGATTTCTTCATATTTTGACATTAAAAATAACTATAAAAAATTGGAAACAAATCGGCGTCTGACGTTCCCCGAGGTTAGAGTAACAAAAGTTAACTGCGGATTTATGACACGCGTAATTAATTATACGTATGACTGATGAATCGTCTCTCCCGAAATAGCCGTATATGTGTGCAAACTTGTAGCGTTTTATCGACTTATCCCCGTGTTCATCCGATTCCTAAGTACAAATCGATTTTTCCAATCGTTCCGCTTTTTTTCTCCTCTCATATATACCCGCGTCGAGCGACGAGGGAGGGATATTCAATGTAATCTTGCAAAATTCCGCATACCTGTACCGACGATCCATCTGGCGTGCTCGAAAGCGATGACACGAGGTATAACATAATCCGCGACGCTCCTCGCAAAATCCAGCTGCTTTGAGAGTTCGAAACTGCTCGTCTCTATATTGCGCGTTTGATCGACAATCCTGGCACGCGCTGCATTGATCTCGCGTCGAATCTCTACGAACGAATATGGAATTTATCTACGTTCTTGTCATCTCGCAATTTTGCCTCGTTCGACGTACGTAACGGAGAGGGAAGGATACTCGCACACACGAATGAACCGCGCGTTTTAAAAGCGCGCGGGAGGTTCCGCTCGTAAATCTCTGTGTTAAAATTATATGCCGGCCAAATTCTTTCTTCGCTGATTTTATTTTCCGAAGCGAAGTCGGACGTACTCCCCTTCCCTCCTCCCCCCGTGCGCACGGAAGTTATGATTAATAACAGTGCGCCACGCGCACAAAACGGCAAAGTTCTTAAAACGCGTAGCTCGATAGTATTCGCCCTTGCGTGAGGTATATTATATTTTGCTGTTTTGACGAGAGAAAGAGAGAGAGAGAGAGAGAGAGAGAGCGCGCGTTGTATTTCTCTCGCGTATGGTAATTCGGCGCCAGTGGGGAAAATTGTCGAGACGATCCCACCCGGTGGATCTGTAGCGCAGAGTAATTACATAAATTTTACGACAACTCCTTTCCTTTTCGAGAAAGGGGCTGTGCGAATACTGTTTGTTAATTACTGTATTATTCAGCCGTTTATCACGCGCCAATAAACACACACACACACACACGCACGCACGCACGCACGCACACACAGAGAACTTTAGTAAGTTTCTTCGTACAATCTAGTTTTCTGTTGGATCGTGCCGAGCTGTTAAAAGCTGCTTTGTAATAATCTCCAATCGTCAGATGTCGATTTTGTTTAACTTTACTCACCGTCGGCAATGGGACGAGGGTTTTATGCTTTTTCTCTCATTTGTGCGCCACCTCTGGTCTTCTCTCAATTTTTCTTTTCGCGGAGAGTAATATTAAAGCGATATAGATTTCGCATTAGACGCCCATCTCGTCACCTCTTTATCGGATCTGTCTACTATGGATGGCGGCGGGCGACAAGCGTTATTGGTCGATCGAAGAGTTAAGAGAAGTTGACAGGAATACAAGTCCGCGTCGTGCTTCGGTTCATCGACATTCCAGCGCTGTAGCATCCATCATCTCCTTCGTTCCTTTCTGAATATACCCTCAATTTCCTTTATTAATAATTTCCTTGGCGCATTTTTACGCTTTATTACTCGGCAAGGCGCGGCGTACATCGCTCGGCATCGCGAACGTTTCGCTCGCACTTGTTGATTAATCTCGTTTCACGTGTCTGTTCGATGTGTACACATAATCAATGAGGCGTGCTTGAAAGGCGCGGACAGGCTCACAATCGGCGATAGTGTCACGAGAGAACTGGTGTAATCTACAATCTACAACAACGGAGCCGTTGAAAGCAGACCGCTGTGTGTGTGTACTGACTGTAAGCCGATTACAAGACGAAACGAAATTTGCACTCTGCAAGAAATAGAGACGGTCGTGGCATCGACGGCAGTGGGGGATCGTGCTGTAGATTCTTCCGACTCGACATTTATCGTACTTATCGTTCACATTCACATAGAGAGAAAAAAGAATCTCATTTTTTACACCTAAAGAAGTCAATCGTGTGACTTTTCGATCACCGGCGCGAGGAACACGACAAAGAGTCGATAGTATAAGAATAAGGTATAGGGATGTACGAACAACATGGGAGCGAGTTCCCAGCATAGACATAGGAATATAGGGACGGAGCATAGAGTTGCGGGGGGATAACCATTGCGGGACGGTGCGACGAGGTAAACTGTGCCTGAATCTGATTGATTGTGCCGTGTGTAAGTATTTGATACATACATAGATGTGTATGAAGTTGTATGTGAATGAAATTATCAAAAAAAAAAAAAAGAAAAGACACACGCATAACCTCTGCAAAATAATACTGTCAGCGTAACTGTCGGTGTCGTATAAAAAGAGATAAATACAAATAATAGAATGGTGCAGTGTTGTGTTCCAAAGTGCAAGAACAGGTCCGGTAGCCGAAATTGGAAAAAAAGTCAGCAATGTGGACAAAAATCGAAAAATCACATTTCACAGGTATAAAATTGCGTGTACTGTAAAATAATAGTATTCAATTTTTAAGAAAGCTTTTTAATATTATATAAATATTTAGCTGTTTAGCGTTCCAGAAAATAATACCAGCCGCAATTTGTGGACCGATATTTTAAATCCTCCATCACATATTCCAAATACATGCACGTATTTGAATATGCGCACTATTGTAGCCAGTGAAACTTAGGCACAGTCGCCCCCCGCATTTCAGCACAACTCCTCTCGCCTATCTTACGGCCTCGCCTATCTCATGCTCTGTCCCTATGTCTATGGTCCCTAGAGATATGACCTTTCTTCTTTTGTTTATTTACTTTATACATAGAGCCGAATGAATAGACGAGCAGCTCGAGGTAGTAAATACAAAAAAAACAATAGATAGCGTAACGATAATATAATTCAGACGCCCGTCGACGGGATACGGAGACGCACCGAAGGCTAGAGCACCTTCTAGTCAGGTTCTCGCGCAATTACCTCACGCGACAATCGATCAAAAACAGCGGTTCGAGTGGGAATGCGCATACTCGAACCGCTGGCGGGTAGTCGGAGATCTCCAAGCGAAAACGCACGAGGAGATCACCAGCGTATCCCAGCCTAAAGCTCACCATCCAGCACCAAGAAGTACATCATGAGAATGGACATCAAGGGAAGGCGCACGAGATGTCCCTCTCAGCTGCTGACTTACGAGGATAGTCCCAGAAGTACCTGACCTGACGTATAGATAGCGGTTGTTGTTTGTAAAGAATGACTATGGTAGAAAGTATCAACCTTATAAAGCTTAAGTTTGAAGTTTGACGATGCTACGTTGTTTAGTATTTGTTTGGCAGCCATCGATAGTGAACGCTCTCAGTGAATTTGTAAACATGGAAAAAATTGGTCGCATCGTTATGTGATACAATACTTTCATTTGAAAGGCCTCAGTCCAAGCAATATGAAAGCGGAGCTAGATTCTACTCCGGGGCAGTCTGCTCCTTCGTTTACAACAGTAAAATATTGGGTGGCAGAGAGTTTAAACGAGGCCGTACGAGCTGCCAAGACGAACATCGCAGTGGTCGACCAAATGAGATGACCACGTCAGAAATGGTGAAGAAAATCCACAAAATGCTATTGGATGACCGTCGACTGAAAGTGCACGAGTTAGCAGACATGGTAGGCTTTTCAAAAAGTGCTGTACATCGCATATTGACTGAAAATTTGGACATGAGAAAGCTGTGCGCAAGATGGGTGCCGCGATTGGAACAAAAACAGCGTCGTGAGGATGTTTCAATCGAGTGTTTGGCGAAGTTTCGCAGCAATAAAGCCGAGTTTTTGCGTCGATTCATAACCATAGATGAAACATGGGTCCATCACTTCACACCTGAGACGAAGGAACAGTCGAAACAATGGACCAAGGTGGCTTGATGGCTATCTTGAGGAGCTCGACGATTCCCACTATAAACAGGGTATCGAAGCTATGAACATCGCTGGGAAAAGTGTATTGAGCTATGAGGAGACTATGCAGAGAAATCAAGATATTTTTCCCCAAATTTTTGTGTTTTCTTTGTTAGGTCAGATACTTCTGGGACTACCCTCGTAGATCACTCAGGTCATGTCGGGCCCCCCGGCGCACGACGAGCCCGGTCTAGCGATCAATAAAACACCTGAATCGGACCGGTGTCGAAGGGGAAACGCACGACGACACACCGGTATTCGGAATTAAGAGAAATCAACTAATTGTGCAAGGGAACAATACTTCCGATTCCGATCACCAGTGGAATATTAGAAAATAATGATTCGATTAATCAACCTTCTGAGCACGAGTGGTGACTGCATGTCTACCTCGGGCGTCCAACAGCGACTGACTAACTAACTCTATCTTCCAAACGTAAACACATTGTCCTCCCCACCATTGACCTCACTGCGATCGTTATTGTTTTTCAATGCTCCGAACGCCATTTCGGATTTTCATATTCAATACTCAATATCTCGTACATGAACGGTTAGGTATTAAAAGCAAGAATCGATTCAATATTTTTATCATAATTATATGCTTTCCTTCAAAGCTATTCACAACAACAGATCGACGGAAAAAACTCTTTAGGAAAAATGGGGAAGGCGGGGGGGGGAGAAAAGGAAAAAGGAGCGAACAAGCAAAGAAAAGGAGGAAAAAGAATATTTGCCTCACAATAGCTAACAGCATCGCACGTCGGTAACAAGCGTGCGATTCATGTTCTCGGATTCGTCTTTAAGTAAAAGCTTATCTCGCTAGTGTTACAGAGTACACATATCGGCATCTAGCAGCGAGTGGAATAGGTCGGAGATATGATCCGACAGGCCGTCGACGCGTGACTCTCTCGGCATCAATCACCGATCCCATCGCGAAAGTCGTGCGTACGTATGTGTGTGTGTGTGTGTGTGTGTATGCGCGCGTCTCGGGGGAGATATATAACACGATTGCGGGATCTCGACGAAGATGTTTGCTCGAAGCATTTACCGCGTTTCGTTTGTCTATTAAGGATAAAGTCCCCTGACTCTCTCCCCCTTTTTCGCCGTTGATCTCGCGCTCATCGCGGTCCGTAGCGGCAGAAACGCTGACGCGCATTCCCCCGACCCGTGACGAAATATCGTTTATACAGTACGACGTGGTGGGAGGAAGGGTCGTGCAAAAACGCTATTGAGAAGCGCGACGTTTCTGCGTTAAACGACCCGGCACGGTCTGAAGAAAAGAAGAGAACGAAGAAACAAGAACGAGGGAAAATGTAGCGGAATATTTTAACAAGCTGCCGTTTTAGTCTCGCGCGCGGACACGACGATTTTGGGATTCTTCGTTTCGGTCTCTTTTATCGTTTTGGAACTCTCTTATCACGTTGGAATTTCCCGCCGGGAAACGCAGTGCGTAATTCCGGACGCACGTCTGGCCACTCGTAGAACTCAAATCTCTAAATATATTCGCGACATCTCGTGACAAGCGACTGAAGTCGAAGTCGAAGTTGAATTCAGGCGTTCAAAATGCCGCGTTCAAAAATAGGACATCCCGATCTGACCCAGTTCATCATTTTTCTATGCGGCCACTTTGATTATGGATCGTTCTTTAAAATAAGCCCGCATTTGGAAATAATCCATTGCGCGCGTATCTATCCGGAATATCATCTCCCCCCCCCGCATTCGTGCACGTCCTGCGCAGCAAAGCCCGGAATTAATATGTGCGTCATATATTTCTTGGAAGCTGTCAACGTTTTGGTATACTTTACGCTTTGAATCCGCAATGAAATATTCGTCGGAGAGTCCGGCCAAGACGCAGAAATACGATCTTACTACGGGCCGAGAGTGATGAGGAGATAACGAAGAATATTCGAGGAATTATGCTGGCCGCGATGCGAGCGAGGTTATAAATATTATCAACGCAAGGTCGATGGAACACACAGCTGTATTCGTCGACGACTCTGGCGTTGATTCGCCAAAGGACGTTCGATCATCGGCGCATCAAAAAGCGCTTCGGCGAAACAAACGCGAGTTTATGCACGACGCTTCACCAGCTTCTCCCCTCGCGACGAAATACAATCTGGTGCAGCTCGTTGTTTACCCGCCCCCGAAGTTATAATATGCCTTAAACACACAGCCGCTGTTTAAGAGGAACATATAGATAAGATTACACGAACACGAGTAAGTATCGAGGAAGAACTTTCTCTCCTTCTCCGCCAACACAAGATAACACGCGTCTTATGAATCTACAAAAGTAATAGTCTCCGAAAGTTCACTTTTTCATCGCGTCTCCCGGCTGCTACATCGCCTCCGCGGCGAAATATCGTTTGCGATACGTTACGCGATTACATCGAATCGCCGTCTAGATATCTATACAATCGCGCGGCTCTTCGAAAAAAGGAGAGAAAGATTCCTCGCCGCGCACTTTTTCCACTCTATCTGAGATCCAAAGGTCGAGTCTCTCCGTCGTTATTTCCTTGGCGAAAGTTTTTTTCAAGTGCTGATATCAGTTGGATTGGAGTACCGAGAATGTTGGAGAAAGAGAGAGAGAGAGGGAGAGAGAGAGGGAGAGAGAGAGAGAGAGAGAGAGAGAGAGCGCATAACTAGGACGAGAGTATGTTTTTGTATGTACAAGCACCTGCGGCTGAAGTAATTCTCGGGGTTGCAAAATCCATCGGACTTTCGATGTTTCTTCGAAACTATACTTACTCCGCCAAGACGGCGTTGCGTTCATTTCCCGCTCGCTTCGTGTTGGCCGAAATATGCGGGACGTCGCGAGAGCGGCGCTGGAGCGAGACATTGCTATTTCCTTGAATCGCGACGAAGGTTCGACGCACCACCGTCGTGTTTCTTCTTCCTTTTCTTCCTCTTCTTCGTTTTTGCATACGGTATTGTTCACGGTTCGCGTGTATCGCGTTCGCTTCTCGATCACCGGCACCGGAGTTTGCTCGCCGCCCGGATACGCCGACATGTCCTGATTTACCGACAAGAAACTCCGCGAAGGAAATCGCGAGGTCGCGCGGTCGCGAAGATGCTTTAGCGCGATCATTATCATAAAATCGAATCGATTTCGCGCGGCCACGAAGTGTTTGAAATGAGCGCGGAACGTGTGGAATTGCGAAGCCGACGGCGAAACGCTTGCTCGCGAGCCAGTTCGAGAGGGACCAACTCGGGAATTACCGAGCGCGTCGAAATTTCCGTTTGCGGGAAGAGACGCCGCTCGGAGTTAATTAAACGAAAACGAAACGCGAGAAACATGGAGAGAACGCACGCGGGCCCGTCTTTCCCACCGCGTTCGCAAATTAGCGGGTCATAACGTGAAATGGCAATTATCCGTGTCATTTATTACTTTCCCGGCGGAGCGCCTTGAGCCATTTAACTCGCTCGGACGGCTCGCGTAACGTCGGGAGGAGCCTGACGGCGGAGGAACTAATTTAGCTTTCTTCGGGAGCGTGCACTTCGGCTCAAGTTTGTGCGCTGAAGTGTCGTCGCGGTCGTCATCGTGCATGCCGTAACGTGTCATAATGCATGGCGTCAATGTCATAAAGTTTTCTGACGTTACAGCGTGTCGCTATAGCGCCCTTTCCTCCTGCCCTCACTCCCTTTACTGATCCTCCTCCTTAACCTCCCTCAACCACGCCTCCTTAACTACGCTCAACTAAATTCTGTAGAGCCTGCATTCGCGAACCCTCGAGACTCGCTCGACCGCAGCTGGTTTGTATCGAGAAAGCTCGTTATTGAGAATACGGCTCTCTCTCTCTCTCTCCCCCCCTCTCTCTCTCTCTCTCTCTCTCTCTCTCTCTCTCTCTCTCTCTCTCTCTCACGCTCTGCGCGCAGCGCCGAATTTTTCCGATATTATATCAATTCGGAGAATGGAATCGTGAATATTCTACCTACGGTTTCGAGCGTCCAACGTGGTCCTGGCGATGTGATGCGGTACATGGAGATATTCTCCGCGAGCTTGGCGTCCCGCTTCCGTCAAATTTTCCCGACTAGTGCTCCGTAAACGTAGTAGACGGTCGTCCCTCAGTAGCTGCAACGGGGAGGGGTACGTATATATGTACGTGTATATATGCAAGATATATCGGAGTAAGCGGATAAAATTTTAATGGAAGATTCTTCGCCGAGTAGTCAATTTTTCCTGCAGGTCGGTTACGTCGGAGCATCGGCAACTTTCGGGATGAAAAAATTTCAGACGAGCAGGTATACATATAAACACGTACACGTCGTATACCTCGATTGACTTATAAATAAGCGAACTTGGCGCCGACGGTAGTTTGTATCTGGGACTCTCAGGCACACGTGTGTGTCTGCGACGTCGGAATCGAACGAGCGGGGGATGAATGATGAGAGCCTCCTGAGCGCGACGTCCGTTACAAAAAATCGCCTTTAAACGCTGGAGCTACGTGATTTGAAAAATCATTTGTTACTTGCGCGCTTACTCGGGACGTTCACTCGTTAGTGAAGGTCCGTCCGTCGAGGTTGATCTGCATCGCGGGGAAATTTCGAGAGCGCTGAGCGAGATAACGAAGTGAGACGAGAGAGCAAGAGAGAAAGAGCGAGAGTCACGAGCGAGAAAAATATTGTTATTATCGCGTAACGCGCTTGAATTCATCCGGTAACAATGAGGAAGGAACCGTTCTCTCGGGGGCTCTCGCTCGCGAATTCGCGGCTGTTTATGGTCGCGTGTAAACGCGAGGAGGTGGACGCGAGCTTCGCGACTAAGAAAACACGGAGGAGCGCCAGAAAGTTTTCGCCGCACTGATCTCATCTATCACGGTCTCTAGATTGCCAATTTTATGTCATTGCAGGCGCGCGTAGACCAGCCTTCGCACCACCGCTGGACCGATAGAATCCAATTTGATCATCTCTTCCCAGCTCACATAATCATTATTTTTATTCCCAGAGAGAGACGCGACAAACAAGACGGAATTGGCGAAGCGAGGGAGAAGACCGTGCGTAATCCGAGAATTACGATCGCAATAAAGTCCACAATCGCAGCGTAACGCGTCGGCGATTAAACGACGCGGTGGCGGCGACGATGAAGAAGCAAACGCGGAGAAAAGTGGAACGTGTTTAGCGTGAGAACGAGTAGAAAGCAGAGGAAGAAGGAGGAAGATAGAGAGAGAGAGAGAGAGAGAGAGAGAGAGAGAGAGAGAGAGAGAGAGAGAGAGAGAGAGAGAGAGAGAGAGAGCAACGAACGCGGGTATAAATATCGTGCGCGATTTTAATCGAAATCGAAATGAGAGCCGGGAGAGAGAGATAATGGAAGTTAAACATCGTTATGGCCGTTGATCAAACGGGCGCAACCACAACACCGTTTTAACCGTACGCCAAATTTCGTCCCGGTCGCGGGTTTTATGACCCCCCCTCGCTGTACGCATTTATATTTAGATAAATTTTGCAGCGCGGCAAAAATGAAATATCCTCGCTGCCGCGCGTCGATCCGTGATCAAAAGCAAAAAATAAATAAACAAGATAAAATAAAACAAAATAAAACACCGATGGCGTGCTCGCGCTCGCGTTCGCGACGAGAGTCCACCGGGCTATTTATCTCCTCCGCTATTTTCCCCATCTCCCGATCGACGAGCGAACCTCAGAACGCTCGCTCGTCGAGCGAACGAGCGTCACTCGTAAAGTTTATTCACCCGCTCTATCCGCAGATCCAGGCGAATCCCCGAAGAGTCAATGACAGCACAAAGGGAACGATCTGGACCGGAGCACGCTCTCACCGCGCCTTCCAAGTCCCGCCGTATCTCGTCCGTTTCCCTGCTCAATTCCGATCCGAGCTCGCGCGCTTTCTCGCCCTCTCTGAGCAAAGACTCGACCCCGGCTGATAATTCCTGCGTCGCTGAAACATACGACGCGATATTGTTAATATATCGTGCGCCCGCGAACGTCGTCTCTCGAACGTCCCGTCACGCCGCGCGTTTTCTCCGCTTCGGCGTGTTCTCGCGCGCGCGAGAGAACGCGCCGCTGCGACGCGGCCCGATTCGTCTTTGGAAACCCGAAGAAACGTCATTAGCAGGCCACGCTAATGCGCTGAGTGCTTGTTTAACAAGCAAGAGCACAGCTCGAGAGCCGCGCGCAGTCGCGAAAGATACGAGCGTTCACGCTCCGCCCCGGCGCGACGTCTCGCCGTTTAATTTAATAAGCTTCCGCGTTTATCTCCGCCCCACGGCGGCTGATGATAATCCAGATCGATAGCAGTTAATAGCAGCGGGTAGTACGAACTTTCGACATACTGGGTGCCCGGACAGCTCGTCGAGGCATCGGTCATCGAGCAAGCGATGGATGGCGACGACAAACGACAAGTCCGACAAGTAACGAGGCGATTTGTAAAGCGCCGCTACTTGTCATTTGCATATTAGACTTTGTCCTCCGTGCTGATAGGGAATATACGAGACGCGCGACGGCGTCGTCTCCGAGCACTCGCTGCCGTAACTGGTTTTCGTTACTTGAATTAATTTGCTACAAACGCACACACTCCGACGAGGAGGGCGAAGCTCTCGAAGCTCGATGACGACGTCTCTAGACGAGAGTATACGGCGTGTGCCGCGAATTCATAATCGCCGCATCTCACGCGACGTATTAAAAAGAGAGGGGGAAGAAAATGTAGTACGATATCGAGAGAAAAGCTGTTGCAGCCAGATTGGTGTTAGAGCGTGGCTCATGGCAACCAGTGAAATCATTTCTCTTGAGATAAGTGTGGGGTAACGACTTGATAATTGGAATCTCGATAGCGAAGGGCCGATAAGGAGCGACCCGCCGGTGTTGACCTTTCGCCATAGGTCTTACGTCATAGAACTTCCGCAGTGCGCTTGAAATAGTTAGAATTACATGTCTGGGTTGCGCGAACGTATCGTTTGATAATTACCATACGACGGCTTTGCAACGGCCCTGAGGAAGTCCTCAGGAACTTACCATCTCCTGCAATTAAGATTTTCTCTAATTAAAACTTTCAGACGTTGCGTCGGGATTCTGTTTTTCCTGTTTGCGTTGCCTCGATGTCGGTAGTCCGTTATTATTTGCTCCGGATCTCATTTCGGCGGCTGGCTGGTGTACATTTTTTCGAAGCACCGACTTATCGCCGCGTAATTATATTTCCAAACAGCTCGAAACGCCAGCGCTAGCACGTAGAATCTGCTAATTAAAATAAGTTGAGCCCTCTCTCTCTCTCTCTCTCTCTCTCTGTCTCTCTCTCTCTCTCTCTCTCTCCCTAGCGGAGGGTGAACGCTTCATTTGTTTCGCGAGACAGCTTGCTCACTGACGAACGGCTCTCGCGAGCCAACGTCGCTTCTTGAGATGACCATTTTCGGGACACCAGTTATAGAACATTAAGTACTGCACGTACGTACGATACACATGTAGTGATTACGCGAGACGTTGCACGGAAGGAGATAGCAAGAGCGAGAGAGGTCCGTAGTTGCGGTAGTACCTACTAATTCAGTTAGTATACTGTTAGTAACTTAGTGCCGCGACTAAGTGACACTCCGGGTCCAGAAGGTCACTTAACGGCGGTGAGTTCACTCGAAGACCGAATAACCTTACCAGAAACAAGCGGAACCGCCGCGTAACGTAACCGGCCGCGAGTTTGATGGCCCGAAAGTAACGTTTATAGCCGTGTGTAGCCGGTGTGCAGTCGCGTTAATTACTCGCGCTTGATTAATCGGACACTCGGCGGCAAATCTTTCCCGGCACCGATTATAACGCGATTTATAACCCGCCGGGACGCGGGGAACTCCAAAGTGCGCTCAAGCCGAAGCGCGCTCGGAGGCCTCTTTCGCCCTCCCTCGCGAGAATCAGAGACTACGCTGACGTAAAGGAGAATCGAATTTAATTCCTGGCGGGCAGAAAAGTTGCATCTCCGACGCTCGCAGACTGCGCGTCGCGATGAAGGCACACGTCGCAGTCGTCAGATTTATTTCGACCGCGAGCAGCGCGCAGCTCGCAGAGGCAAACGCGTCCCTCCTCCGCGCGCACAATTCGATGCATAAATTAATATACGTAGGACGAGTACGACGTGTACATATTACGACGTTACGAATATGCAAACATTTCGGTGTACCGTCACCTAGCCCACTCGCTCTAACGGACCGACTATAATATTGGCACGAAATATTCCCGGCGATATCCGTGTTGCGCTGTGTGAGCACGCACCGGTAGTCGGAGTAACAACAAGGTCCCGAGGGCTCCAATTTGTCGCGTTACGCGATCCGCCGATAACTTAGGAAAATGTTTATCTCCGTGTTTATTACGACCGTCTGTTACGTGGCGGCTGCGAAACGCGCGACGCTCCAACGTCGCGGTCGCGTCGCGGCGTTACGTCGACGGAATTCAGCCTTCGAGTGTGCTTTGTACAGTGCTCTACCGTCGCTCTTGCGTTGCCGGAACGTTGAAAAACCGCACGACATCGCGGAATATTTTCAAAGCAGCGCGACTCCCTCCTCCTTCTTCTCTCGGGAGCTGATCGGATGAGACGCCTCATCTCGAGACTTACCGAACCGTGCCGCGAGATCATCACGTCCCACGCGACCCGCGTCGAGAGTCCGACGAATTGTCTTGGCGGACGCTCTTTCTCTACGCACGTTTCCTTTTGTTCTCTTACCATTTGCCAGGTCGACGAACGCGTCCAACGCGACGTCGAGTCCGGTCTCGGCCGAGAGCTCGGCCTGCACGGGTTTGCCCAATAATTCCTCGACATCTGTAAAACACGCGAGAGCGTGATATCATTGCCGTCCGACCGCTTTTATTCCGTGCGTAACGTATTCCATTAATATACAAACACCGCGCGCGCGCATGAATGCATACGTATAAGCGACAGCGGCGATGGCGGCGGCGGCGGCAGCGAACGTCATGAGCGAATTGCGCTTAATATTCTACGGCACTTGAAGTAACACACACACATACACACACACACCACCGCGACCCGCCCAGGAGAGAGTATCGCCCGCCAATCACGCTCCCCTCCGAAAATTCCGCGACAGTCCGAAATAATTAGAACGTCCGGGTAAAAGAGTCCGCGCGCAGTGGAACGAAACGGTTAAAAACGGATCGGACCAACTCGATCGCCTCGGGATAACGAACACTCGCGACACTCGCAGGCGCGCAGGATATAGACGCGAGGGCGCCATTGTAAATCCCGTCACGTCGGTCCGTGGCGGTAATAATTTATCCAGCCTGTATCCGCGTCGGTTATCGCGATCTGATAGGAATTTCGGCCCGGCGCAGGTGGTTTGATAATACAGGAGCGTTCGAGGCGGGGTAACGCGCGCGAGAGATCTCCGATAACAATTAAAAATGTAGCCCCGTTTTTGCGCGCGCGAGGAGCGCGAGGAGCGCGACGTTTTGCTGCGAGGGCGAGCAGACGGAGAAGCCGCGCGACTCCGATACAGCGTTTGCCGCACGCAAACGCGATGGCGATGCTTCGTGATCGGCCCGTGGCGTTTAATCCGCGGTGGCATCGGCCGCGCCGTCTCGTATCGCCGGTAATTCCGTCTCATGACGTACGTTTCGTTATATCGAGTTCCGAAAGAAACGGCATAGTCACGTTCCCGATAAATCGTATCGTTGTCGTTTCACTCGGTGCGCGCTACGTGATCTGAAATCAAGATGGAACCCCCGCGCGGCGTGTCCCCCACGCTCGCGCGAGCGGGAGAGAACGAGCGAGCGAGCGAGGCTTTGTGCTAGGCAAACGCGCATAATTCCTGCGGTTGCATTGCACTAACGAGCTCAATTTACCGGGGTTGTTAGCGTGCCGGGCGACGATGGATCCATTACACGACGATTATAGACTGTCGATAGCTTTCATTAGACGCCTATGCGTCTCCAGTTGTGAGAAAGGTCGCAGCCTCGCTGTAATTCGCGCGTCTGACCCAAGCGCGACCGATTCACTCACCGGCAATGCCGGACGCATCACGGCGAAATTGCCCCGACTAGATATTTATCCCATGGTCCTGATCAGGTTAACCTCATTAATACGTAGGCAGTCTGAAAAGTTCTCCTGACCTGACACATACATGGCATTAGAGACTGTCAAACTATAATTGTATTGGAAAGTGACATCCCTGATATAAATCCATGTAAAATTTTATACCGATCTGTCAAAGCATTCGAGTAGTAGCACCAGTTGGAAAAGCTTTGTGCAAGATGGCTGCCGCATTTGCTAACAATTGACCAGAAACGCATTCGAATGCGTATTTCTCAATGCGCGTTTGGATGTCGTTTTCAGCAAAATAAAATGGATTTCAAGTCGTCGTTTCATAACTGTTGATGAAACTTGGATCCACCACTGTACACCAGAGCGAAAAGAATTTTCCGGAATCACACTTTAATGATGATATTGAATTATTGGAAAAACGTTGGAATAAATGTATCGAAGTTTCAGGAGATTATATCGAAAAATAAAACATATTTTACGGCAAAAAAGATTTTCTTTCATTGTTAGGCCGAGAACTTTTCAGACTGCTCTCGTACTATCGGGTCCTAGTAAGTCATGTAACGCAGCGTGGATGCCAGGACCTTAGTAAGGTTCATAGTCAGGTCCTTATTGAGTTACCTTATGGAATCCTTATTACGTTTTTTTTTTTCAAATTATAGCTCCTGATTACTCGCCACAGCTATATTGAATGATGACATTGGAAATAAGAAATGACACGCTGCAAAATTCTTTCATGTCATTTCCAAATAAAAAGATATTTGCATGAAATAATATTTTAGATCGCTTGATCGCATACTTCTAAAATGTTTCGTCACGACCAATAAATTATCGCACAACATAAATACGCAACATGCACGCACAGAGTAAGCGACTGAATTGCTTCTCGAGCGTCTTTTGTCTTGCAGGCCCATATATGGACAAATGCAAAACAAATGAGAGCTGCAGTGCGCACGCCGCTACAGGTAACTTGTCGTTGCGCGTCATACGATAAAAATTGAACTGTCTCTAATTATATGTGGCTCATTATAAAAATATCTTTTTATACCACGTCCAGTACTATTAAAGTTTTGCACATACACATACACGCGCGCACACACACACACACACCCACACACATGCGCGCATACACACACATATTCATATTATATATATACAAAATTAATTACAAATGGTTTTTGTTAAAACTTGATAATGTAAATCATATTAGGTACAGTGAATAAGATCCCGACAAGGACCTGATTAACTGAACTATATTATATCATACACTAGGTAGGTACATTAAGGACCCAATCATTATAACCTTATAAAGGTCTTCCTTACTCATTTGTCGTTAAGACATTATAAGGACTGATTTATTTAGGATTAACTTAGGATTATCTTTTATTCACCTTATTAGGTCCTTATCAATGTTAGGTGAACCTGATCAAAATTTCTAGTCGGGGCCGGACTCGCTACGGAATTGTCATGTTTGTTCGTAAGAATTTCGCATTCGCCAGCGAATCGATGGCGAGAACGTCGGCGTGCACCACTCCGCTGCTCCCAGCCGAAGATTAAATTTTTTAAGCTGAACCCACGCCGCGTTTCTTTTCTCTTTTCAGGGAGTATTGGAACTTTATCCTCTCGGAAACGTCTGCTGATGTAACGAAGGTGTTTCGCGTGAGTGGCGTGGTTGAAAAATGAAATGTAATAAGAGGAGCCCGGACGAAGAGGTCTGCGCTCCGCGTGCGCCCTTCGTGCTTCGTCATGCAGGTTCTGCATTGTAAAACACGCGTTTGTTGATATCGTGGATATAAATATATATATATATATATATATATCTACGATGGAATAAAATTCCTTCCGGGATTACGCGTTATGAAAACGTAACGAGAATTAAAGTATAATATGAAGGAATATTTTCGCGTATGTGTGATCAACAACTAACCAACATCGCAGAATTTTGTTCCGCTTTTATTCTTTCGTGATTGGATTTTAAATTGGAATTTCCGTCACTTTTTTTTTTCTACTGTATGAATACACTGAAAATATATAGCGTAAATTTTCTTCTCGTAAACGAGGCATTATGTGTTGCTGATAGATGGAATATAAAGTCTTCTAAATATACATGAGAATTGCGGGAGATGTTAAAGAGAGATAGATAGAGAGAGAGAGAGAGAGAGAGAGAGAGAGAGAGAGAGAGAGAGAGAGAGAGAGAAAGAGAGAGAGAGGGAAAAGGGAAACGGAACAAGATAAAAAAGTCAAAGAGGATTTGCATTAAACCGAAAGAACTCGTCTTTTTGCGTAGATAATACTAAAAGATAAGAACGAAATTCAGCCGTGTTGATCCGAGTCGAAATTTTGGTGCAACGTTAATTCTGCAAATTCTGCCAAAGTTGTAACGATTATAGTTTTACGTTGTTATAACCATTCTATTGTTTCATCAAATCACCACTATATACGAATACAATATCACTATAACGTCATCTGGAAAATAGGACAGGTAGACAAAAACGTTCCGCCAAACATCACTGCGTAGTTGCCACAAGCGAACGATCGAGCGATCGCAAGAACCGACGCTTTCAAAACATTCCCAACCTTCAAGGATAAACCTTCAGGGATAAACGGACCTTTGTGCTCGTGTGCCATTTTTCGAATGTTTCCACTTCGTTTCGTGCGATACCGCGGCACAAGTATGTCGTTAGTTATTGTTTTCTTCGGATAATTGAAACGTTTTATCGTTTCGTGAAATGTCGAATCGGTCTTTCGTCGACATCGCGTTAAGTAACACACGTACACTGATAGAAAAATATAATTGAGTTAACTATAATCTCACTATATTTTATAGTTCATTTTGGCGTCAACCATATTTTTATAGTTCGTGGAAATCTGCAAAATACAGTAGAATAAACACAAATATATAGTCAAGGATTGTCTTAAATAATTGTTTAGTTACTTTTACCACATATATGATAATTTCTCATTCACAAATATAGTGAGATTTGATATTCATATAGTTACATCTGTCATCATTTAGCAAATATTCCGGTAATATTGACTATATAAAAGAGTTACTTTACCTACCATTTTATATTTGTATCCATGCAATAATTTTAGTTTAACTTACTATAATTCTTAGTAAAAATATTATATGATTGGTCATACTATACCTATATCGTAATTATTATCGATATTATGGTAATACTTACTACAAATATGATATTTCGGGCTATAATTTAGTTACTATATCATTATAGTTCCAAATATCATATACTTTTCTCTCAGTGTAGTTTCTCCGTTCAAATCGCATCTACGCGAGCGTCAGTGTTAGCGGCATTGTTAGTTGAGCGGACGTAATAGTCAGGACGCTGGATAGAGAAGACAGGATATCTCGGGATTTTCTGGTATGTCGATCAGAATATTTCTCATGCAGAAGATTTCCGATTCGAACGAATGAATTTGCCGAGAACAAAGAGAGTCGATATTCTGATCACCATTCATTTATAATTGACTTTTAAGTATCGAGTATGATATTCTGAATGCATCATGAATTCTGAATGCATTATGAATGTCTTTTTTATTTTTTTAATTTTGTGGACGACGTGGACGTGTGTAACATAGAAAATGAACACGTACACGTTTCATTTGCGCGAGATTTTGTGAATTTTGTAAATTTGGAACATGGCAATATGAATGAGGTCAAAGAGAATTACACAAAAAAGAGAGACGGAAATGTTGAACATTAGGTGCAGGATTATGATAAATGCACCTTGAACAGAGGATGGTAAACGACCGAGTGGTCATATGTGCTTCGAACTTGGTTCCACCCCAGGAAAAACGGAAAAAGTTTACTTGATGTATGACTCACCGTTCGAGAATAAAAATACTATGTGCCATCGCTTCTTTTTATATATTACAAAACAATAGATGCGTGAAAGATATATAACTTGTATGTTTGCAGTATCGCGATCGAAGTGTCGAGTTTTGTAAATAAAGCGAAACAAAAATTCGGTTCAATCACGAAAATTCAGAAGATGCATGGCGTTCTTGTTTTCCCTTTCCGATATCATTCTAATTATCGAAATTCAATATTCCATCGCTTGTACTTTCGCAATGACGCGAATACAGGTTTTAAATTAATTGATTCGTTATATCATTATCAGTAGCAAATAACTTTGCCGTGTGCATATGCTTACGTATGCGTGTGTATATGTGTACACGCGCGCGTGCGTATATATAAGCGAAATAATACGGGAGATAAAATAGCGCGTGTTTTTGACTCGCGAGAAAAAGGTTAAAAATATTCCAACCTGCCAGCGAATGAGTCAAACGGGCGTATCATAAATATAAATGCACATATAATTCAAGCCGTCCGCCATTTAACTAAAAATATTTCTGGTCGTCGCATACAGCGAGAAATTACTTCCTACCGGTGAATGTGTCCCGCTATCGCGCACGCACAACGGATGAAAAATAATTGGTCGGAACGGAAAAGTTTTTGAAAATTTAAATGTCACGTGTGATTTTATATCTACATTTTTTCGGAGTCTCCTGAGCCGCAAATGTCGAAAGCCCAATGACTTGATATTACCGTGTGTAGCTCTTTGTTCACATATTTATCCATTTTTCTGCATTTGGTTAAAAAAAAAAGTCGTACATACGTGTGTTGTCCAACTTCCGCTATGCGACCGTTTTACTAAAAGCTTTTTAATTGGGAAAAATGTCGTGCATGTGTGCACAAGTACGATTTTGAAGGAAATCTTAACGACCGCGTAACGAGGGGCACGTAATGCGTGCACTTCGGATTGACGTGAGTGGCTCTCAAAATCAGCGGCTCAATTGTACGCCTCGGTGTGTGTGTGTGTGTGTGTGTGACAGCGTGATGGCGAATAGTTTGGTTGCGTTAAACCGTGCGATTTTGGCGTCGCGTTTGCGGTCGCGCGTTAACCTGTGCGCGGCGGAATCGATGGAAATGCACCGACGACACGCGGACGATTTAAACGATTTCAACACGAGCCTAACGACGCTCGGCGGCGGCGAAGCCGGTTTGCGGCCACGTTCAAGAATCAAGAGATAGAAGGTCGCTTACAACCGGGCGCTATGTTGCATTAAAGTAGCGGAGTTCCAGCAATCGAACCGCAAGCGGTTCTCCGCTTTCCACACTCGACCTCCTTTGGAAATTAGCTAATCGACCGCATGTGCGCGCGCGTACATTGTGTGCTCTCTATTACCGTTAACAATTACCTCTCCCGCGAACAGTTCTCCCTGCTCTCCGAATTCAGCGGCGGGACTTATCCGTGATCAAAAGCGAGAGCAAAAGGGAGAGAGGAAGAGGTACAACGTAGAAAATAATCTAGGAAGTGTCTGGTCAAGTAAATACTTGACAAGATCTTATCCCACCGAATCCATCTTTTCGAGCTTGAGGCTTGAGCACGCATGTCAAGGCGCTTTTGGCAACAACCTCGCGTCATTGTCGTTGCATAATCTCGACGTTTCTTCCTTATTCGTCGGTCGGTTTCTCTCGTTTTGTCGGGTAATTTTCACACGCCGAACGTCGACGAGCGAAGGCGGTAGCGAGGCTGACAGAACCCGGACGCGGTCGGAACAGGGCATAATCACCGTGACTTGGACGTGTTCGTGGTTCGTGTTAATAATGCGAGAAAAGGGGGTGTTCTGACAAGGGGGGAGGGAAATATCTCGGTAGTCACGTCCGTGGTCGCGCGCTGATACTGCTAGTTGAAAGCCCTCTCGCATGTTGCGTTGACCGCTCGGACGTCGCGAAAGCGGAAGAAAACGAACGACTCTTTTTGCCGGGCGAAACTCCTCGCGTCTAGCGTCTTAACAACGTGAGCGTATTAATGCCGCGGAAAAAGGAATTTTCACTCACTGTCCAGATCGGCGAGGATCGCCTCGCTGGCCACGTCCAAGCTCCTCGTCAGACACTTTCGCAGCTGCGACGTCGTATCCGTGTGATAGTCCTTTAAGTCCTGCAACGCTGTCTCGACCGTCATAGGGAGCTTCCCGATCCCGGCAGCCGCCGCCTCGTTGCATATTATCATTGTCACCATGCAAGACCTGAGTACGCGCGAAGGATTATGAATAACGTAGTAAGTACTTGCTTTAGGTAAAAGGTTCTCCAGAGTGGCAGCAAGACGAATAGCTAGCTACTTCGAGAACTCTGCTCTCTCTCTCTCTCTCTCTCTCTCTCTCTCCTTCTTCATCTTCTTTCTAACACCATTTGTTTCCGTTATGTATCACCTTGTATTATTGCAGGGTTAATCCAACGTGATTATTAAATTAAAACGAAATGTGCGGAACGAAGGGAGGAGGAAGAAGAAGAAGAAGAAGGAGAAGAATAGAGGAAGATGAATCGTTGATACTTTTGTATGGGAACCGAGCGTACTTCTTTCCCGTTAGTGTCACGTACGCGCATTTAAAATCCCCATAGTTATGTAGGAAATTATTAAGGAACAAAAGAAGGCAAGAAACGTGGATTTATAAAGCGGCGTGAGACGCGGTCGCGGGAAATCTCACCGCGTTAACGTAAAAAAGTCGGCGTAATCGGAGGGACTTTATCACCGCGCGGGTCGCGCGCGGCTATTGCACACTCGCGGCGTGTAATCAAGAAGGATAGAAGAATTAGGGAACACGGGTAGGGTTGGAAGTGAGGGTAATAAGTTCTCTCGGCGAGACGGTGTGTCTAAGAACGGAGAATCGTCATAGATCCTACCCGAGCATAAAGGCGAGAACGGCGAGGAGAGATGCGAGAACACCGGGATGCCGAGAGGGTTTGTAATCCTCTCTGATTGGACGACAGGCGAGCCAAAGTTCCGTGCCAGGTATTAAGCAGGCCAGTACGCAGCACACGCCTACTAAGCCCAGAAAAGCTGCTTCCACGTGCATGGACTAAAAGTAAAGGTTAGAGCGAGGCTTGCGAGAAACTTAACTGCGGCGGCGGCATCCGCGCGTTGTTTATCGCGAAAATTATGTATATCGCGACTCGCGACGCGCCGCGTCCGAGGATATATTCTCTTGTCCCGAGTCGAGAGCACCGGATCAAATTAATGAATGAAGCATGCGCTCCCTTTAATGACGTACTCCACCGCGTTCGCTGGTAGCTAAATATTTTTCCGGCGCGCTTTCTCCTTACCTCGGAGATCAATTTGCCGGTGCTTATGCGATTCTCCACGGCGTCCGTCAACAGACCTGTAACGAGCGAGAAGAATTGTACTTTGCTCTCTTTCTCCCCCCCCCTCCCCTCCCCTCCCCTCCCCTCCCTCCTCTCTTCCTACCCTCTCTCGTTTGTTTTCCTCCATCCCGTATCGTTAATTGGAAGAGAAACGTTAATGGAGCCCGACAGTGTCGAGAGGAATCTATTAGGCTTAGATTCAGAACAGACGGCTGTTCAATTAACAAAATGTTCGAGAATGTTGGGCGCGTCGACGATGAAATATGAGATACTCGAGAGATTAATAGAATGCTCGACATGTTCTCTCTGCGCGCGACTGTACATCGCGAAAACCAATACTCGTTGATCGCTGCTCTTCACGCGGCTGTCGCTTCCTGCGCGCGCGCGCGCGCGGTCAAAGTGTCCCTTTGATTGCGCAATTCGCAGTGCAATTTATTAAAATTAATTTACTGAAAGAGAGAAAAAGGGAGCGAGGTTAAAAGTTATGTAACGGGTGTTTAAACTGAATATACGAAATTGGGCGACGTAGCGAAGTGTCGAAAGTCTTGTACTTGTCTTTTCCCACTTTTTCTGCTGTCTTTTTTTTTCTTTTCTTTTACTAAAACAGATCACATGTGTGTGTGTGTGTGTGTGTGTGTGTGAGTCCATGATACGACCAAAGGCGCTCGAAGAAACCATTCGATTTCAATATGAATCGATTGAAAGATTCCGAAAGGCGCGTATATATTGAAGGAAGGGAGGCTTTCAAGTCTCAAACAGATCCCGCGGAAACCATTTGCGATTTGCGTTATAATGGCCTACCGGTCGGTATGTCGTAAGGCTGCACGAAGGACAGGAAAGCCCGCAGAAAGTCGAAGACGAACCAGCCCTTATCGAGATGCAAGCTCGCCATCTTGTAGTGCTCGTCCGCGGCGCATTTCGGGAATTTCAGCCGCGGTTTATCCTCGTCCCACTCGTTGGGCGAGGTCAACGTCCGCGGATGCGACACGTTCGGGTTGTTCTTCTTGCCGTCCGTGAGCACGTTCGTTGTCGTGTCCATCTCGCCCAGCCGCGTCTCGTTTGAGAAGGGAAGAGTGAGGAAGCTGTCGGTGGTGGTCGAGCAATTGTTACCGCCCGGGGTCGAATCAGTCGAGACGAATTCTTGAAACGTGTACGCTCTCGAGATAGCAACGACCAGCAGGAACACTGCAAGTTTCAGAAAAGTGCGCCTTGTACATGGATGTCGTGCCTGAGTCATGCCGTTCGCGGGGCGAGACGAGGAGTGAAGGTGCAAAAAATCTGTCGCTCCCTCATCGTGGCGCAGCTAACGAGAAGTTTGGAAATGATTTCGAGCGAATTAGCCTCGGCAGCGCGACACCGCGAGTGAGAGGCTTTCCTCTTCGTCTCGTCGCGTGCGACCTCGCGTCCAATTATTCTCGCGGCTGATAATCTCGAGGCGTTTCGACGAGCGAGCGTTCTCGCGACGCGCTCTATCTACCCGCGCGAAAATGGAGGAGCGCTGGGAACGCGACGAAAGGAGCACGTGCCTTGGATCACAGCCATTTTTCACACGGGCGTATTCACTATTCTTCCAACCGTGTTCCTCCACCGTGCGATAATCGCGTCGCGAGCGCAGACGACGCTCGCGTCTCTATCGAATCTCCGTCCGCAGGCCGACTGCTATTCCCGGTATTTGTAGAGGCTTCAGCGAAGCCCCGCGAGTGCAGATGTTGTCGAACCCCGCGAAGACAAGGCGAGTTAGCCGAGGGTTGACCAGCCCCGAGAAATCGAGCAGCGCGATGTGAATCGGGTCACTTCGATGTGGCAACGAATACGAGCACACACACACACACACACACACACATACGCATTCGTCGCGTTGTTTGGCGTTGTTTGGCGTTGTTTGACGATATGGAGGAATTAAGGCTCGAACGAGGGGGAATATAATCGCGAATAAAAAGAGCTGAGAGCACAGGATGGATGGGAAGTAATCAGTACGCTGACGATGTGACGCGCGACAGAGTTTCGAGAGCGCGCGCATCGAAAAATATTTTGCAACATTTGAGTTTCCACTAAATTAGGCGCGTAATCGCCGACTCGGCCATCGCCGACGGTCGTTTCGCCGCCGCCGAATGAACTCCAAATAGTACTTTACGTAACGAATGAAAATTAATTTTTGCCCGCAGTTTCTGTCACATAACGTTGCCGACCGCGTGACTTTAACTTTCTCACTCGACGCTGACAGCATCGCATCTCTCTCCTCTCTCTCTCTCTCTCTCTCTCTCTCTCGCATGCGCGGATGGCATGGCGTTTCATGGAAGGATATTAATGCACTATCGGTCGGATTTATTTTGTTTCCGGTTCAAACCAGCCCCGCTCGAAAAATTGCAGTTCTGCCGAACGAGAAGTTAGAGAAATTTATCGATGAAGTTTTTACTTCGGCAATTCGTTACACGAGTTAGTCGGCGGGACAAATGAACGGGGGGGGCCCCCTCGATTTAGAAACGCGAGATAATAAAGTGCGGCGGGACGGCGGCTTAATCTGCCTGCGATTAGCGCGATTTTACTCGTTAACGGATCGTTAATGGCGCATCTGAAGAGAACGGGGTCTCGCAGTTCACCAGCAGTTTCTCGTCTCGTCGCTCGATTATATTAAAAACTCGTCTTATTAATTCGATCAGCGCCCAAATGAAAAAAAGTCCGAATTTATCGCCTGGATTTACGTCAAATTATCTGATTCTTCCCCCACGGATCCGTCCTACTTTATTCTAACGCATCTTTCTAGGAAGATCTTCACTACAGATTGCAAATGAACGCCGACGACAATGAATGCGCGAGTTTTTGCATGAATTGGATGGGCGCACACACCGCTATAGCGGGTCTGATAAACACGTTGTCCTTTGGGACATACGACACGTGTACCCCCACGTGTATTTAACAGAATGGCGATTAATGTGGTGTTAAAATAATTATAACACACATGTAATTCTCCTCTTTATCGTCTGATCGCTCGTCCGAATAACGCGGTTTTTATTAATTCTGCACGGCGGAATCGCGCGATAATCACGCGCGCGATATAACGTACACGTCGGGAAATGGATTAACCTCTCATTAATCCCCGGACATTTCTCGAATGTCAACGTTGACTCGATTTCCAGTATCGCAGGATATCCATAAGAGCAAACTTCGGCGAAGATTATCTCACCGGAGAAAAAATTCTCTTATAAATTTCCCCTTGCAACGTAGAGTTAATTGCGGAGTCAAGTGCCCGAAGATGGCACACGCGAGTTTAATACATCACTTTAAACGAAACAGAGGAGGAGCGTTCTTTTCATGAGAAAGAGAGAGAGAGAGAGAGAGAGAGAGAGGGGGGATAAACATGCATATAAATTTTGAAGGGTCGAACGACAAAGTCTATTGACCGGAGAGATTTGGTTTATCTTCCCGGCTATGGCCGACTCACGTAGCACACAGCGTAGTTCCTGCGTGAGCGTGTGAGCGCTGCTTTATACTGATAAAACATCCGCAGCAGCCCGGTGCGAGAAACGATGAATATTTGCGGAAAGAAGAGAGAGCCCCCCCGGAGCGCGAAGTATCCGTCGCCGCAGCTTCGCCGAGGACGCGCGTTTTCCGTAAAACGCGAAATTCGCGTCTCGGAGAGCGCGTTGCGGGCGCGTTCCGCACAGATTTCCGCACGGATCGATCCCCCCCGACGAGAGCGGCGTTCGCGGCTACAGAAATAATACTCTTTCTTCGCAGTGTTCGCCGGGATATTCCCGCACGTTCTCGACAGCTGCGTTCCGCTCGCTAGACACCCTTACGAAGAGACGAATGCTGGCTTACCCTTTAAGACCGGCCACATCGACGATAATCCGCGCTGGAACGGGGATCAAGCGACTGTGGTCCGTCTTATTGTTCGACGATTTCTTGTTAGGAAATCGTCGAGTCCTGGAGGAAGCGCAGTTGCGGGATTACGGGCCGCGGAGCGAAGCGAGGCGAAGCGGGCGGCCGTAACGAACTCGCGAATTGAAATTTCTTATCGAGCGCCGGGAATGCTCGATTCATCGGGCACGTCCAAGTAACGGCTGGGATATTATATATCCGCGCGGGATTCCCGCGGAATAACTCGCGCAAAAGTATTCCGCGATCCACGTCGAAGTACGTATTAACGGCTGGAATTCTCGTTTAACCGACGCCCGCCCACCATGGGTGCTTTATTAGACAGCGCCGGCACAGACCGCTGTGCGTATAATACGACGTGAAAACGCGAGCAGAAATCGCTCGTAGAGGGAGGGACACTTAAGCGACGAGTGCTAATCACCTCGTTCTCGCGTCGCTCATTCAACGTTATTTTATTCAACGTCATTCGCGCGTGCCTGTCGCTCACGCTGGAAAATTCAAGCGTGTGTTTAGACTACTTCACTACCGACTTGCCTCTTGTAAAATTTTACGTCCAATTTTACGTCGCTATTTTCAGTCTTAAAAGCAGACGCGTTGTCTCACTGTTGACTACTTTTTGCGATATTGATTGTTTATCTCGAGCTCGACGAGAGTTATGTTTACTCCGACAGTTGTCACGAATAGCTGTTTCACGGGGATTGAATCCTGACAGCTTTCAGTTGCCGAGGGGGAGTAAGATATAAAAATGTTATAAAGATAAAATATTATAAAATAATACTTGACGTTAATATTGCGGCATGAAAAGTGTTGCATCAACGAATAATCCGCATAATTCGTAACACTCTCGAGCACGTCTCACGCCGGCTGAAGGGCACGTCGTGACCTCGCACGGGTACCAAACATATATAAGTACGCGCACGCCGAGCGATCATAACATTCTTCGACGCGAAGTCGGTCGGATCGGGAGACATCGTGCGTGATTTTCGATATTCCCGAATCGACTCAAGTGTGACGGTGAGAGACGCGTTTAATACTGTATACCGTATTATATTATACTGTGTTATACATTGCTATATTAATTATTATATTAGTTAATTACCACATTAATTGACTACTATATTAATTACTATATCAATACATACCGTCGTGCTAGTGTCACATTCAGCAGTGGTAACATCGCTAAATTTCCAAGGGTAACTATTTCTCTTCAATTGTTCTTTATCGGTTCGAAAAAGCTTTCGGCAGGCAGATGTATTCTCGTTCGGATTTTCTCTGGTATCTAATCGGAAAAATTACTTTTTGTTCCAGATGTGGCGGAGCCTGCGGTCACACGCTGTGTGCGGCTTTCCCGAGGGTGCAGTTTCGGCGGATACGGATGCTGAACCGGAGGATCCGGTTCGGGCCGAGCAGGGTCGGCTCGAAGGTCGGTTTATTTTAATTTTTCCCGTGCTTTTGTATCTAACTCTTTGCGCTCGGAAATTGAGGCGTGATTTTTTCGATTAAAAATCGTTGAGTCACAGTGATCGCGAAAGATTCACACGGTCGTGTATCCAAGCGCACTGTTCTCGCTAAATTGTTTAAAACTCACGTATCTAATCAGCGATGTTTATATCTTGCTTCAGATCTGTAGCGGAACGTGGCCGACCCTGAGTTCCTGGTATTTCGGTGAGTCTGAACAGCAAGTACAAAAAGTGCTTTACATTTTAAGATGATGGGTGTTTTAGAGCTGAATTTATCCAAATCAGTGCGATTTACATGGATAGTAGATCTCTGCATGAACACTGAGAGAAGGAAATGATTCATCTTATTATTGGCAATTATTTATGGCATCAGCCGTATTTTCGTGTTAATCTAACAAGAGAATAATCTCGGAACTTTTCAAACGTGCGCTTTCTGGCTGACAATCATTTTATCGCGCGATTTATAGTCGCAAATAGCAAACACTTTTCTCTCAGTGTACGGGTTTGCATTATGTATTTATGCCATTAAAATATGCCGTATATACGAAACAATTAAGGTATCACTCCTTTAAATAACCGCGTTTAAAATTTTGATTATAATCTCCAATCTATTAAGATTCGTCGTCAAGTTACATTCATATGTGCATAGATCTGCTAACACATTTGATTTGCTTTTTATTCAAAATACAGAATTAATAAACTATTTATTTAATATGGCGTGATCCCTCCATTGTTTCAAATGATATATAAAACGCACCAGAGTTAGCGCGTCAAAATTGCGCTGCAGTACGCGAAATTTGAGATTACTTTTTTCGCTCGCAATGAATATTGCGTTTCGTCGCGGTTGTCAATTTTTTACATTTCTCCGCATATAACGAGAATTATAACGTCACTTCGGTCAAAGTCAAAGTTAGAATTCAAAACTAGAATCCAAAGTCAGAATTTTCGCCAGACAAAAGCCGCGTTTTTATCGAAGTTGCGACGTCCGCGAAGCGTCATTTTTTAATTTTCTGCCCTCGACAAGGTCGAAAGAGCGTCAGGTTGCTTCAGGTTTGCGAGTTTTGCCGCGCGATTCGCGACCTTTTCATGCACTTTGGTGGAAATTTATCGTATACTTCTCAAAATGTTCAATCGCTAAATCGCCGAACCGCTGAATCGTTGAGTCGTTAAATCGTTAAACGCCGTTAAAACGATTGCGGTCGGGAGTGCGGTGTAATGCAATGAAGTGAAGTGAACCGAGTGAAGTGCGATCGACGTGGGACGACGACTGGACGCTGAGGAGGCTGGAGCGGATGCGAAGCGACGCGGACGAGATGCAGCGATGAGTCCCGTCGGTGGAGTTGAACGGAGCTGGGCGTCGTCGGAGTCGTCGATATCGTCGCGAGTCGGTGAGTGTACAATCTAAACGCTCACAAAGCGTCATACTTCGTAGTGCATGCAAAGTTGATTCGTAAATCGCATTGTTCGCCAGCGCGATGACTCGCTGCGCGAGAGTTGTGTTTATATTAATATATTTCGATAGTGCGAAATGTCTCAAGCAATATTTCGATATAACGCGCGATGCCGCGAGTTTATAACGTCTGGAATATATATACACGCACACACAGATATATACGTGCACAAGTTGGGGTGGGAAACAACGTTAGTTCAGCAATCATGTTTTATTAATAACTCGCGTAAAATTTTTCGCACCTGCGGAACCCTCGGCTTCACGAACTTCGACAGCAGGAGTTGACTCCGTGAGTCTCGCTGATCGCTCGCGGGAAGAGTCGTCAGGCGAAGATTGTTTATATGTTTAGACAATGCGCGACAATCTCCCAACAAACAATATTTCGGAGAACCCATAACGCGCGATAGCGCGAGTTTATAGTGTCTAGAGTTTACACATGCACACACAGATGTATACGTGTGCAAGTCGAGGTAGGAAACAAAGTTAATTCAGTCATGTTTTATTAATAGCGCGCGTAAAGTTATACGCACACACCTGCGAAACCCTTACTTTCATGAACTTCGAAGGCATTTATAATTTTCCGGCTTTCTCGCGGCGCGACGCGCCGTACCGCCCGGCGTGAAGCGTTAAGCGCGCGCAATTATTTGCAGCCTTAATTGCGCGATTCAACGTAGAGCGGGGCAAATAAAATCGCGTGCATTAAAATCCAGACTCGACTGTAATATACGCGCGCGCGCGCGTCAAATGTTTTCTCTTTTTTCTCTTTCCGTTTTCTCCGCGCTCCAGAGTGCAACTCGATTCACAACATTTATTACGCGCGAATAACGTCGTGTTTACCGCGAGCGCGAAATTATTCGCAGCTAATACGACGTTAATGCAACCGTAACACGGCGCTATTGAGCCTACCTCCTTTCCCTCCCCCCAGTGCTCCTTCCATCTGGGTATATTTTTTCCTCTTCCCTTCCGGCCTTGCCAGCCGGAGGCTGAAAATCTGAATCGTCGCGCAATTTGATCTCTCTTCTTCAAGCCGTCGACAACTTCCGTTTCTGCGCAGTTAGCCCTGTGTAGACCTGTGTGACGAGAGATTCGAAGCGACCCACGGTCGCTCTCTTTCTCTCCCTCCCTCCCTCCCTCCACCTCGGTATATGCTACTAGAATTGGGGTTGGCTCGGCTGCAGCGGTGCCCAACCGCGGCTAAATCTTCCCCGCGGACAAAGTGCAAGATTACTTTCGCCGATGGCGAATGACTGGGGAGCTTGGCGGGAGACCTCTTCCATCAGTGAATGAGCCTCCCTCGCCGTTAACGAGAAGGTGTGTACTCGGTCCCTTAATTGGCTGTACCGTAATTCCCGGGCCGCTTCTCAAAGGCAATTCTGCCCTGAAAACATGGCTAATTGCGCGATATGACCGTGAGAGTAAATACTTCCGGATCCGCCGGCGAGAGAGAGAGAAAGATAGAGAGAGAGAGAGAGAGAGAGAGACAGACAGACAGACAGACAGAGAGAGAGAGAGAGAGAGAGAGAGAGAGAGAGAGAGAGAGAGGATGCAACGCGCGGCGCTTAATCCAACTTAGTCGCAAGAATGTTGCACGGAGCAAACTGGTGGATTTCGAATCGGGACGATGTAACTTCCGCGAGCGTAATCTTTGTCCCATAAATATTCCTCGGAGAAATTTCACCTACGCCAATCGCGATAAATATTCTATAAATTTTCATGCTGAGACGTGTTGGGCGCGACGACGACGTGATTTATTATGTTTAGACACGCGAGCGTTACCTTCGCATATCTCTCATATTTTATTGTTTCCTAAAATGTTCTTCGCATGTAGACACACACTCTCGTCTTTCTGCAAATCTTGCCTAGTCGCGATCACAATTTGACTGAGCTTTTCTCGGGAGACGGCAGTAAGTTTCGCGAAACAGTACGCGAAGTGCGATATTTCAAAGCAAAGTTTAAAACCGCTCGTGTTGTCGCATGCAAAACGGCGGGGAGAGAGATATATGTCGCAGCGTTTATTAAGCATCGTAGACACACCGAAACTTAATAATTAACGAGAGTCGTTTTGATGCGGTGAACAACACAATTGGTCGCGGAATTGAGATTGAATATCATCTATTACACGATTTACGATTTCGTCCGCCCAGAGTCGCGTGTACCCTTTAATGAAAGCGCGCGCGCGCGCAATGAGAAGCGCGCTGGAAAGTTTCCGGGATACTCGAGAAAGCGCGGATTGCGAGAATCAAAGGAAAATAGCGATGGCGCGAATTAATTAATTGATCGCGCGGCGCCCCTCGAAAGTGGGCTGCAATCTAGAGTAAGTTTCTATCTAAATTATTATTGTAATTAAGAGTATAATCCCGAACTTGAGCCCCGTCGGACAAGTCGAGTCTCGTTATGCTCGTCGTTGGTATCCGAGAAATATGAATTAAAGCTTGTCCGCTGCGGTTAATCCTTACGTATTGCGGCTGTTTAAATATGCGCGAGCTTTCGCGTAATTATACGCGGAACAACGAGCCGTTCGTTGTTTATGCGTAACGTAATAAAATTTGATTCCAATGCCGTTCGTTAATAACAAAGGGCTATTCTTCGCGCCTTTATTCCCCGACGCGACTACGTCGTACAATCCCGTGCTCCATTAATTTATATCACCTAATTACGCATTTAACTTTCGTTCGCTGGCGTTAAATCACTTGACCGTTATAGAATTCCGCGGGGGACTGCGAAATATATCTACTGAAATATGAAACGACGCGCTTGAGTTTGAAGGGTGACTGTCGTAAAAAAAAAAAAAGAAAAAGGAAAAACGAGGAAACCAAAAAAGGGAAGAGAAAAGAGACAATTGAAGAAGGAGAGCGAAAAGAGAGGGGAGAAAAGCAAACGAAACGGACGAAGCAGAGAGAGAGGGACATGGGAATAACTCGCTCACATGGTCCTGTTAAAAATTAGATTACTTTTCAAGAGCACACCGAGAAATTATATTACTCCGATCGCAAAAACGTAGCTCATTAAGGTATAATAAGCACGTCGTGACACAAAGAGAACGCCGCACACGTAAAGTTACCGACCTCGTTAGGCGAGCTCGTTACTCCCGGGCGCGGTTACAAGACGCGCACATTCAGAAATGTGCGTTACATAGTTTATTCCTCCATCTTATAACGTGCCTGTCGTCCTTAGACAATGGAATTTTCAACGAGGATCTACTCGGACGGCGCGGTAAGAAGAATACGGCCGATCCCTCGACCCGCGGCTTTGTTATCCGCTCGCTCCATCACGCAGCCGCCGCTCGCCGATGGCAAGTGTGCCCGCGCGATCTTCGACGCGCGATTCTCGATCAACCGAGGACGAGAATACGTAGGGGTTGTTCGCGAGCGAGGGAGCGCGTGGGTGGTTGGGTTTTGGCACGGCGAGAGTGTGTCGGTGCAGTTAGAAGATCGGGAGACTGGATGCATCCTCTCTCTCTCTCTCTCTCTCTCTCTCTCTCGCTCTCTCTCGCTCTCTCTCTCTCTCTCTCTCGCTCGCACCCTCCCTACCACCCCCTCTCTCTTTCTTGTTCACCCACTACCCCTCCACCCCCTCCCCCATTCTCGTTTCCTGTCTCTCTCCCGTATTCTCTCTCTCTCTCTCTCTCTCTCTCTCTCTCTCTCTCTCACACCGCGCGACTCTACTCTCGGGAGCACCCAGGCGGGCAGTCAGTGCGTCGTCAGCCTCCGCGTCGTCGCGACGCTCCTCTCTCCCTTTCGTCTCTCTCTCTCTCGGTGGCGTTCGCAGCATCGCGACGCTACGACGCGCTCCGTCGACTATCCCATCGGGAGAGACGCCGCCGTTAATTTTCTTACGATACGCGTACATAAACCGCCGGCATCGATAATATCGCGATCGCGCGAAGTAGGCGATATTTCGTGGTAACGAAAAGAAAGAAAGGTTCTCGCTAGCGGCATCGAGAGAGTGTCTCGTTGGAGATTGGAGAAAAGGGTGCTGAGAACGGTAACTAGCGTTAATTGAGGAGTACAATGTGACACGTCTACTTCTGTCTACTTCTGTCCTTTCGCACGCTCCTCGCTCGCAGAGTGAAGTTAGTTAGTTTCGCGGCGCATGACGAACACACGCGGATGCAAGAGGTCGCGAGTCGAATGAGACTTGACTCGTGATCGACTCTCGGGCGCGCGGGACTCTGAAAAACATTCGTCACATCTCGCGCGCGCGCGAATCTTCGGGGCGCAATTTCGCGGAAATTCACGGCGAGCCTTGAAGAAAGCACCCCTTGAGATGTAATACCCGCGCGCGCAAGATCGAAGGGAGTATATATTAAACACTCGCCCAGTGCGCGGGGAGCGCCTTCTCGTTCCTTACTTTCCGTTGCATATTTTATATCGTAAGGAGACGTCGTTCGCAATTTATTACCTCGACGTGAAAAGTTCTTTGTCTCGGACAAAGAGGGAGGGAGCGGAGCGGAGCGCGGGATTGAGTGCGCGGTAGTAAATGCATTTCCTACGGAGGAATTATTAAAGGAACGCCGGCGAAAAGGCGCGTCTCCCGATGCTGGCGGATGAGCGAGGGACGAGGGCGGCGGGCGGCTCGTGAAGTTTCACCAGACGTGATTCATCTTGGTGTACCGATCGAGAGTGATCCATCGGATCGCGACACCGTGACACGGTATACACACGGGGGGAACCCTCCCCCTCCCGCTTGAGGACACGCCGGCCACCCCGCAGCGTCACGCACAGGAAGTTGTTTTACGTCCCTCCGGCTTCCGGAGCGTCGGCGTGCTCGCTCAAAAGCCATATCGACACTCGCGGATTTACCGCCACTGCCGAGTACGTATCTAATTGCAGCAATTTGACCTAACGTCCCTTTATTCCGCGAGCGCCGTCTGACGCAGAGACTAGCGCGCGCACACCGGTGCACACACGCGATGTGTGAGTGAGGGCAGGGCGCGACGTTTTATTAGCTTTCGCGGAATACCGACGCTTTTATTGCATCGCTCAGCCATGTATTTCCCGCCGCCTCTCTAAGTGTCGCAAAGGGAAGAAATCAATTCGCATTCGATTGTGCCGCTGTAGCTGCAGCCGGCTGTCATGGTTGTCCCATTGCCAGTGCCGTCACGTCCAGTGATGATCTCACGTGAAAAAGTACGAAGACCGAATTAATTAAATAAATATCGAGCGCGAGAGAGATAGCGTGTCGACTCTTGCGTTTCTCTCCCGGTTTTATCGCGGTATATACGGAAGAACGCTGTCGCGCGCTTTTCGTCGCTTTTCTCCCTTCTTCGGTACTTCTCACGTTTATGCAGCACGGCACCGCTTAATATTGTCTGCAATAACTTGTTTCTTGCCGCGCGTCGCGTCTTTTTGCCCGATCGTAAGTTCTATTGGTGTCTCCGCACTCTAGGGTTGCACTTAAGATATTAAATCGCGAACGCGCCGTCGTTCGCGCTAAGTCGTGAAGAATCGCGAGGTAGACGGAAATTTTCATTCGTATTTTTCCGCAAAGGTAACCGGCGACGAGAGAGAGAGAGAGAGAGAGAGAGAGAGAGAGAGAGAGAGAGAGAGAGGGAGTGAGAACACAATGCGAATTATATTCGACTTAAAGTATCGATCGCTCGCGAGTGACGCCTCCCCTAACGATACTCAAATCATGTTCCATTAGCGTCTCGGACAAGTCGCTCGCGAACGGAGCAACGTCGGCCTAACGTTGTTTGCAAGTTGCGTCCGTCGTAACGATTGTGTACACGGCTGTGTACGCGCCGGTGTTATTCTACCCATGAGGAAATCAAGTTCGTAAATTGATTCCAACTAAACAAAACAGAACGCCGTAGGACCGATTGATATCGGACGATACGCTCGCGGCAGGTTCGTGGTTGCCGGGGTAGTTCGATCGTGTTGCCGCCCGGCAAGTTCTCCCCGGTTTCCAAGTTTCGAAACTTTCCGCTGTCAGGCGTCTGTAATATTAAACGATTCCTTAGATCCGACATCGCCGAATGCGCGGGGAGGTATCGCGAGTCGCGACAGCTTTCCGCCTGTCGCCTCGCGACACGGTGACGTATCATTCTTATTTTATCGTCCTTTCATTCTCTGATTAATCCCCCGGTCACACAGTCGGCGTCCATTTTAGCACTCGACTTTCTTCGTCCAGCGTTCCCAATTGTGCTCGCGAGGACTCGATAGGTCGTGACTCTTATCGTTCTCCGGGAAGCCTCCCGAGGAGCACCGAGAGAATTTATTTACTTATTTGTTCTCCAAGGTAGACGAAATGAATTCTTTAACTCCACTAACGAGGCGGGGTGCGCAACGTGAGCTAATTCCAACGGTAATTTAGCGGCTCAGCGTCGACGGATAAATTCAACGGGTAAATCCGGCTAGATTTCCGCGCTGCGCCGCGTTTCGCACGTATCGAACTATTTATCGCGATGAAAGGATCGCGCGCGAAATTCCAACGGACGCTGTGCGGGCTGCTGGCCTCACGGTGGATCTCGATCGAAGCGAGTTAGCGTTGGTCGCCACGTCAGTCCGAAGTCGACGTGCGGGATAGCCGGGGGATTCCTCCGGACTTGGGAAGAATTTCACGCTTATCCCGACGTAAATCGAATTAACACGACGCGCGCAGCTAATCCGTTCGTTTCCAAGGCGAGATATGAGTAAGCGGATCTCCCGCTGTTTCGTAGCGATTATGCGATAAACGGCAACCGGCAGCCGTTATTGACGCGACCAAGACGCGAGTGCGTGCTTCCGCAACAGATCGCTCCAGCCTCACCGCGAATCACTGCAATCAATTATCAGCCTACGAAGAAGCCCGTCGTCTGTTCCTCCTGAACGAAATCGATGTATGTGGAGAGCTCTGCGCTTCGATTTACACCTGTGAACGTCTCACCTTAATGGTTTCCCGGTGACGGCGACGGCGCCGCCGAAGCCGATGGCTGGTCGCTTTAAATTGATCGTAAGCTCCACGCGCGCGTGATACCCATTCCGGCGAGCCTCGATGAAATTTATTACAGTTTTTTCCTCGCTCGACGGTTATCGATCACGACAGAAGTGGCTTGTCGGCAATATTAAGCGTAATTGGCGCGCGACGCGCGACGCGCGACGACCGGCGTGAAAGTATCGCGTCGGGTTATCTTGCCGGACTCTTGCCGTTTTATTTTTTCTTCCTCGCGATAACCGTTACCGATCAAAGTTACAAACGGTTGTTGGAAAATCAATTCTTCCTTCGTGTAAAGAAACTAGGATTACTCAAGAAATTTCATTTCACGACACAACTATACGCCATACTCGCCAATATATTTGAATCGACACGTGAAATGTACATATCGACAGGATAATTAGATTAAAATATTCGAAATTTGCAACTTCCTATTCACCTGATCTAAAACCGTGCAATTTATGATGGGATTGCATTAAGAACAAGTGTTACACCAAATCACTTCAGAGTGTTGCTGAACTGAAAGAGAATATTCAAAAATGCAATCATGGCATTTTTCTCAGTCACGTTAGACGACGTATCGAAAAGTTTCTGAAAACATTCGAAAATATACATCATCAGGTCATACGCACAAGCAAATTTATAGCTTTCTCCGTTTGTAATACTTTTCATGATTCGCATTATTAAATTAATGTATAATAACTCTCTCACCAGTAATTAATTAAATAACACATTAATAAAATTGACAGGTCTTTGCTATAAAATAGCAACACGGGCTTCGGCGAATGTTCGCTCGGCCACTCGCGGATACCGCGAGCGGTTATTACGTATGTCATGGCGGGTGTCCGCGCCCTGCAATTCGCTGCCATTCGCCGCCGAGCCTCGAGAGCGTTTTAATTAATGACTCCGCCGTAAAACGCCGCGCATCGCGGCGAGTCGTCGTAATCTCTCTCCGCGCGCGGCTCGGCCCGAGTCTCGCTTTTACGAGCTTGGAAACGTGTCCGAGAAGGGATAGGTACGCGCTTCTACCCCGCGTCTGGTTCCCCGTGGAAGCGGACTCCGCGGACAAGAATGTGTGTCCGATCGAGATCCGATAGAGCGTCGATTCGCATGATACATCCGGTAGAATAACAACAGCTGCGCGCGGAAAGAGACAAATTCGCGGGACGCGCGACGTCCGCGCGACTGTCGTCGAGGAGAGTGTGTTGTGCTTTTAGCGCGCAATTCCCCACGGAGACATTGTCGGACATTTGTGCCGCCCGTATATTATTATGCTCCGCGTGCAATATGCCGTGAGTGTACAATCGATGACAACGGAAGGCGAAATCAGTTTTCAGAGAATGATAACGCGCGTAGAATCGCGTCGGATAATCGGGGCCGAGCCCCGTTGAAACACGCACGCCGCCATGTCGATTGAATTCGGGTGCACTCTTGTCCGGAATTCGTTATAATTAGCACGCAAAAAGGATAGCGTAACGCGTGGTGGAAGGGACGCCGGCCGGCCGACCGCGCTGACGAGAATGCATAATTATTTTGCGACGCGTGCCTTTTCGTACTGTTTCAAGCTGACATTTCGCTGATAATATTTCCGGCCGGAGTTGGCAGCTCGCGCGCTTAAGTGGATTATGGCGGGCTTTCACGGATTCGTTACGTGCCGAGCAATAGGCAGATAACATGAATTGATCGTGTGCGGGGGCCATTTTAATCACGACCCCTGTCCCTCCGCTCGTAAACACTTAAGCTAACGATATTTTCATGCAAAAGAAAGATCGCGCGCGCGTCATCAACGGCTCCGTTGCGACGAAATGTCGCTCTCGAAAGTTGGTTCCTTTTTCACGAGGGAAATTCGACGGGACCTCGTTAGCGCGCTCGCAAAGCCACTTGCTGATGCCGCGATGATTAACCGCGAGTACCCGGAGTACTCTCTCCTCTTTCTCTCGCTTCTCTCGCTTCTCTCGCTTCTCTCGCTTTTGCAAAGACACGCGACACGTTGTCCGCCGCGATGTAAATCGCAATCATCAGGACGTTCGCTAATCTCGGCGGCGCGGCGCGTGAATCTAATCTTCCGTTTTCGCAAGAGGAAAATCTCGCGCGCGATGCGCGCGGTGCGCAAACACCGTGATTACAGTTCCTCTTGATATCTGCTGCCGACAAGATGACTGACGTTGGAGTTAAACTTTGAGCTCGATGCAATTTGCGATGTCTTGGGCCGCTCTGCAGACTGTAACCGTGCGCACGAGATTTGATATCGACTTGCTATCGACGTTCGGATTATTAGTTTTAGATTCCGTCTGTCATACGCCGCGCAGCGGCGGATAATTGACTCGCCCGACGGTGGTTATCGCGCAAAAATCGCCGCTTGGAGTCGCAGCTTCGTAATACGCGCTGTGACACTCGTTTCCGTCCTCCTGCTTGCTAAGCGGCCCAAGCCGTAATGCATGGTATCACGATGAGATCCAGCCATGCGGATCGGGGGATTCGATTACCGGGATTACCGCGTGCCGTATGTGTGTGTGCGTGCGCGAACGCGCGGACATTGACTTTCATATTTGCGTAATCTGTAGACGTAATCGCGCTCGCGGTGAGAAGGAGAGCGAATCGGGCAGTTTGACGTTACGCAAACTGTCGAAAAAGGAGAAACGAGAGTAACGAGATATAAGCGGGCACACTCCGTCGCAAACTCCGTCGGAGGAGGGTGTGCTTGGCATGAGGTCCCCCCTCCTTCTCGTGTGCTGGACAGGCCTTTGGCGAAGGGCCGCGAAAAAGACTCGAAAAGCTCTCCCGTCGCGGAATACGCGCTTTTTACGATCGAGACGCGATGAGCGATATTAAGCGACGAGGGCCCATAATTTCTCTCTCCGGGCGCGCACGCGAAGCGGAACTTTGCGAAATTCCGAGC